GGGCGCACCGACGTCAAGTTCTTGGTAGATAACATTACCAGGTCCCCTACGTTGTAACCCTCGTCAGGGATGGCGGTACGCTTCCGATTTGCGTACTTCGCCATGTCTTTCCGCGCCTGTTCCAGCGCCTCCTTCACCGACTTGTAGATCCCGTCGAGTCGGTCTCGGTACTCTCCCGCCGATTCCACCGCCTCTTCCCTAGTGCCGGGCACTGGCAGGGAGAAGGTATGTTCCCTTCCCTCGGACGCCATGAATGGCGACATCCCGATGGCAGAGTGCTTCGCGTTGTTGTACGCGAACTCCGCCATGGAGAGTAACTCCGCCCAATCGTCCTGGAGGAAGTTGACGTACGACCGCAAGTACTGCTCCAAGGTGGAGTTACTTCGCTCGGTCTGTCCGTCCGTCTCCGGGTGGAACGCCGTGGAGTAACTATTCTCCACGTTCGCCATGCGGCACAGATCTTTCCAGAAGCGCGAGGTGAACAACGTACCTCGATCCGAAATGATCTGCTTCGGGAACCCATGCAAACACACCCATCGGTCAAGGAATAACCGCGCCAAGAATGTGGCGTCGTTATCCTTTCGACAAGCGACGAAGTGCGCTCGCTTGCTGAACCGATCGACGATCACCAGGATCGAATTGGACCCCATAGACTCGGGCAGGTCCGTGATGTGATCCCAAGTGATCGATTCGTATGGTCCCGCCGGTACCGGCAGCGGCGCTAGTTCGCCGACAGGCTTCATTCGGGGTCGCCGGTTGCGCTGACATATGCTGCAGCTAGCGACGTACTCCCCGATCCACTTCGCCATCCCAGGCCAGTAGAAGTCCCTACTGGTTAGCTCCACGGTCTTGTCCCGCCCCCAATGGCCGGCGGCCTTCCCGTCATGTAGGCGCTTCATCAGCTCTACCTTGATGTTCCCCGCGTTAGGAACATACACCAACCCGTTGTACAGGAGAACCCCAGTGGGGCTCAAGCTGTATCGCTCATTCGCCAAGGTCCCCGCCTTGAGCTGCGCTACGAGCTCTTTCGCCACCGGGTCGTCCTGCGCCGCCGGTATCAGCGCTTTCACCATCCAATCGCCCAGTGCGGGGATGGTGCCATTCAACCGCAAAGGCAGTCGTTCAACCGGACTACACCCTTCAGGGGGTGCGTCTTCGACAGGCCGGAGCAGAGTCTCCGCTCGCTTCGGTTCTGTCTCCTCCATCAACTCTTCCCGACGACTCAACGCGTCGGCCTTCCCGTTCTCCGTTCCCGGCTTGTACTCCAGGGTGTAGGAGATCTGGTTCAACAGCTGCGACCATCGCGCCTGCCGTTGGGACAATACCTTGTCCCTCTTGAAATACTCCAAGTTCTTGTGATCCGTGAGAATCCGAACGGGGTACTTGTTGTCGAGATAATGTCGCCATATCCGACTGCAATAGACGATGGCCAACAGTTCCCTGTCGTGCACATCGTAGTTCCTCTCGGCGGGCGTCAGGCTCTTTGACATGAACGCTACCGGGTGGAGCTTCCCATCGTCCCCTACCTGGGACATCACCGCGCCGATCGCTCCAGAGGAAGCGTCGGTCTCGAGCACCACTTGGCGCTCCTCGTTGTAGTGCGCCAATATAGGCGCCTGGGTGAAGGACTCCTTCAATTCCCGGAACGCAGCGTCAGCGGCTGCCGTCCAGGAGTACTTCACCCCTTTCTTCGTCAGGGCCGTCATTCCCTGAATCTTCTTGGAGTAGTTCTGGATGAACCTCCGATAATAGTTTGCAAATCCTAAAAAGGACTGCAGTCCCCGAATGTTCTTCGGGGGGGCCCAGTCCAAAACGGACTTGACCTTGGAGGGGTTCATACTGACCCCCGTCGGGGCAATATCGTACCCCAAGAATTCGGTAGCCACCGTATCGAACTCACACTTCTCCGCCTTCGCATACAGGCCATTTGCCTGCAGCCTCTTCATAACCTCCTTGACCTGACCGTTATGGGTCTCCTGGTCGGAGGAGTAAATAAGTATGTCGTCGAGATAAACGACGACGCACACATCCAAAAGGTCCTGGAAAACCTCGTTCATCCACCGCTGAAAGGTAGCGGGGGCGTTGGTCAAGCCGAACGGCATGACCAAACATTCGAACAGACCGAAACGTGTAGTAAACGCGGTCTTCCAAATGTCTTCTTCTTTTACGCGTAGCAGGTTGTACGCGCCTCGGAGGTCCATCTTCGTGTAGACCTTCGCGCCCTTCAACCTGTCTAGCGTCTCTGAGATGAGGGGTAGGGGCGTCCTATCCTTCACCGTAATGTCGTTAAGGCGACGGTAATCGATGCACATACGCATCTCGCCGCCTTTCTTCGGTACGAACAGTACCGGGCTCGAACAGGGCGACTTCGACGGCCTGATGAACCCCTTCTCCAAATTTTCTTTCAACCACTTCTTTAGCTCCTCGCTTTCCCGCTGGGAGTGGTTGTAGAGCTTCTGGTACGTCGGCGACGTACCGGGCTTGAGTTCGATCGCGTGGTCGATCGATCGCGTCGGGGGCAGTGTATCTGCCTTCGTCTTGGAGAACGCTCCAAGATGTTCATGATACTTCTCCGGTACCATGTCCCTCAGCTTCTCCATATACTCAGGAGGATCCAGATCGTCCTGGAACGAGTCCGTGGGTTTGACGTCCCAATCCCACAGGTCCGGGCGCCTCGCCCGCTCGTCGTCCTCCCGGGTCATCTGCATCTGCGCGACGACCAAATCCTCCGTGATCGACCCCTTCATCTTCTTGAACGGGTCGATCCCTCGTGTCTCCACTTCTACTTCGTCCGGAGCATACACCGTCTCGGGCCTCTTGAGGCATCCCGTGCTGATGCAGACATCCCCGAACGTCACCGCGTTGGAGTCCCATTGGATATGCGGGTTGTGTCTCCGCAGCCAAGGGATACCTAGTACCACCGGGTACCCACTCAAATCGGTGAGGTGGAACTCGGTCAGTTCCAGGTGCACTCCCGTACGTACCAGCGTACGAGCCTTCTGGGTGATCCTTCCTCCCTGGATCTCCCGACCATCGATCACCGTCACTACCCGCGGCGTCTCGAGGTCCGTCACGTCGAATCCATGTAGCGACGCGAATGTCCGATCCATGAACATCCCGGTCGCTCCCGAATCCAACAACATGAGTGCTTGGACCGGCACTCCTTCCGGGTAGAACACTCCTACCAACGTCAGATGGCTATCTGGACCGTTGGGTACTCCGCTTGCACCCAACTGCAAGGGGATCCGGCTACCTCCTCGTGCTCCCCCATTCGGGGTCCTTTGATGATCCGTTATTCTGTAAGGCCCGGGAGCGGCCCCCGATGGGGGTCCCCCTGGACAGGCTGACGGGACGCAGGAATGAGGCAAGGTATGGGTAGACATCTAGATGTAATAACGGATGTAGAGCTATTACAGAGGTACTAGTTCTACATCCAAACAACAACACCGAAAAGTACCCCCGACGGGAGTCGCATACGGGAGTCGCGTACGGCGTGTCCGACGCGTCACGTGACCGCTATAACAAATCCTGTCCGCACAATAGCATGTGCCTTCTGGGTGATCTGACCACCCACTATCTCTCTTCCGTCGATGACCGTGACGGTCCTAGGGTTCTCTAGGTCTATCACATCAAAGTTATGGATCCTCGCGAACGTCCGATCCATGAACATACCCGTGGCCCCCGAATCTACCATCATCACTGCCTGCACAGGAATCCCCTGCGGGTAGAACACTCCTACCAGAGTGAGGTGGCTCTCCGGACCACTAGGGTTACCGCTAGCACCAATGTGCAGCGGGATCCCATCACTACCCCCTTTCACGTTCCCAGCCGGGGTCCTTTGGTGATCCGTTATTCTATAAGGCCTGGCAGCCGACCTGCCGGGTCTTGGGGTAATAAGGTCGCGGGACTGGGGAAAGGTAACGGTAGGCATAGCGATGTAATAACGGATGTCTAACTACTACAAGGTACTAGTTAGACGTCTACGAGAACATCCCCTAAAAGGTCTCCGAGAGGGTCTCCGAACGAGACCCCGAGGCGACGCGCACCGTAGGTCGCGCGTCTCGTGACGCCTATAATATCATCAGTCCTCCATCCTGGTTACCGAGTCGCATACATGCGTCGCAAGGAGTGGCCTGCCGAGTGGATCAGCGAGGCCTTGCTTATCGGGAAGGAGATGTGGAAGGACCACTACCGAGTGGCTGAGGTCGACAACGAGGTGGTTGTCAACGCGATGGTCTGTCCCTCTCGATCTACTCTACTCTTGACGTTCGAGACGTTTGCTTGCTTCTTACTGATATACACAACGCTTGTCTATCACATCGCAGATCAACGACGAGCTCGATGAGGTTCTGGCCCAAGGAACGCAGCAGGCGTCTAAGAGTCAAGAGGACGCGTTCGACACGTTCGTCAACGCATCTGCGACCGACGTCACGGTCGCACCGTTCCGAGGCCAGGCCCTGCTGTGGTGGAGTCACCAGTCGTCGTTGAATGGGCTGAAGCAGATGGCGTTTGATGTGTTGGGAACCCCTGGTGAGTTGCGTATCTTAGACGTTTGAACGTCTGAACGTCTCGAACTTCTTTACTTCGTTACATAGCCACCTCCGTCGACGTCGAACGGGTCTTCTCCAAGGCAGGCCTACTCGTCTCAAGCAGACGTACACGGTTGAATCCATCAACCGTACGAGAGTCTATGCTTGTTGGTGACTGGGTGAAGAGGGGAGTCGTCAACGACAAGGCGTTTGTCGAGACGTTTGGCGTTCAAACGTCTAAAACGTCTACACCGGTACCCCGGCCTGCGGGCTCGAGGTCAGCCTCGAGCTCGAACGCTGCGGCTAGCTCGTCTCGACCGATCGAGCCGGTGGTGGTGATCGACCACGACTCTGACGACGAGGACGACGACGACGATTGATCGGTACGGACAATAAGAACAATTGTAGTGTATTCTAGTATAGATATTCGATGAAACTTGATCACGTTCAAACGTCAAACGCCTCAAACGTCTAAGACGTTCGAACGCCAACGCCACGAACGTCTAAGACGTTCATTTTGGCGTTGGCGTTCAGTGATTTTTTGGAGACGTTCGAGACGTTTGCAAGGCGTTTGGTGAACGCGTTCACTCCATGCCAACACTACTCCCACCTAGACTAGCTTACCTTGAGGTTGTTCACGAGCTTATCGAACAGGATGTCGGGTGATAGAAAAGTAAGCAGGCCGGTTATCGTGACATTCTTGAGCTGCCCAGGTCGGTTGATCCGGCCTGTCAACTGAGCGCGAGCGCCTCGGGTCCGCCTGTCACCGACATCGAAATCAACTGTTGCGGCTTGCGTTCAAAGTGATCGATCAAGAAGACCTACGGTACGTCTAGCATGAACAAGTGGTTGCATGCCTGTAGGTTCTTCCCTTCCCACACATGACTCGCTGGCCCCAGCATGATCTTGACGTTTGGCCGCGTTTTCAAGAGCTCGAGAGTCAAATTTTTGGCATCCCGATTCCGAGCATTACTGTCGTAAACAAGCAGCTCTGCCGCGTGGGTCGAACCGTGACTGTAACGACGATAACCGCGCGCCTCGAGTGCACGTTCGAGGGGTCCGATGAAGCGCTCATCGTGACCGACAACCAGTATCTTATCATCCTGTGATGTCTCATTCCCGTGGATTCCCTCTATCATTTCACTGATGGTGGTACTGCCTGGATCAGGACCCTGCCTGCGAGCAGCAGCGATCGAGATACTCACAGTAATCTAGAAATCTTCGCGGACAACATGGTGGAACCGGTTTGCTCATCTCTCATCATCTCGAGACACGCTTGTGTGTCTTCATCAAGCTCGAATTTGGTATCTTTACACCATTCCGGCAACGCGTCAATAGAGTACGTGGCGACCTGTCAAATCGACTATTCATGGTCAGATCGGAATTTCTGGGGAGAGGCCGCACGAGGACTAACCCGCATCGCTTCCAGGATAGAGTGAACCTCTGTGTTGAGGATGGGTCGGTCCAAGTTGCGGTCGTTTTTCTCCTCCCTGCGATGGTAGACGTCAGCTCCATCTGACATTTTGTTCCACGCCAATGAAAACGTCATACAGTTCGATTGCCTGTTTCAGTTAGTGGCGGAAACATCTCACTACGATTCGCGGATGGGAGCAGCACGCCGTCAGCCTGTGTCGTTTTCCGAACATGCGCAACAGATGGCTTACATAGCATGTCTTTGCTGTCTGTAGGATTACATCTCACGCTCTGAGTTCCCTCGGGATTTACCACAAAGTCCCTCAAGGCGTGGAGCGCAAAGTCGAAGGTTCTCGACATGTACAGCGTGTTGTCAGCGAGTATCTTTCTCAACCATTCATCCTTCTCGTTGGTCGAAGATAGCTTGTTGAGTTGTTTGACCCATTGCCCATACATGGTCTCCAGCTTCAAGTACTGATAGACAAATGAGGATCCATCAGCCAGCATGCCGCCGTCTGAACAACAGGTCTAGACACTCACGCCGACCATCTTCAAAGCCGGAAAGATGTCGCCATGGTCTTGGGGCGCGATGGTACCAGATAGCAGCAAGACGTCTTTGACGTGGGGTAATGCGCAGTAACGGATGATATGTTTCCCATGTCGAATCCGCGTGTGTCTCAAGTTCTGACCTACAATCGGGATCAGCAAAAGACCGGTTTGCGGTCGTGCCGGACACCTTGCTCACATTCGTCCACGATGACTCTGTCGGCGGGGAAATCACCTAACGCGAGCTTTTGTGGTTTATCGAGGGTGTCAGTCGTATTGAGCTGGATCGCATCGAAACCTGAAGAGTCGTGACAAGAACAGCAGGGTCAGCCAGGATCGACCGGTCCGACTGGCTCGTAAAGTCGACTTGCTCATCACGACGATGTGGCAAGCAGACGGGTCCTACAGGTGAACGTAAGGCCCACATCAGCTGATAGCCGCGCAGCAGAGACGGACAGGGATGAACATACGGCTCGCCGTTTCTCTAGAAACATTTCCCAGTCTTCGAGATTTTCCACATAAGTAGTCCATTGCTCGAGAACACCCATCCATTGACGGATTTGTTGCTTCAGTATGACGGGTACTCATCAGCGGTTTTCAACGAGACCTGTCCTCCGTGAGACGTGTCCGATCTTACCTGCCATACAGAGATCACCAAACCAGCTGGGCAAAGGATCATCGTCGGGAGAGGTGAGTTCCGGCTGCCCATGTCCCGAGAGAATACTGAAAGTGCGGCAAGAGTGTTCCCCATCCCGACGGCATCGCATAACATGAAGCCCTTGCGCTGCGAGTCCGGAGGTTTCGCTTCGAGACGCCCCGCTCTGTAGTCTGCCTATCGCCAACAGGAAAGGAAGCGCGTGCGTCTTTAGCGCCCAGAATTTGGGGGCTTGTGTAGAGAGCGAGAAGGATCTACCATTTTCCAAATACTGGCGGCAGAAAAGATCTGCATGGAATCCGTTTCAGATCGTCGGAACCATCTGACGCTTGCGTCCGAAAGGCTTACCTGCGCAAAGGTGAGTGTCACCGACATGGCCCTCAAAGCGCCCCATCTACCCGTGACGTCGTCCTGTTTCAATCCCAAGACACCGAGCGCTTCCTCGACGGATTCGATCGGACCGGGTGCGGTAAGGGTTTCCAAGCTGGGCGCCGTCTTTTTCGCGCGCGCACTCGAATCGTCCACTTTGCCGTCTCTCGAAGGGTCAGAGGTTCTCATGAGCCCGTCCAGCAGGACTAGCACTCTTTCCAGACTGAGGTCTTCCTTTGACACGTCGCGGCAGCTGCTTAAACGTCTGCCAGCTTCCGCTATGTCTAGATGAGCCGGATCAAGCGCCATCAAAGGAGCGGGGTCGAGCGTGAGATCGTTCGAAGAGTCTTCAATCGCAGAACCACTTGACGTGTCGACGTTTGATTCGACATGTCCTGCCGTATGCCGCGTTCGAGATTTGGCACCGTGATCGGCTTTCGCCAATGATTCCGTCCTCTGCCTCTTCTTACTAGGCGGAGTGACGCTCGAAGGCGCCTTCACCGAATTATATTTCAGCGCACATGGAGGCGTGGTCACGACCGCATGTCACGTCGAGACTCACAAGCGAATCCCACTTTTCGGTCTCCTCGCGATGTTCACTGGAACGTACGTGTTCCTGCAAGAGCGGAAAAAGGACGAGACATCAGGTCCGGTCAAACTCTTTTCAAGCTCGCAAGTGGCATGACTTGCGATCAGGCCTCCGTGGAACCCCTGTCCATCGTCGCCGACTATGGGATGCGGTTGCAAACACCCTTGCCAGCGCGTACATACTTGACCTGTGTGCGCGCGGGACGGATGGGTTTGATGGGAAAAAGGATGCGAAGCGATCAAGATCAGACTCCGCCAAGACGTGTCATCGTCACGCGTGTCCGCTTTTGCTCACACACGACTTTGAGCGTGACCCGTTCGCCTTCCGGGATGGTGTCGGATACGACCAGCGGGCTGCACATGTTGGGTCCGAACGTATTCCTGAACCAGCGAAAAGCCCGAAACATGTTGGAAAGTTCCTGTTTGGGCGAGGGATTCGGTCCAGATGTCAGTCGGTCTGAGACGGGGGTAAACGATGAGGATCCGGAGCAGGGTCGTCGCCCCTTGGTAAACCGTAATCCACCCCAGGGATCTCGCCTCGGAACCGCCCCCCGCACCTCCAACTCCAATTCCAGTCCGAAACCCGATCTGTCCTCCGAATGGAAGCGCGAAACGGGGGAACATGACGAGGGGAGGGGGGACACCTAGACCCAGCACACTCACCCGTTTAAGCACGTCCGGTCTTAATTTCCTCTGATAAAACCTATCGATCGCGTTTACGTCTTCCTGAGAACATGGTTCGACCTCGAGGTGATTTTCGTGCCCATCATGACGATGATGATGATGATCATCATCGATAAAATCGACGTCGACATCGATCCCATCCTCCTCAACGCGATCGTCGACCGTGGTTCCCCTCCGCGAGCCTTCTCCTTCCTCTCGATGACCAGAAAGGACATCGCGCCGATCGCCTGCATCGTCACGAGAACGTACTGTCGAGCTCATCGAGCTCGTCTGACCGTTCCCAACCCCGATCCTAAGCCCCGACCCGGACCCGGATCCCACCCACGACCCGGAATTGGACCGCGAGGCCATCAAAGCGTCCTGGGGCGATTGAGACAACTTGATCAACACCCTCGCCCCGGCTTCATCTTCGGACGTTCCTCTCCCGAGCGCGGGTCCGGGTTGGGACTTGGATCCGAGTTCGGATTCGGGTCCGGGATGAATTCGAGGTCGAGGTCGAGGTTGAGGTCGAGGTTGAGGTCGAGGTTGAGGCTGACATTGAACGGAAGGTGAGAGAGCGGGAAGGTACACACTGGTGGTAGGAGCGTCGACGAGGTGGCTGATCGCCATCGGTCGATGATTGGCGGGGTAAGAGGTGGAAGAGGAAGAGGAAGAAGAAGAAGAAGGAGTGAGGGTGGTGTTGGTGTTGGTATTGGTGGTGGTGGTGGGCATCGTGGCGAGCGTCATTGCTAGGGGCCGGTTGGTCGCTCGGTTGAAAGGTGGCAGGAATGGTAGCACAAGCACCGGTCGATGCAGTGACAGTGATAGATGCCGGAGTCGGTTGCGATTGCGGTTGCGATTACGTGTCCGAGTATGGATTGACGACCCGTCCGTCTTCCCCCCCCCCCCCCCGGCCCCCCGTGTTCGCCCGGCCGGAGTTCAAGCTCCTCCCCCCCACTTTCCGGACTACGAAAGATACCCGCGGTAGTAGAGTCTGCACGACCTGTCGGATCGAGAGGTGATCAAAGTTACAGGAAGACAAACCAAACCGAGTCAGATCAGATCAGACCGGACGAATACTATCAGGGTACTGGCCTCGAGAGTCACGATGTCGACGAAATCGTAACCTCGTCCCGACTCACCTGAACGATCGAAGAATGAGTATGGGTTTACCAAGAGTCCCCCACCGGGTGCTTCTGATTTGTGGCAAGGGCGAGGTCCCGTTGCGATGTCCTCTGTCCCGGGAGGAAATTGATGGGAGCGGATCGAATGTCGGGGTTGACGGCGACGACGATGGTGGTTCTGAACTGATCGAACTGACCGTGTGCTGCTGCTGCTGCTGCTGTTACCACTACTACTGTACTACTGACGGTATGCTATACCTTTTCGATCGAGGTAGATGGGTCGAAAGTGAGCGTCGGGTGCCCCCGCCGTTTGTTGCCTTTGTGAGAGCGAGGGTTTCGGTTCCGCGTGAGTGGAAATGAATATATAGAGGGGGGGGGGAGATTACATAATCAGTCATTAGGGGGGGGAGATTACATAATCAATCATCCCCCAACCCCCGGGTCGATTCACGTGACACCTCGGCGGGCCTGCAGCCTCGATCGCCCTCATCCCCTCGCTCACTCAACTTGCAACTGACGACTACTCTCTCACTACTGCTATCACTCTTCTACCTGACCTACTACGACCTACTCTAGCTACTCTTCTGTTCGCCATCACCCCCGCTACTAGCAGACTAGCCACTACCCCAGCTCCATGCACGTGCACATGCACCGGCATGTCAGCGGTACATGGACGAACAGACCGACCGGGAAACAGCACGACCACTACACCACGTGTAGACAAGTATCAGACATTGACGACAGGCTCGACCGCATCGCCTCCGCTCGGATTGATAGTCTCGAATAGGAATCTGTCCAGCTACAGCAACGACGAGGACGAAGACGAGGACGAGGACGAGGACCAGGAGAACGGGGACGTGACCATGGATGAGGTGCAGGGGATGGATCACGGGATCACTGGGGTGGACAACGGTTCGACCCCATTGAACGTTTTCGCTGGCTCGTCCGGGTCGTCAACTTCGCCCACCATCTGGCCCCAAATCGACGGTACCACCAACACTAGCAGCAACATAGATACACCCACCACCACCACCAAGACCATTAACAGCATCAACACCAGCACCAACTTCGACAACATCAACAACAGGAAACGAAAGACCTCCGACGAGCCCACCGAAGAGGGTACAGATGGACGAGGTCCCATCATCCCCTCTACTCGCATCGACCCCACCTTGGAGACGACCGCTACGATTCCGATGCCCGGCCTCTCGCTCATCAGCGACACTATGATGACCGACCCCCAATCCAATTCCATGACGACCGACCCCGATTCCACTTCCATGACGACACATCTTATTACCATCCCAACGCCCTCGCACACGTCAACGCACACGCCTATGCGAATGAGCAAACGAGCTCGAATCAATCCCATCGAACCGACCACATGCGACTCGATCTCGACCTCAACCTCGGCATCGACATCGAGATTGGACGCGCTCGACCCAGCCACCCGGGACGAGAACGAGAACGGCGACGGCGATGGCGATAGCGATGGTATAAAACACGGCGGAGGGACCGGCAACAACAATGACGAAAACAACGACAAGAACAAGATCAACAACAACGGCACAGGTAAAGGTAAAGGTAAAGGTAAAGGTAAAGGTAAAGGTAAAGACAACGGCAAGGGCAACAGCAACGGTAATGGGCAAGGGACCGACCTCCGGACACGGAGCATCGTTCGTCTCGATTCGATCTGGCCAGAAGGGTGGGAAGTCGAGGTCTTTCCGTATTTGCCGAGACCGACTCGAATGGCCGGGGGGAGGATGGGAGTGGGACTGGGAGTGGGACTGGGAGTGCGAGGGGTCGGGTTGTAGGGGGGTCGGGAGCGGCGTCCTCATCTACGTTCGCGTCGGCGTCGGCCTCGACATCGATGTCCACGTCCACCCCGAGAGGACCCGTTTGGGGGAACTGGGTCTACCACGAACTAGCCCAAATCGGACAACTACTCGTCCCCCTCGAACCGCGGACGACGTCGTTTTCCCTGGACCCGGGGTATCAACCCCGGTTAAATTTGCCCAAGAGGTTGGTCGATCGGGTCTGTCTGGAACGGGTCATGAGGTTGCTCTCCCTGACCACGGCGAAACCTCAACTCCCCGACGGACGACTGGTCGACGTACAGAAATCGGGCAAGAGCCGGGAGTGGACTTCCAGGGATCTGAGGGCGTTGGCGAAAGCCACGTCAAAGGCGATGAAGGCGGGTCATGTTGAAGGGTACGAGATTACGCCGGATGAACGGAGGTGTGTGGGAATGGGCGTAGCGTGTGGGGTGTGGCGCTGATGCGTCGAGATGAGCACGAGTACGAGGGAGGACGCTGATAGGCCCTTGTTTTCGATTCGCTCCGTTCGGATCGCACAGGAAATTGATGGAGAATTACCCGATGAGCTTGGGCGACCTGCCGCTACACGATCACGTTGGACCGATCCCATCATCCAGCTCGACCTCGACCTCGGCCACGGCCGCGACCACGACCTCAGCAACGACGCGAGCTGGATATACCAGCACTACCAGTGATGTCCTCGCCGGATCGTCCCTTCTCGATCGCGAAGAAGGAGACGAACACGTGACCGAGTTTTCCCTGTCCTGTCTGCGAATGAGCGGGCACATCCCTCCCTTTAACAAGACGCAAAGGAGACTCACCGGGACGATCCTCCGCGATGGCGAGTACCGCTGGTGGGGAAGCCCGTTGGGATTGACGGGAATGGGACAAGAGAAGAGAGGTGAGCTGCTCGGGAGGGCGTGGTGTTGGAGGACTGCCGCGACAGGGGATAGTCGGCTGATGACCATGCTCGACCCGTCTCTCCCACCCCCTGGTGCTCGGAACCGATCGTCCCGTCGGCTATTGGCTACCCCTCTCACACCCGGTCATCGCTCAACGATCCCATCGATGTTGGTGTCCACTTGCGTCTCCTTGCCCGATGCACACGGGTTGGATGTGTTCACATGGATCGACCCTGTCTGTACCCACCCCGCTACCCGTCGCGACGTCGTTCTTGGAAACCTGCCATCTCGATGCACCTTTCCCATCGTTCGCCACAAAAAGAAGGGGAATTCGAAACCAACTGGAACTTTGCGTGCAAAAGGGTCGAGTGGCCGGCCGCGCCGGACGAAGGACCCAGATTGGGACTCCGAGCGCTCGATCTAATCACCTCGGCTTGTCCCCCTCTGTTACCCCGGCAGATACACGCAAGTCTTCGTTCGGATGTCGTACAGGTCCAGTTCACCCTCGCTCACCAGCTTTGCCCATAGTCTTGGTTGATCAAGCAGGTCCGAGAGATGACGGAGAAGACCGACGGTACCGAGACTCGCGGTCCGGGTACCAAGGATGGGATCTATACCGACATTGCCGTTTCCGACCTCGAGGAGCAGATAACCGAGTGAGCTTGAGGAGGCGATATCTCGGGTCGACCGCAGCGACTGATCTCGTCGTTTTGTCGGTTCCCGTCACCGCTGATAGAGCTACATCCAGCCAGTTACCGGTATGGGTCGCTCTTTGGGAGGACTATACCCCATGCAAGTCGGTATACAACCTCATGGCCCAGTTCCCGTTTGTCAAGGATTCAAAGGGGATACAATGCTGGCTCGAGCGTGAGTCGGTCGTTCAAACTTCTATGTGTGCGCATGGGACACACGGGCCATCAGCGCTAACCGGTTAATAACCTGTCAAGGTATCGGTCCGACGGGAGCCTGGAACCCGTTTTCTCAGACGACGTCGGTCTGGGCCGGCTTGAAGCAGGTCTGCAAGGCGGCCGAGCGGCAGTTTGGACTGCGTCTGACCATCGACCTCACCAACCGCGAATGCAGTTCACGCTTGTGTGACATGCAAACAGGATTACCGAAGTTTTGGGTGTGAGTCGACCGCGGTGTTGGATCCGCTGGCGATGTCGCTCGAGTGTTGAAACCAAATACTCGGTTCCGCAAAGAGACGGGTATCAGCAGCACAGAACGGTGATCAAGTTGACCAGCCCTCACCACCTACCCGGCCATAGAAACCGCGGCAACATGCCGACCGAATTCGAAACGCTGTCATCGGACGACACACGGACCATCCAAATGCTCCTTCCCGATGTCCTGAGGATGCCGGACGTCGAACCGGGGCCGTATCGAGCGACCGGCCTGAGCCATAGCCTCATCATATCGGGAGCGGGGACCTTTACCTACGAACAAGGCAAGCCACATGGAATCGCGCTCAGCCTGTACGCAGGCCACGTTCTGTTGTGCGTAAAGAACCGCCGAATGCGACTTCAAGCGAGCCTCGAGGGTGTCTGGGCGCCCCGTTTGATCGCTCCCGGTGTCTCAATGTGAGTCATCCTCGCGTGAACAATGAACCACCTGGAAGCTGACCGTCTCCTCACGACTTGATCAGCATCATACCCTCGACCACCGAGTACTGCTGGATCAATCTCTCGGATACCATCGTCCAGACGCACGACTGGCACTCCCATCTGCTTTGGGTACCTACTCGCCGACTCTTCAGTTCGGGAGTCTACCTAGCCGATTTTTATCGCATCCGTGGACGAAGCAATGTCGCCGGGGTGCTCATAGGAATCGTGCTTGGTCTCGCTACATTTGAACAGAACAGCCGGGCGTGTGGGCCCATCGGGATCGATAGCCAGCTCGAAGCACTGGAGGCGGTCAGGGAGATCATAAAGGCCTTGCACCGGAATGTGGGGGATGTGTTCTACGACCCGCGGCAGCGAGTCGAGAGGGCGGCCATCCGTATCCTGTCTCAATGAGTTCTCGTTTCGGTGGATCACGTTCCATTGTCCTCGAAGGTTTTCTCCAATGTACGGAGGCTAGCCTCCGTACATTCACCAGGATGCGACGACGTTGCATGTGCGAATCGGAAAGGTAGTGGAGAAAAACGGACAGATTCGGGTATGGGCCACTTGATCTTCGCTATCCACCCTCTTTGAAACGATAACGAGACAACGAGGGGAGACGGGGACAGATTGAGGGATTTCACATTCGAGGGGACCAAACGAGACGACATGAATGGCCGTTACGATGATCTTATGTCCACGATAATGACGACATAAGAGTATGAGACAGACGAATGACAGATGTATGATAATGATCATGGAAATTTGGATTTGGTTCTGGCCGGAAAAATAGCATACCTTGACAGACGTCCGCAGCCGGTCCCCGTATTTACTGCACCTTATTGTCCAGCAGCGGGATTAAGGGTTCGCATGGAAGGTGTCATAACCTCGGATGTTGCTCGCCGCAAATTCGATACGGCAATTGAGCGAGAAAGAGGTAACGCGATTCGTCTCCTGTTCCAGGCGAACAACCGCATTAACGGAAACTATCGTTTGATCGATAATATTATAGGCGTCACGTGACGCGCAATCTACGGTGCGCGTCGCCTCGGGGTCTCGTTCGGAGACCCTCTCGGAGACTCTCTCGGAGACCTTTCAGGAGATGTTCTCGTAGACGTCTACTAGTACCTTGTAGTAGTTAGACATCCGTTATTACATTGCTATGCCTACCGTTACCTTTCCCCAGTCCCGCGACCTTATTACCTCAAGACTCGGCAAGTCGGTTGCCAGGCCTTATAGATAATGGTCAGTCTCCAGACGTCGCTGGTCATATAACGGATATAAGGTCAGAATTTCCCAAGTAACGGGGACAAATACAGAGCGAGACTCACTTATTCAAATCAGCCGACCTTGGATGTAGCTTCTACATTCTTTGTACCCCCCCACTCCCCCCCTCACCCACCCCCCCGCCCCCCTTCCATCCCCTCCGGCGCGAGCCGTGCTGGCTGCAACCCGTCTACCCAACCATCGCTATGAAGCTCGAGTGTCTTCCTGATCCTGTGCAAAACGGGCTCGATCATAATTGATCAGTCCGAGTGCTCCTCCAACGGCGATTCAAGACTCCATCGTGAACGGGCCCGTACGACCCAAAAGAGGTGACGAAGTTCGTTTTAGGAGGTGCGATGGGCCGGCAAAGTGACCCTTGCGAAGCTGTTATCGTCAACCAGATCAAAACACCTTGAGTCAGCTCCAGCCACCTCATACCATCTGCAACAAAACCCAAGAACGAGACCCAGTACTGACCATTTGCGACCTGGAAAGTCCGTACTCTCTCGAGGTGCGAAGAGAAAACTTAGTGGACGTTCGAACCGATCGATGAGCGGAATACGCGGTGAGGTGTCCATCCCTCCCCATCGTCGCCCAAAGAAGGTATAGACGAATCCTTCTCCGCTTTCCCCCATCGGGCCTCTCCTGCCTTTTCCGAGTCTGACCTGACCCATCCTCGCTGTTCCCCGACCAACATCAACCGTCTCCTCGATACTGGGAAACCTTTCCGATCCCGCACCCCGCCGAAAGGACCTCGATTCCCAGATATCTCATATCCCGGCTCGGCTGAACGCTCTCCTACAGTACGTCCAGCTGGGCTTGAAGGGATCGGTAAGGTAAAGTACACCCCGATCCTGGTCCTGGACGAAGTAGTCTTGCGCAATCCCATGTCCCATTGCATTCGAGGAAACGTTGCTCCGACTTCTCGAGACGGATGGTTCTCTCTGAGGTTCGATCCGTCGGGTCGGGTCTGATCTTGGGTTGATAGCGTAGAGATCGATTGGGAGAGGCTAAGCCCGTCATCGAGAATTACTGCGGTGGGTACCCTATTTCGCCCTGACTAGCGAAGTGACCCGAGAAGGGAAGAGGGCCGAAAGATCGCTGATATTGGGCATTGGCTTCAATGTTGGGTCTCGCGATCCTTGTTGTTGCAGCCAGATATGGGATCGGGGCGGGACGATACCGATCAGGCTTGGTGGCAGAGTATCGTATCGCTGTAAAGTCGGTGTGGTATGATATTGGTGTTGTCTTCTGCTTCTTTTTGATGACCCGCTGACCGGTCCTACGAGTCCATCTTGGTGCAGATCTGATCGAAGTTTCCTCGGTCTGGCGGGACCGAGAGTGGATCGTGACCGTGTTCGGGAAACCTTGATGCGTCACCGGGCAAGCTCAAGGTTTCCTCTTGAAAACGACAAAAGCTTTTGGAAGTGCAGGGTACGGTTGGAGGATCAATGTTTTCCGATCAACTTGCACAGGGACAAGTCTTGCCGGCCTAGTGAGGGAAGCAGGAAACCGCGAGTGGGCTAGAGTTCCGAAGGGCAGAACGATCGCAACATCAGACATCTGCACCTCCAATCGAGAGGCCTTGTATGCACGGGCTTTGAGGATGAACATACTGACGAGTCTCGGCTTTCTCTTAGCCTTGGCTTGACTCCTGGTCATCCCCATCTGGATCCACGGCCTTCGGACATCACGTTTACGAGATCCGTCTTCGTGCGCCTTTTGGCCCGGCCTACAGCTCCCTAAAGGAGAAGTAGAAGCATTGGATGGGATACCAGAGATCGCCGATATCAGTATCCGTCTTGATTAACGATGTGGTTTGAAACTGGGCATACCTTGGTCGCGACCTGACCCATCGCCCTCGTATAAAATCCTGCCCGTCCCACTGGCTAGTGATGGCAAACGTGAACGCCGTTCGCTGAACGCACGTCAAGGGCCGTTTTTTGCTTCCGCCGTTCAAACGGCAACGTAAAATCTGCCGTAGCAAATAACGTGAACGTGAACGGCAACGGCTGCCGAGCACGTTTCGCATGCGTTCGCCGTTTCGGACGGCCGGACGGCAAACGCGCTGCCGTAATAAAGGCGTAAGCGGTGATGTAATCTTGCCGAAAGGTGCCGATGATCATCTAGAACACGCGGCAAAAAGGCAGAAAGCACAGCCGCAAGCGGGGATCGATCCCCGCCGTTCAAACGGAGGAAGTAAACGCCTGTAAAGGACGAACGCCTTCCAACAACGTCGGAACCTAGGTCGATGTGGTTGTGGACCATTGAAGATTTTCACCCTTCACTTCAGCCGTTTGTTTTCGCCCGTTCATGCGAACGGCGTTTGCTGCTGCCAACACTATCCCACCCTTCTCGGTCGCATGCCGCTTGGGCCATCTCTCTGTCGTTGACAGCTCGTTTTGTGTTGCCGTGTGTGTTACCATGTCTCCTATCTTTCCCGTCATCTTCTAGTCAGCAGCTAGTTTGCAGGCTCCAGGTGGCTCTCTGCCTCTGCCTAGAGACAAACGCGCTTCGTCGATTTGATTCTTCTATATGCCAACCACTTCGTATGCATATGGTTTCTCGACATCTCCAGCCAAGGTGTTGACTGAGCACAGGCGCACAGGTTGGTCCTTCGTAAGTCTGACAATATACCAAGTTACTGACTTCACAAAAAGCGAAACCACTTGCATCGCACTGGTTTGTGCGGCGGCGCAGACCCTACGGCTGCTACCCCTTCCTCTACCCCACTACTTTGCATTTTCATGGCAGGATCATGCCTTTGCTTGAACGTCTTGCGGCACCTTCACGTTCCTTGCTCGAAACACGGACCGCCTATAGGCTAGCGCTTCCGTGTCCAGGTCAGGAGATTGTTGGATGTTACACATCGCTGATCGCCTTTGCCTGCTGTCAGGGATCAAAGGGCAAAGAACACACGTCTCGCTGGCGAGAAAAGGTATTAGGCCGACAGTCCGCTTATAGAACGAACCCGGGGTGAACAAGGGGAATCTCCATTAACCACATTGTGCTCGACCCTCGTCTATGTCACCTCCCATTTAGCTTCAGAACATGGTCGCGAGTATTGCAGTGATGCCTTACCTTGATCGATCGTGTGTTAATCAGCTTGCAGACCTTGCCCTTTCCTCCGCCAAAACCACTCACGAAAGGAACTCTGCAACTCGTACGGACCCGTGCTCGTCTCAGGCTTTTGATCTCATCGAGTGAGTGGGAGGAGACCCTACAATGACTGTGATCGACCCAAGCTGACCCGTCGCGTTCAGCCCGAGCTGAACCATCGCGATGAGCTCGACCTGCCGTGTGCTGATCAGCTCAAGAATATGGATCGCTCGACAAATCGAAGACGCGAACCCCTAAGATTGCATCGACATACCACAATCCACAAACTACAATCTAAGAGCTGGGCAAGTGGACTACAAATCTCGCTAACCGAAAGGTCCGAACATGCGAAGTGTCTACCGTAGGAACAGATGGGTCTGAATCGCTGATGCGCGTCGTTCTCTTTCTTTGCAGGTCGAAATCCGAACCAAATACTATCGACCTTTCACCTCTTCCCTCAATCTGCCGATCACCCCATCTGTTACGGCGGCGAGTCCGCCGGGCTGCTGCCCCGGGCTGGTCCGCCGGACGAGTGAGCAGGAGAGAGGCGAGGGTAGGAGTATACATCTATATAGTAATAACGGATGCCCAGCATCCGGTCTTTAGTGATAGTACAACGTTCGAATGTAAACAACAAATACGGCGGAGTCCGCCCTCGGGATGGCCCGCCGGAACGCGTCTCGGCGCGTCCCGCGTCTCGACTGCGTCGATCTCTAACACCATCTTCCTTATCGAAATCCTCTTTCGACACCACAACGCTCGGACCTAGACTGGAGTCCCTTGTCCCTGTTAAATGGAAGTGTTTATAGTTTCGAGAGGGTGTCTTGTGGCCCTTTTTGATGGCCTCCCAACACACGCCCTCCCCGACACGCGAAGGCTGGCTGTGGCGCGATTGCATGAAACAATTCCAGCTCAAGCCATCCGCGATCAAGGGGAAGGAAGGACGATCATCCTTTGGGGGTTTGTTGTGATCTTCGCAGCGAAAGGAAGGCCGAGCATCCTTTGGCATGATCCGGTTGGTTGTGATCCTCGCTCCACCGTGTCGGTCACAGCCCTGCCACTCCGTGGGCCTTAAGGCTCTGCGCCGGGACATATATATACCTCGTTCCCACCGGATCATCAAACGGACTTTCGACATGCAACCCCATCGGAACGCCAACTCTTGCATACCCTCATCAACTCATTCACCAGCTGAAAATTACTTCGATCATGTCCTATCTCATCGCTCGATCCCCCTCCCTGCAGGCCGACACCGCTGGCTTCGATAAAGGCGAAAGGCACATTCGTGCTCTCTCCCCTAACCGCCGCCGAGCCATCACGCGAAGTCAAACTCGTGTGCATAGGGGACCTTTGCCCCTAAGACAAGAAGCTTCGGTCGAAGCCAGCAAGCAGATGCAATCGCAAAGGCCGGGCCTTTACAAGGAGGCGAGAGTGTGAGCATGTCTGTGATGTTGCTGGTACGCTGCCGATACGTAATCTGATGCTGCCGGTTCGTCACTGCAGCCCGGTTCAAGCCTTAGGCTCTGGCCTGTCTGCCTCGCCCTTGACTCCTGTCGAGAAGAACAAGGTCGCCATCAAACGGGCCAGGCTGTCCAACGGGGTCGCCAATCTCAAAGACAAAGGAACCAGACAGCATGCAAGCAAGGCGACTGCTGGAGGCACGGCTTTGTATACGATTTCCGAGTGAGTGATACACCTCCATCTATACTTTCCGTAGCCAACTGACATGAGGGCGGGTACACAGAGAGGAGACCAGTCAAAGGGCCAGTGAACGGCTTCGTGCCAAGGCTAGCTGCGGAAGAAGTGATTCGACCAGGTCCCTCAGGTCCTAAATCTGTTGTCGGAATCGGCTCCTTACTTTTACTTTCAATTTGTTTGTTTAATATGACGTTTGTGCCATTCTGTCAACGATGGCTGCTAGAAATTCGATACTTGCGCTGGTCTGTCCAAGTCTCCGATCTGCCTTTACAGAACTGCCGTCTAGTGAATAGCGTGCCATCCCATCGAATCGCATGCGAGCCGGTCAAACTGTATGCGGTCATATTGAATCGGCATGCGAGCCGGTCAAACTGTATGCGGTCATATTGTATCGCATGCGATTATGCCACAATCGGAGAGGTTATTCATTGAACTGAAGCGTAGTCTGGAAAGCGGGATCTATGTCATCGCCTGAATCTCTACCCTTCTATCGGTACAAGCAAATCCCTGCCTACAATCTCACGCTCGACTGAGCTGGCCAACCAACAAAAATAGTTCGCTCCTCATCCAATCGGATTGGTCGGGACCATGTGAGGGGTCCGCCAAAAGAGCATAGCTTGCGTTCCTCAGGCAAGCCCTGAGACACGCTTGCTGTTGTTCGCGGACACTGGTATCTCTGGCAGGTGCGTTTAGATCGGTCTCGTTCCAACCTCCTCTCGCTAGAGCGATGAGGCGGGCCGAGAATTGGTTCCAAACCTCGATACCCAAGTCAGAGTCGCCGGCAGCGATTAACCTCAACTGCGCTTCCGAGATGATTGTGTCTCTCAGAAGGTTTTGGAGGAACACGTTCGGAATGACCATAGTACAGTCCCCCAAATGTTGAACCAGCCAGTGGATAACCAGGTCGAAGATTTCCGAGACGTGTCTATCGCTTGGCCTCTCATCCGGACAATACCAGTCAAGCGCTGCGCTGACCGTAGCCCGTATCTCCTGGTCTTTTTCCTCGTCCGAATGGAAAATGTACGCTGGAGGGGCATCCGGCTCTCTTTCCTGCTCATCTTGAGCTTTCACTGCGGTCCGCCAGCCGCTTTAGCGCTTCGATACCTGAGAATATGCCGATGCAATATATGGAAAAGACTCACCAAGCTCATCGAGGCGATCAGCAAAAATCTGGCTACAATAGACCTTGTTGGCAAGGAGAAGACAGCTTTGGTTCCAAGCTTTGTCGTCCTTGTCGGATACCCAACCAATCACTGAGACTGTGGTGTTGTGTGCGCGTTCGGCTTGTCCGACGAAACCCATGTTTGGCGGAGATACCGGGAGGAGACACGCGTAACGGGCGGCGAAGTTTGCTTTGGTGTCCTCTTTGTCCATTTGAATGGAACGCATCAAGTTCATAGTCTGAACGGTAGCAAGATTGATCATTTGTGCCTTGACCCCTTGCTTATCGTCTGATCTTCCTTTAGCTCCCTGCTGGTAATCGGATGTCTCCTCGGATCCTTGCTTGTCGTCAAACAACCAGGGAGACAAGGTGCTGGACGCCTTGATGCAATTGATAACGAGAACGTGGGCTCGGCTCAAGATTGATTGGGCGTTTCGCCAATCATTAAGCATGGACGCCGTGGTGGTATGACGTTTGATATCGTTGGAGGGAGGAGACGCGAGCATGGCGGCGAGACCTCGACAGCCGTCCAGGAATTTGCGATGTCGTTCATCTTCGTCATCCGACAAGAAGGTTGTGTGATCGTACTGGACTTCGACAGCTTCTGTCAGGTGTTTGATCGAGAGTTGTAGTTTCCCCGGGGGCCCCTTGATCGAAATTCGATTTTTATCTTGAGCTTTGGCATTCAATAATGCCTCATCCAGGCCGCGCGATGTGCGACATTTGGATATTTCATTGATGAGGAAATGCGCGCTCGTCTGGTCGCAGGAGATTCCACCCGGATGTTTCGAAGAACCCTGGGAAGCAGACTTCTGTTTCAAGTTCCGTATGCGCCTCGCGCTTCGATACTCATACGCATAATCAGACAAGCATCTAACTTACGGCAGCAGCAATGTCATCGACCTGGATTCCGGACAATGAACATAGTCGAATTTTGGGTAAGCTCGTCAACGATCCTGCTGTCGCGCTGGCGAAACTTGAAAACGACTTGCCTGCATCGCTAGGATCTATACGGTAGTCGAGATTGTCAACGGATCAACCTTAACCGAGCGTAACGAGGAGAAACATGAAACTTACCTTTTCGTAGAAATCGTTGACGAGGAGTTGGGCAAGTCTGTTTTTTTCCAGTGACTCGAACCCACACTGTGCGAGGATATTTGAGGCTATTGTCTTAGCAGAGCTGGACGGGTCAAATTCACGAACTTTCACTCACGATATCGAAAAATGTGATGACACGTCCTTTTTCCTCTCTAGATTTCCCAAGTCGACTGGCTTTACCGGTCCAGAACTGTAAGACCGACTCGGCGATCAGGCTAAGTCGGCGTTGATCATGACACGCCAAACTATGGCTCACCTCGAAGATCGGTCGATAGATAGCCTTGCCCCGGGCATATAGTTCGTCCAGCTCAGCCTGCTCAGTCCTCGTCTTGCCTTTTGGGAGAGAAAGCTCCATGTCCCAGTATTGAACAAGCTCAAATGCCGACTTGACTTTTGGGTCGCTACCATTCTTTGCTGCCATCAACAGTGCCACTCCGGCAAGTCCATTCCAGGTCAACGCAGGCAGTGTATCTTGTTCGCCAGCCACAAGCTTCATGGCATCATTCACTTTATGATACTGTTCTCCATCGTCATCTGACCTCACTCCTTGTGGATAGAGTTCCTGGATAAGATCGAAATCGAGTGCGCGATGGCCGTGAGCAAACAGATAGTAAAATATGTGGAAGCTTCGCTCCTCTTTTCCTTTGATACCCGAAGGCGAGCGAAGGCAATGGACCCTTGTGTACTCGAGCATCATGGCGGATACGACAAAGCGGGGGTCGCGGCCGAGGTTGCTAGTCTACGGGACGTCGATAGTACCGTCGATCAGCATGATGAGTCGATCGCTTAGGCAGACAACGACTTTACCTGGATCGACTTGATCATTCTGCTCGAATCGTCGTTATTCTTCGTCCTGGCGTTGCCGAGTGCGTCGGTGATGATCATAGACTTCTCCAATTTAATGATCGCGTTCTTATTTTCCGCGTAGTCAGAGTCAGAGAGCATGTTCAATATTTCCCTCATTACGGTAGTTTTCCCAGCCCCAGATATGCCAGTCGCTATCACAGCGTAGTGTTCTGCGGCGGCCCCCTGCGGAGGTCCCGCAAAGAGATCGCCTCCGAACAAGGTGTTGAGCCGGTCATGTCTGACGATGGGTCGTCAGGGCCAGTATTCTTCTTTACAGGTCTTCACGCATTCGTTCACTCACAGAACATGAGTATCCGTTGGTTTCTGATGTTCCGGACCGAGTCGACCGGGATTGATCATGACGAGGCCGTTGCAACCCACAGGATGATAGATTCTCTTCTCCTTGAAAGCTTGTTCCAGATACGAGACGATGTGATCGTTAGGGTCAACTATTGAACGATGCAGTCGACATAACGTTGCTCATCAGATCACGAAGAGTTCCAGCAGGGAGGAAATTCTGGACTTGCCTTGAATCGAAGCCGGAATGATCTGATCGAGGTTCATGATGGCGAGTAGCTTGCGGTGGTTGCTTCTTGCTGCGTTTGGGAAAGAGGGCGGTATACACTACGATAGCTACGATCGACTTGAAGCTTGAAGAGACTTTTAGAGAATCAAATAGTGTGATAATGGTACCATTCGAAGGTGTAGGATGAAGTTGAGACCCGTGGCCCATGGGTCTTGCGAACGGAATCTCGCTCGCGCCGAAAATGGCGAACAAAAGCGGGAGAAGAAAAGCGGGAGCCACGCCAGCTTCTCCAAAGCTGAAACGCACATCAAAAAGCGGGGTACCCCCAAGTAAGGCCGACCTCGGCATGCCTACCGTCAGGGCTAGTACGTGCTACGGTGGTTTGTTGTCATCTTGACTTGCCCATCAATTGGATTGCGAGTTGCAGGTCTTTCTTCGTAGGTCCCGAACTCGATCGTAGTTACCTCAGCGCCTTAGAAACTCTCACAAGCTCACTTGAATCTCGAACCTACTCGTACGCTTGAACCGGAGGTCAGAACAGTCACGATCTCGCCGAGTCAAGATGTCACAACCTCCTCCAAAGGTGGATCGCGGGTCTGCCACCTCCGCCCCGGCCATGGCTCCTACTGCCACCACCTCCGGGAGTACCATCACCATAGGCAGACATGAGCTTCAATTGACTCCCAAGCGGGTCGCAGACCGACAGCGAGCCGCAAGAGTTGTACAGAACAGTCCAACAAAGAAAGGTCGACGATACGAAACTCCCGTAGGATCAGTACGGCCTATCGGAGATACTTCTATGGACGATCCTTTTCCTGTCCCTCCTGGTCGTCCAGTCCCAGGTCCTCGACGCCTTTTCATTTCACCTGTTCCGGTTCCGCCAATCCCCACTCTGATTCGCGGAACCGCATGCTTGAAGCCGCCAGTAAGATCTGACCGCATTGGCCGCAGTGGCACTAGGATCGAACTGACCAAACGAATATTATTCACCGCAGGGACGTAAGGATATCATCTGCACTGCCCAGGAGGAAGGCGAGACAAGTAACCTCGAGCGACAGGTCGCCAATCTGCGGTCGGAAGCCGAGGAGTTGAAGGGGAAAAATTCGGCCCTGGAAGCCCAAGTCGAACGCTTGACGACCGAGTTGGAGCAGTTGAAAGATGCGCAAACGGCGGGCTCGATTCACCGAGACGACAGCATTCATGGAAACCCGGTTGGAAGGGAGGGTTTCTTGAGGGCGAGGGAGAATTGCCGCATAGCGCTACTGGAGCAACGCGATCGGGAGTCGGACCAGATGAGGGAGGTCCTGTCACGAAAGAAGTGTCGTCCGACTCGAAGATGAGATCCTGTCGAGGTGAGCTAGGCCACGTATCGGCACGTGTTGCATCGTCTGTTGCTGATAACGCTTGGGTCGCACGTCAGAAGGAACCCCTTTTGACTGCCTCGCCTGGTCGTGAAGCGACACATCGTTTGTATGCCGCAGGTCATGTTCTATGATCAATATCACCATCATAATATGTATACAGCGCATGAAAACCAGGTTGAATCATCTTAGGCTCGAGGGCGACTTGAATCGCAAGGCAAGAGAGGTTAAGAGAAAATTGTTATGACGGTTCTCTCTTGATACGGTGAGCAGTCCATTCCTTGTGTAAGCTTTGGGTATGCTAGCCGTTGATATTGTGTTCGCAATAGAGGTAGAGTAAATCACACAATCGTACCAGCGATCTAGCGATCAGACCGAGTTCCCTATCACGTCACGCCGCGCGTCCCCCTCATCGTATACCATCGTATACCATCTTAGACCATCGTATACCACCGTCTACCATCGTCTACCAACGTAGATCTCATCATAGGACACACATAGAAACTACGTCGTATATCGGCTATAGCACCCTGCCATATCGGAAACAAAGAGTCACCGAAACTCACCGCCTTCGAGAGCGAAACTAAGGTGACCATCTTCAGTTGGTACGACACGGCACAGATCCAAAATTGACACCCATCCATAAGCGATAACGCTAAACGACAGATGCGGAAGAAGAAAGATAGAGATGAAAGATCAGCGAATTGGCAGTTCCCCCTCTCTCAAACCGATAGGGGGCATGTCCTCCGCAACGGTAGCCATGCGGTGAAGTGGGAGAAGCGCGACTGTGAGTACGGCTACTTGTGACTTGACCTGGCATCGTCCGGCGGTCAATTATCCCTCGAAGTGAACTGACCCGACCCCGCCAACCAATAGAGGGGGAAAACTCCGCCAATTTCTTTTCAACAAGATACGGACGAGCCTAAGCAAAGTCTCGAGGGCGACAAGCCGGTGGACATCGAGAGGCAATAAGGCGGTAGATAACATGACAAGTTCGGGGGATAAGTTGGTTGTACACGAGAAAGCGATCTGAGAATTCTGAAATCTCCATGCCAAGGGTCGAGAACATCTTTTCCACGCAGGCGTTGGGAGGGGTAACGACTTTGGCATGTGTGATGTACCACCGTTACAGCGTCATCGAAAGATCCAAAATGAAGCTTGTGTTCATCGAGGAGCTACAAAATCTGCGATAGCCCTTGTTCACGGGAGTTCAGGTCAAGACCTGGCCCATATCGCTCCGATCGGTCACCGATAAATCGAAGTCATGGGTCATGGTACGGCTTGAAGCAGCTATGCACAAACTCACGGCAGATGGCTCTCGCAAGGTGAAAGGGTCCACGCCGCTTTCAAGTCCCGTTTGGAAATGTCGCATATCAATTTCTAGTCATATCGTTGTGCGGGAATCATCATCCACGAATGTGAGAGCGGAACGGGTGACGGCGGTCTGGCGATGGACTCTGAAGAGATCGTTCACGTCGACACGCGCGATCGAGCTGGAAGGGTTTCTGCCGACGGTCAGGGTCATCCGTCGTCATGGCTGTCATCGTCGAAGGATAAATCAGACTGACCTCTATCGTCTCCAGTTCTTTGTTATCCCTCTTGACACTGCGTCGTCCCCCAAGCACACATGCCGGCTCATCCTGACCGGCCACCTTTCCACTTCCGCTTTCCTGCTCGCTCGCACTCGCACTCGCTCCTGCCCCTGACGCGTTCCTCAGCACCTCAACCGTGCCAGTCAACGAATGGATCCATCCATCCCTAGTTTGCACTCTGAGCTGTGTATCCGATGACGACGAGAAGACTGGCCAGATCAGGGTGAATGTCGTCATCGCAAAGCGGCACGTCCACCTCCAGAGCTTTGTGGAATTGTTGCGACAGCTTCTCAAACACCTCGTCTAAATATTCCTCGATGGTAGCCCCAACCTGTCTCTTATTGAAGCCTCCGCTGACCTTGTCGAGGAGACTGCAGCAATGTCAAAAGAACGTGTTGACCGCGTATTCACTAGCATCGCCGGCTTATCGTTTCTAAGGCCCATCTTGTCTAGGTAGATCACAGCGTTTGCCCAGCCAAGCGAACGCACTGAAGGTCTTGACGACTGCACGGAAGCTTGTCCGAACGCAAACGCTGGGCGGCTGATGGTCTCGAGCCTCGCCATTATCCATGCTATCGCTTGAAATCTGGTTTTCGTCCGTGTCCTCTCAATGAGACAGGTGTTCTGGTGTCTTGCCGGTGCAGAGTCCCAGCCGGTCGACACCGATAAGCTCGATCCGATATGACCGATGACTGTGTTCGGGTCCCTTTCTGCCGTTTCCGCTGTCCTGTCGTATCGATTTCCTGACCGGTTGATGAACGCGCGTCGAGTGGTGTTTCCTGTTCGCGTTTAAGTTAAGCTTGAGCAGAGGGGAACGTCGAACGGAAGATCGGGTAGGTCAGCCGACCGAAGCCTGTTCGTCAATCATGTTCTTGTAGGTCGTCCCAGCTCACAGCATCCCTAATGCCAGGAGCTCAGATGACGATCCGCGGGCCACCGATCTCGATGCGGGAATGGCATTATCTGCCGTCGTTGATATCTTCTCGCGCAAAGCGTCCATCGACACTACTCTCAACCTTCGCCACATTGGTCAGATCCGGGGTAAGGGGGGTGGCCAGAAAGTTCTGGCGATGGACGATCCGGACGGGCGACGGGAGGGCGGTCCGACATCTTGAAGACGGCAATAGTTCGTCCGTCATTAGCCGGGCGGTTGTTGTTCGATCTCGGGATGCGGGCCAAGCTCACCGGAGCTGAGAGACAAGATATGGTGATAATTCACCATGGTGTCTTGGTGTGGAAGGAGGGCGAAGGAAGGACGAGTGGTTCCTTGCTCCGAGAGCATCGATCAGATCGACTATGGTGGTTCCATGCTGCCTGAGGTGAATTCGCCCATAGTCTCACTGACAGAGAGCCAGAGAACGTTGAACCAGATGGGCTCGAGCGGTTGTGCCGTGTCGTGTCAGAGCGGTACGGCGGTGGGCTGTCACGCGGAGAATCTCAAGCGCTCACCATGAACAAGACAAAATCCAGGAAGGTATAGTTGAGGTCTCGCCGCCTGAGGGTGTCTTCACAGGGATGGGGCTGTCTCTTTATGCTCCGAGATCGCCGACCTCAAGATCGGCCGAGACATTTGGAGATTAACCACCTGGCCACAGCAACTGGATGGTGGAAAATCGTAGGCATAATCAGTCCCAGTTCATTCCCACTCGATGCCCCTATCGTGCGTGAAAGGAAACAATCCAGTTGCCATCCTTGTACGGTCCATTCGCAGTCTTTGCCGGGTCCACTAAACCTTGGTGTTAGCCAAAGTCAGGCCTGTCACCGCAGCGAAGAGACGGGATCGAGTGCGAGTCCGTGTGAGAGTCGAGCCGAATCTGCGACCGAGTCAAGTTCGAGTGTGAGCCCAGGCGATTTCAAGTCCGACTACAACTTCGGGTCGGCTCGCACTCGACCCGCTGTCTAAGAGGACCTGGCAGTTAGGCGCCAGGCGATGCGAGACGAAGGAAGAGTCAGCACGGGGCTCACCAGATCGATACCGCATATAAATACATGACGCTCGTCCAGCTCGGGCCTGCTTAGGATGAGACCGACGAAGTATTGATAGAGCTCGAACTATGTCGTCGAGGTATTTATCGCTGATGCGTGGTTGGTCGGGCCCCTTCATCATCCCGGTGTTATTTTAGCATCCGGCGCGGTCATCTCCGATCAAAGGAGGTTTCAACCTTCAAACCTCGACGAGAGCGTCCTGTAGCTCTGTAGACTATAAGTACAAATACTTGCACTCGGACCCTCCCCCCTGCCCTGTCGCCTTTCCCCCCTCCTGACCCTCCTTTGAATCTCCTTTTACTTCATTCGAACCTCTTCGCTTTCCTTCTGACGAATTGAACATACCTGCTACCGTATTCAAGGATGTATAGGAGATCTCCTCGCTCGCCGCGAAACCGCACATCGGCGCATCAACCACCAACAACGACCTTTGCGACCGTGTCGATAGAAAGGACCTTTACTTTGAGTCCTTTAGGTCGACAACAACAACGGCAACAACAACAACAACAACCATCCTGCACTCCGTCCTTCACCATCTCTCCCATGACGGAAAGACCACCCCCTGGGGATCCGGTACAGGCACAACGGGACGGATACTTGATGAGACAAACCGAGCACGAGTTTGGGCGGGAGGAGACGGCGGCGACCTCGACTCCTTTGAAGGGCGATTTGAATACCCTCAACGATAAGAAACGACAAGGCATCATCTTGACGCCAAGTAAAGTTGCCTTGATCTTTGACTGCTGTCCGTATGCGTGAGTAGTTGTCGTCGTTGTGGTTATCGTGTTCTACCCCATCATCCATCCATCCTTCCTTTCGTCCGCCTTCCTTTCGGTTGAAAGATAACGCATCCTCGATCTGACGTACCATTTCTCCTGATGCTAACCTACTTGTACTCTCTCTTGCATCGTATCCTTTCATCCAGATCATCGGACCCAGACTCCAACCTCGATGTCGACGTGGGATGTCGATGATGGCAATCGAGCAGGATCGGTTCCCCAGGATCTCAGCCCCGAGAGGTCGACAAGGATCGCAACAGACGGTCTCGGGATTGCGATAGACGAGCTCGGGATTCCTAACGGTCTCGTCGTAAGCGGGAACATCACGCAATTGTCGATCGTCAACAACTTTTGTTGTCTGGGATCACATGCACATGCGTATGTACCTGCGCATGTGGCTGCGCATGTACCTCGGGCTCCAACTCCACCTCCTCATGCTATTCCTCATAGCATTCGCCACCCCCGATCCGAATTCCGACGATGGTCACGGTCAAGTGGATGTCACTTCGAGGGAGGAGGTCGTTCCTCGATCACCCTGTGCCAGGCGGGAACTAGACGGTCAGTAATACACCCCTCGACTGGAGATGCACATTCATGGAAGACAATTGACGAAACGTTGTTGCTGCCTCTTTACAGTCGGCGATGAGGCTGATCTCCGTTCAGCTACGTCGGGAATGACAGCCGGTCAAAAGGCCGGACGCATTCATGAGCTACAGCTCCAAGTTGAGCGCCTCGAGAGACAGCTCGAAGTCTCCCAGTCAGCCAACCATGCCCTCAACAGGCTATGCAGGGTCGAACAATCCGCCCCAGTCAAAGCCGCTGTCTCAGGCAGAGCGAACATCGACCGACTACGAGCCAAACCTATAGTAGACGCGGAGATTAGAGAAGAGTTGTTGGCTCAGCTCCATGAGACGCAGAAGGAGGTTGACAGGTTGAGGCAGCGGCGGGAGATCGATAAAGTTGTCGCCAATAGGTTTGGCAGAGATATCACGGACTGAGCTGTATACTAGGCGGATCGTTTCAGGCTTCTGTTGATATGTACGAGTATGTTTGTGATCGCTTCCATTCTCGTCACCGGTCGGAGATCGGCGAGACAGAAGGTCGAGACAGCGACCCATATATCGTCAGCGAGACATGATATATCTTCATAGATTGCATCTACACGGCGGGGAACCAAGATCATCCTCTACTCAGACTTCAACTTCTCGATCTCCTCTACCCTCTTGTCAACGAGGCCCGTCTTGACGTCCTTCTTGGACACCTTCTCTCCAGGAGGATCTCCCAATCCGTTCCAATAACCTGCCTTCTTCGTGACAATTTCATTTTCGAGCATCCCCCTGTTTATGTGATATGATGTCAATTGTGTTCGAAGGCAAGAGACGGCAATGGAAAGAACACCACTCACTGGCGGACGGGGGTGTTAAAGGCCGTGGGCTTGACGTGACCTTTGAGTTTCGCAATGCGGGAACTGAAAGCATGCAAGATATGTTAACGTAGGTAACAGACGATCGAAGCAAGTGGGGTGCAAACATACCTGACGTCGGGCTTGAGGGGAGTCGCAGGGTTCGTGTTGACCTTGTCCTCGGGGGGGTTCGGGGCGGACATGCTGATGATGCGAGCCAATATGAGAATCTGACGCGGTGATAACTCTTGGCAAAGACTTTGCTCACTTGGCGTGAAGTCAAGCTTACGTAAGTACAGGGAGTGGTATCGGAAAGTAGGTGGAAGATGTAAATGACAGTATGGGAAGGGTAACTTATAACTTACGGATCGCACGACGTGGTGACCACCTATATATATTCCACTAGAGGAATGTCGGGGATCACGGATTGACAATCGGCTTTGATCCTTCTAAGGATCTTCCGGTCATCTCGGAGCATGGAGAGACCATGTGGGGCATACACCTCGATCCACGATAGAAGCCCTTGATCGCCCGGTTGATTGTCTCCCGCGACTCCATCTCAAAGGAGTCTTCCATTCAGGGGTTACCCCGTTTCAATTTCGATCGACCGCGCGCTGAAGAGGAGTCTTCCATTCAGGGGTTACCCCGTTTCAATTTCGATCGACCGCGCGCTGAAGAGGAGTCTTCCATTCAGGGGTTACCCCGTTTCAATTTCAAGTTTGTGTCAAAGCTTCTCCCCCTTCACCCCTGCGCGGCCCGGGTTCCGGCGATTGAACGCTTGATAGCTTGATCAAAAGGACCCCTCGCACTCGCGTGTCAAGATGAAACGCAATCAAATAGAAGGCCCGGATGTGCGGATCTGACTTCCGCTCCACAATCACAGAAGCCGTGAGGATCGGCAAGGGAGGCGAGGGGGACTTAGGGGTCTGATGCGCGACTATCCGTTGCCCGTTGTCGCCCGATCAACTTGATGATCCTCTCCCGATTGAGATGGGCTTGGATCTCACGGCGATCCATCAAATCTCACCCGATCCCGCTTGGATTTTGGGTTTTGCCCCTCATCATCAAACATTTCTCTGCCATCCTCTCGCCCCATGCCCTCCATCAATGAAACTTCATACTTCTATGACATCAGCATGGGTAGGTGCCCGCTGGACAAGCTGGGTATAACACCAACAAGGACTTCAAGGGGATGCGATCGACTTGTCCCTAACTATTGCTTGAGAGATATTCAAATCGACCTACTATCTGCAGCTTTAGCGCTCTCTGATTATCCGACATCAAACAACCCAACGTGAAGAAACTTGCAAGACTCTCTACGCCAGATGACTCTGGTCAAGCAGACACGTGAGTAGCCGTCGGGGGTTCATCGTCCAAAAGCGACCTAACGTTGGTTTCTTCAACGAACCCAGTCAAGGAAAATGGACCTTCCCGTCAGGCTTGCGAGATTTCCGCCTCGTTGAAATTATCCTTCGACAGAAACGAAATCTACCACAAGCTTGGGAACAATGTGTTAATTACGGTCAATCCGGGAGGAATCCAGGCAGGGACTATCTCTTCTAAGAGTGAGGAGGTTCTGTGAGTCCCCCAGTCTAGCCTGACCCGACGACACCTCGCTACCAGAAAGAAAGTCGTTACTTGACTGACTTTTCTTTCTTTCATCTCGTGCCGATCCATTCGTTCCCGGTTTTTTCTTGGGATGACAGGAGAGAATACATGGAGAAGTTTCTAGACCGAACGTTGAAGAGTAATCGAGATGATCCCAACCCATCCTCTTTAGATAACGACCAAGCTCTCTTGTCGTCAAAGATGGCCTACACCATTATAGCCACGGGAGTTTCCGGCTCGGGAAAGACCACCATCCTTCAACACCTCCTTCGTCTGATCCTGGGACGAGATACCAACTCCGAGCTGCAAAATTCTGCGCCACAAACGTCGGAGTGTTCAAGCGGTGCCGACTCACGAATGCAAAACGTGGTCGAGGTTTTGGAGAGGGACCTGGTCATCGTAGAGGCGATGGAAAACACTGCCACCCAGAACAATACGGATTCCAGTCGATGCGGAAAACTGATCAAGGTGAGTGGGGGTCCCTGCTATCAAAATCGCGTTCAGCCCTTCTCACGATTGAACGTTCGCGTGCATTATTTCGTACTTTAGGTCGAGGATATCGGAACGAGCAATGTCCGGTCCACAATACAATGTCTTATCCTTGAAGGCTCTCGACTTCGACACCTATGTCCTGATCCGAACAAAAAGGATGACCCAGAGCGGAGCTTTCATATATTTTACTACCTTCTGGCCCACGGCCACAAAGCTTTGAACTCCATTCAAGATGCGTTCAAGGGCAAGTACGACCAAGTGACAGCGGCCCAGGGGTACGAACGGGTGAATGCCGCCATGCACCAAAGAAAGCCCCCATCTATAGTCGCACAGACTTGGGACGTACTGGCGGCGATTCTTCTCCTTCTCTTTTCGAGACGGTCCGACGATGTGTGGGTAGCTGAGGCCAAAGAACTATTGGGGATACCAACAGCTTTCGAACTCGTCCCATCCAACACAAGCCCAGCCGATACTAGGTCGAAACTTTTGCAAATCAGTATAAATCTCTACCGCCGGGTTTTTTCCGTGAGTCGGCGGCCTGAACAAGCAAACGAAGTCGACTTGTTTTCTTTCACTGATACCCTGAATACGGAATGTGGTTATCGGACTAGTTTTGGACCAAGAACAAGGACAAGAAGTCCCAGGAGACGGGTCTTGTCATCAATCTTCTTGATATCGTAAGCCAGGATGTCTCGATGTGATGGCCCCACACAACGCGCCAACGTCTTTGATTGCTCCTTGTCAACAGTGTGGCTCCGAGGTTCTTGGCATCAATCGACTGGCTCAGCTGATCATCAACCAGTGGAACGATAAGGTCGGTCTGGGCCGCGATTCGAAGCAGATCTTGCGACGACACCGCGACGACACCGGCTGATCTCGATCGACTCGATGTTGTGTCTTGGTATTGCAGATTCAGCAAGAGGCGAGTTGTCTGCCAGTCGGTTCTATGAACAATCCGGATGACTGATCAGGCCTTTTTCCGGATCCCGCATCATCATTCTAGTACGAGACCATCACCCTACATGTATGTCCCCTTGACTTGATCAAGTCGACGAATTGCTGACCCCCTAGCAAACGCAGGGCTTGAACGATGAGCCGGGCCAGTCTCGGCTCAGGTCTCCTCCCGACGGATTCGACAACTTGATGGACCTGTTGAGAGGAGAGATCGACGAACAGCGGTTGACAAAGTGGTTGAGCGAGAAGCGTCAAAGGGAAAAGAAAAGGTTCAAACCGGACACGGATGACGCGGAAGACCCGAGACTCTGCATCAGTTAGTGATTTGTATACCGCCTCGCACACTAACACGGGTCGCGCTGACGCTAAACCAAATTTCTTGTCATAATTGCTCTCAGCTGGTGCAGGCAGTTATACGATGATGGTCAACCACCTGTCTGGGTCTTCCGTACTGTACAATCATGGAGACATCCCTGCCGAGAATCGCGACACCAAAATACCAGAGGTCATTCAGGCTTGCAGCCGAGTCCGGGAGCTATTGGTGGATGAAAGAACGCCAGAAAGCAAGGCAGTCGCCACCATCGTTTCGAGAGCAAACCGAGACTGGGAAAAAGTCAAAGAAGCGCTCGCAAAGTCGAAAGTCTTGTTCATCAAATGCATCAAAGCTTCGGCCACTTTGAGGCCTTGGGACTTCGATACCGACACTGTTGCACATCAAGTCGACAGCCTGGCAATAGGGCGGACACACGATTTTATCAAATCCTTGGGTATGAAACACTCGGATTCGTCAACTAATTTCATCTGCAAGTACATTCTTGCGACGGGTCGAGGGTCTCAAGCGGCGAGGACGCGCAACGATCGTCATTCCCAAATCGAGGCGTTCTTCAGGGATATCGGCCCTGTAGACGGGCAGAAATGGACTCAGCAATTCATCAGGCAAGGCGACTATATCCATTGGTCAGAAGAACTTCACGGGCATCTTCAGCGACTTGTCGCAGTTGCCGAACATGCCCGTTTGGCTTACGAAAAGCCACACATAAACAAACGCTTCATCGAGCCAGTGAAGACCATTGCCGAATCCGCACCTGTCAATGCGTTCAAGCTGCGCGAGGCGATTCGATGGTACACGGCCCGTCTACAAGTCGATCATCTTGAGTGGATCTCGGAGTTCGAGCAAAACCTAGAGCCTTTCGAGAGCGTATTCAAAACCGAGATGGACATCGCTCTTGTGCTTGACGCAGACGAGGCCATGAACGCCGCCATCGGCAGCACAATTGATCGTATCCTTTCTGTGGGCGACGTTTCAAAGCTGGACATGGTCTGTGTTGCGGTATGCGCTTTTTTGCGCAGACTCGACAGGACCGCGGACGGAAAAGGGAGTCTTGTTGGTCGCCGTATTGCGGAGAGGTCCGCGACTCTGCTTGGCGCCATCTTGCTGGCTCACCATAGTATTCTGGACCGTTCTCCTGATCTGCAAGCCGCCGTTGAAAGGTTTAGCGATGGAGTGACGAGAGTTTTACAAAAATAATGTACGAACACAACATGTAGTAGTAATCCCAGCGAGACTTGACGCGCTCAAAGCTGGATGATCCACAAAACCGCTGTTCTCTTCTCCTCAACACTGTTAGTAGCTCTTGCATGGGCGTTGGATGGCGTTCGTTTGCAAGATGTCTAAGTTCGAGCCCGACGAGAATCAGAGTTCCAGCAGCCCAAGTGGTTGCGCGCGTTCGAGAATACATACAGTATACTTGACGGGGTATCCATTCAAACGATTGGCACATCATCTTAGCGATAGCAGACGCCGCAGTGCGAACTCAAAACAAGGACTGCCTCAGCTCAGAAGAATGACCAAGACGCTTGCGTGAACGACCTTGAGAATCGAGTCCGAAGAAATTGGATATCTCCGTGAGGACGGGGTGAATGTTACGAACATTGTAACTACCCTCATGGCACAACAGCACGACGATCACATCACCAACCTCCATGATGTTGCCAATAGCATGCTAGAGTAGAAGGAGGGGCCTGAATCTAGAGCTGACAGCGTGTGGACCGGGATGATCGGCGCAAGCAGATGAGATACAGTCGGAGAGGGCACATGAGATTTCAACAATAGCAGTCCCAAATACTTGAGGCCAGTTTGAAATTTCTTTGGGATCATAGCCGGCTTGAGCCTTTCAAATGCTACTCGGACTGGATGATAAGGGTAGAGGTAGAGGTAGAGGTAGAGGTAGAGTTTGTATTTTCGCAGGTGAAGTGGTACACCCATAGCTTCCATGATACATATTTATTGGTCAAGAAGATCTAGCCCGACAGATGGCGGACGTCCATCGCCTTAGCGATCAGCTTGCCTAGAACAACGGCTCCTGAGCAGAGACTTTACTTGACCCTTGAGAACTGAAGGCTAGGTCTTTCTTGAGGTCAAGGCCCGAGAGCAAGGAGTCAGGGTGGAAGTGAATCAAGAGGCCGCAAGGCGCAAAGACAAGCGTTCAAGCAGAATCCATTCCTCACTGGATCACTGTCGGACAAGTCCGTTCAGCTCAATTACTTCCGGCATGTCGGAGGTAAATTGCTTGTGCGCGTCGCCCCTCTGCTCGGTCGATCGATGTTCACTTGACCGAGGGCATGATGCAAGAAGTCAAGCTTTGGGATTTGGGGTATGTGTACAAGTTTACGAGGTCCGAACTTCTTCTCGAGTGTCGAGAGTTATATTCCCAGGCTCGCAAGACTATGAGGTCTCCACATCCGGCCTGCACTTAGGAAATCTAAACGGAACGGCTGGACCATCAAGGGTATCGCTGTTGGAGCGAGGGCCATGAAGATCCTATGTGTGGCCGAGAAGCCTTCGATAGCAAAGAGCATCTCGGAGATCCTGGCTGGCGGTCAACGGACGGCGGTCAGTCGGTTCATATGCAGCAATAAGCCATGCGCTGAATTCGGATGTTGCTATGGCTTGACAGAGACGCTCAAGAGCTCAATATATTCAGAACTATGACTTTTCCTATCAACTGGCCGGACCTCTCGGTCGTTGTCATGCGGATTTTACGATGACGAGCGTTCTTGGTCATTTGACATCGTCAGTAAGTTACCATACACGGTTCGAAAATATCTGCATGACATCTGAGCACGTACTCTTACAGGACTTCGAAGACCGAGTCAGGAAATGGCACTCGTGTGATCCGTTCCAGCTGTTTGACGCTCGTATCGAGACGTATATCGACGATGTCAGTATTTCAATCACTAGCATCTCTTTCCATCCTCCTGATCGTCTGGTTGTTTCTAGAAACTCAAACCGGTGGCTCAGAATCTGAAAGAAGAAGCTAGACGAGCGGACATTCTGATGATCTGGACGGATTGTGATCGAGAGGGAGAACATATTGGCCAGGAGATAGTCAACGTCTGTCGGGAGGTCAACGCGAGACTACGTGTCAAGCGGGCCAGATTCAGTGCGATTATCCCTGCGTGAGAGCAACAGCATCCTTGGGTGAGGTGTGGCTGGAGGCTGACCTGCTTCGATACGTCATGTTTTCAGCCAGATTCATAGGGCTTGTCAGAACCCGTTCGAGCTGGATGTACGACAAGCGGAGGCTGTGGACGCTCGAATATCGTTGGATCTGCGGCTTGGGGCTGCTTTCACGAGATTGCAAACGATGACACTGCAACAGCGGGTACCTGATCTCGATGGAAAGGTCATCAGCTACGGTACGTACACGCAGATAGCGAGGTCTGTCATCAGCGTCTGAAGCTAACGAGCTGTGCTCACATATCTAGGCCCCTGTCAATACCCCACTCTCGGATTCGTCTGCGATCAGCATTTCCGAGTTCAGAACTTCGTTCCCGAGACGTTCTGGTACATCTCGGTCGGATTCGAGCGGGACGACAACAACGTCCAATTCAAATGGTCTCGAGGACATCTGTTTGACTTCGAGATGGCAGTCGTGCTTTATGAGATATGCGTCGAGTCGCCCATGGCTCGGGTCACGAACGTGAAGACCAAGCCTACGCAAAAGTGGTGAGTCGGTTACTGCGATGAACCAGAGGGACTGTGTGTTGATCAGCTTCTTGACAGGAAGCCTTTACCGCTTACGACAGTCGAGCTTCAGAAGTCGGGATCGCGACTGTTACGTCTAGCGCCCAAGAAGATCCTTGATGTAAGTCCGAATGATGCAACCCTTGTTTGCGAGTTGAGCTAATTCTCATTCTGATCCACGCTTTCAGATAGCCGAAAAGCTCTATCAACAGGGGTTTCTCAGTTACCCTCGAACGGAGACGGACCAGTTCGACAAGGATTTCGATTTTATGAGTTTGATTAGGAAACAGGTCGCCGATCCGGCTTGGGGAGGGTTCGCTCAGAGGTGAGTTCAAGTCCAGGTAGGTGACAAGTACCTCAGAAAGCTGATCCTGCTCAATCCGATATCGTGAACAGACTCGTAGACGGAGACTTTGCGAGACCTCGCAATGGCCAAAAGAACGATAAAGCACATCCCCCGATCCACCCTACAGCGCATGCCGGCAACCTGCAAGCAGACGAGAAACGAGTTTACGAATTCGTGACCAGGAGGTTCCTCGCCTGCTGCTCAACCAACGGTGAAGGACAATCTACCAATGTCGATATCGAGATCGCAGGAGAAAAGTTCACCACGTCCGGTTTAGTCATCCTGGCGCGGAACTACTTGGAGGTGTATCCTTATGACAAGTGGGCAGATTCGTACCTGCCAAACTTCCAGCAGGGAGAGCAATTCATGCCGTCTTACTGCGAGTTGAAGGACGGGCAGACGGCAAGCCCTGCCTATCTGACAGAAGCGGATTTGGTCGGTCTGATGGACAAGAATGGTATCGGTGAGCCAGGACGATGTTTATGTCGATTGGCTTGAACTCATCAGGGTCCGTGAGATTTCTAGGTACCGATGCGACTATCGCCGAACATATTGCCAAGATCATCGAACGGGAATACGTTGAAGCGAGACAGGATCGCGGAGCTAAATACCTCGTCCCATCTGATCTCGGCATCGGCTTGGTGGATGGGTACAATCAGATCGGGTTCGACAGATCGCTGACGAAACCACACTTGAGAAGAGAGGTCAGTGAGCGTTCAGTGACTCGGCTGTGCGCTGCCGATTTCTGAACAAGGTATTCGCTCTATACTTTACAGACGGAACATCGAATGCAAATGATTTGCGATGGAGTTGCGACCAAGAACGAAGTCCTTCAGGATAGTATAATGCAGTATCAAGAGGTCTACATCAAGGCCAAACGAGAATTCGAAACGGTGGTACAGGTGAGTCCAGCTAGACTTTTACAGTGCTTCAGATCGTGCTAACAGTCTCGACACAGAGTGTTGGGCGTTACATGCAGGAACAACCTGCGCGAGCAATACGAGCGGGAAGGCCCGCCGGTGGAGGCGCACCTCGAGGTAATCGGAACAATAACGATGATAATGACGATGATGATGACGATGACGATTTCGGACACGATAACGGACAAGGAGGCGGTGCACGGGGACGTGGGCGAGGGCGAGGCCGAGGAAAGGCTGGAACCACGACCAAAGCAAGGAAGCCGGCTGCGCCACGAGGAAGAGGTACAACTACGAAAGGCAAGGGGAGTACCCGGAAGGATCCCGATGACGATGATGACAATCAAGGTGAGTAGCGACCTTCCGTTGTGCATCTAGTCCGTCTAATCGGTACTCTGATCCGTACGCAGGCCCCGCTCCAAAACGACCTAGGACTTCTGGCGCCAATACAGACAATACCGGTGGTACTGCGCCTGACTGTCAATGTGGTGCTCCAGCGAAACAACTCGTAGTGAGAAGAGAAGGTGCAAACAAGGGTCGTCCATTCTGGACATGTAGCAAAGGTCAGGACGAAGGTTGTGGGTTCTTTGTGAGTCAGACTCGTCCAGTAGCGAATGGATACCGAACTGACAAGGTGCGGCTTATAAAGGAATGGGCCGATGGGTGTGAGAATGTTGCACCTGCTCCACGCCGTACAACATCAGCCGCTCAGGTATGTCCCAATTTTTCGTGGCCAGTGGTCAAACCTAACGGTTGTGCATTCCGCCAGAATCGTCCCGCTCCTCCGCTTAGACCACCCAGTCGACCGGATAACAAGGGCCCTCAATGCAGTTGTGGCATGCCAGCTGTCCAGCGAACCGTTCAGAAGGCAGGCCCCAACCAGGGTAAAACGTTTCATACTTGTTCTAAACCTCAAGGCGAGCAATGTGGATTCTTCGAAGTGGGTTGGCTGTCCACTCAAGTGCTCGAGATGGCAAGAGCTGATCTAACTCTATCCAGTGGGACGACCCTGACGGTCAAGCCGGAGATCGGGGGAGGGGCGGTCGTGCGGATGACGGGGGAGGTCAATCAGGGGGTAAGTCTTCAGGCTGATCGCCGCTACGAGCAACTCCGCTCACCAGGGATAACATTTTTCCCGCTCAGACTGCTTCAAGTGTGGACAATCCGGACACTGTGAGTTCAAGGGCAAGAGCTTGGTATATTCAACAGCAAGCTTACTCCGCTTCCAGGGGCGAGCGCTTGTCCAAACGAGGACGGAGGAAACAATCGAGGCAGGAGCAGTAGGGGAAGGGGTGCTGGTGCGAGTCGTGCACGAGGCGGCAAGAGAAGCAGAGGTCGTTAGACTGTATGATACAGCTGTAGCCAGAGTTATATTCGACAGACGTTGTATAGGGGTCTTAGTCATGCATTGCCCGCCTTCATGATTGCGGAAGCAAATTGGATCGATCGCCACAGAGATCAAGAGCCCTTAGCCTGCTCGAGCTGCTGAGATGTCACTGATATCTCCAGCTACGCAGCTATAGACAATCAGTGTCAATCTTTGTACCATTTATTGTCTCATAATCCTTCTACACACTCGTGCGCTTTCCAGGTAGTGTCTATAGCTCGACATCGGTAGCCCTTGCCATCTTCAGCGGACTCACAACGTCATGTCCTCGAGCGAGGATGGGTTCCTCGACCCGAATGCTTCGGACGACGAAGTCATGGCCGCAAGCGGCGACTCCGACTTCGAAGACACCCCTCGGCTCAGGACTCGCCAGAAGACAAACCCTAAAGCCGCAAAATCGAGCAAATTCACTCACTTGACACAGAATCCGGTCACAGGCAAGAGGAAGCGAGCTCAAGTGGTAGCCAGCCCCATCCCACCGAGGCAAGAGCAGGGCGAGCGGAGAGGGATGTTTGACGATGATGATGAGGAGAACAATGGGGATGAATATGATAGCGATGATGAGGGGCCGAGGCAGATAACGGGTAGCGAGTTCTTGACCAAGCTGCTCGCATGGAAAACGAGGCCCGTCAAGGATCTCGGGGGTCTTGAACTGAAAGCCGACCATACTGCCAGACCGTTATGGATCGACAATCACGGCAGAATGTGAGAAGCTGTGCATTGTTGTATATCCGTCCCCTGCAATTAACATTACATGCCAATACTCCAGTACGCTTGAACGGTTCTCTCCAATCGCGGAACAGGCTCAAGACTTTCTCGTTGCTATCGCTGAGCCAGTCTCCAGGTAAGACCTGGTTACAGAGTCGCTTGCCTTCGTCAGCTCAACTTGATGTTACAGACCCACATTCATCCACGAATATCGGGTCAATGAATACTCGCTCTACGCTGCCATGTCGGTCGGACTCGAAACGAAAGATATCGTCGAGGTGTTGAGCAGGCTATCTAAGGTGAGGAGAGTCGATCGATTTCGGTAGAGCTATATCGGCTCATACGAAGACTCTCATCACAGACACCATTACCACAATCTCTCATCCGGGATATCCATCGATGGACAGCAGCCTACGGGAAAGTCAAGCTGGTTCTCAAGCGGAACCGTTACTTTCTCGAATCTTCGGTTCCCGAGATGATACAGCGCTTGCTTGCCGACTCTCAAATCCGAGCTTGTCGAATAACGCAAGTGCAAGGGGATGATACCAGCAATCTGGTCCATGGTGTAGAATCAGCACCTAAACCGACCGCCAGTGGACTGCTCATTCCCGGTACTACAGAAGCCCGACGGGCGAATGCTTTGGCAACAGGGCAGAACGTCGAGGACGCACCAGCACATGAAACGGTCGACGACGTCTTGGGTGCCGTAATCGGGCTAGATCGAGGTCGGTATATGAAATTTATGAGGAATTGGCCTCTTACTTATTGTTTTGCCTTACTTCTCGACTAGCCGACGAGATGGATGAGGATGACCAGGTCCAATCATTCGAGATTGACGGCGACAGGATGGAGGCGAGTCGTATTTCCTGTGTTACCTGCGCGAGCGACACTTACCTTGGTGCACATGTCACAGAAAGTCAAGAGGCAATGTCAGGAAATAGGCCTCCCTGTGCTGGAAGAATACGATTTCCGAGCCGACAATATCAACCAGAATTTAGAAATCGACTTGAAACCGATGACGGTCATTCGTTCTTATCAGGAAACTTCGCTCAGTAAAATGTTTGGAAACGGGTGAGTTCGATGTGGACTAGACGGCCAGCCGAGGCTGATCCGATGCGGCTTGCCTCTTAGACGTGCGAGATCTGGAATCATTGTACTGCCGTGTGGGGCAGGGAAAACACTGGTCGGCATCACTGCTGCCTGCACAATCAAGAAGAGTGTTTTGGTGTTGTGTACATCCGCGTGAGTGTGCAGATCGCCTCCCAAAGAACTCTTCTTCTGACAACCGCTGTGTTTCAGTGTTTCTGCGCAACAATGGAAACAAGCCTTCATTCAGTTCACAAATATCCAGGACAAGCAAATCTCGATCTTCACATCGCAATCTGCTGATATGGTGAGAATGAAGCTGCTGTTACGTATGTGATTACCTGCGAGACTGACGGATACATTTGTTACAGTTCTCGGGAGCCGACTCCGGCGCGGCTGGTATTGTCATTTCCGTCTACAGTATGGTTGCATTCACCGGGAAACGATCACACTCGTCGGAAACCTTCATGAACTTCTTGAAGAGTCGAGAATGGGGTCTCTTGTTGCTTGACGAAGTGCACGTCGCACCAGCCACAGCTTTCAGGAAATGTGTCGAAAGTTTGAGGACGCACGCGAAGCTCGGCCTAACAGGTGAGTTGAATGAATCCAGCTGGAGTATGGCAAGATTTTTGACGACAGGTATTATACAGCAACACTGGTGCGAGAAGATGATAGGATTTCAGATCTGAACTACATCATCGGTCCAAAGCTATACGAAGCCAATTGGATGGACCTCGCGCAGAAAGGGCACATCGCCAACGTGCAGGTAGGTCTATAAACGGACGCGGTCAGATTTCGAGGTTTTGATCATTCGCTTTTCTTAGTGTGCGGAAGTGTGGTGTCCCATGACACCTGAGTTTTACGCCGAATATCTGCTGGCCAAAAGCCGAGCCCGAATTGTTATGCAGGCCATGAACCCTAACAAGTTCCAGGCCTGCCAATTCCTCATCAACTACCACGAGCGACGTGGAGACAAGATTATCGTTTTCTCGGACAATGTGTACTCGCTAATGGTGGGTCATCTGGAAAGACCCTTTGATCGCGAAAGCCGGTGCTGATGTATCTTCGCATTTATCAGCAATACGCGCAAAAGCTGGGCAAAGCTGCTATTCACGGTGGAACGGACGAGCGAGAACGAATGCGTATCTTGGCCCGGTTCCAGCATGATCCCAATATGAACACCATCTTCTTGTCCAAGGTCAGTCCAGTTTGAGCTTGTTATCCTTCCCGAGACAGCATGAGCTGAACGAGATCTGAACAGGTCGGAGATACCTCTATCGACCTGCCCGAAGCTACTTGCTTGATTCAGATTTCGTCCCATTACGGATCTCGAAGACAAGAGGCTCAACGACTCGGCAAGCACAACTTCAATCTAGAAGAGACCTTCTGCTTACCTACTTGATGCATGCAGGACGTATTTTGCGAGCGAAGCGAAGGAATGATGAAGGTTTCAATGCCTTTTTCTATTCGCTAGTATCGAAAGATACTTCCGAGATGTACTACTCGACCAAGCGGCAGGGTTTCTTGGTCGACCAGGTGAGCCACCTCGGTCCTTGAGTTCAGGCGATGTCACTGACCTCGATGGGTGTCAGGGTTATGCATTCAAGATCATCACCGAATTGCATGGTATCGACTTGCTCCCAGATCTCGTCTTCAAGACCCAAAAAGATCAGCTCGAGCTCCTCGGTTCGGTTTTGAACGAGACTGAAAAGGTCAACATCGAGATGGAGGATGAAGAGGATGCATACGACTTTATCGACAATGCTGCTGGAAAGCAGCGATTCGGAGGAGGTATCAAACCTGCCAACCGAATGACCGGAAGCATGCAGAACTTGGCCGGAGGATCGATGATGACTTATCAGGAGAACAGCATCAACATGAAGTCAGTGATGGGCCTAGTCTGTCAGTGCTATTAACCTCGCTGATCAGCAATCGTTTTACAGTCGGCGTATCAAGAGAGACGACCGGGCCGCTGCCAAGTCTGGGAAAGGAGCGAGACACGAGATTTTCAGAAAGGACAAACGGCCACGCCAAGATTGAACGTAGGCGCACGCTTTTCCTTGCGATCTTCAACCTAGCTATGCTTGAGACGACTGTACATCTCTATACTTGAGCCCGTGACCATGAACTGTATCGATATCATCTCGTTGTCAGGCTGGACCTGCACCGCGGAATCAAATTTGACCCGGGATCGTCGTCGAAATGTCAACAAGTAAACACACACAAGTTGGGACCTGGAATGATGATCCATCATACATCATGGTGCACTGATGTTATCGTACCCTTACACAGCACACTACAGTTCAACTCCAGCAGATACCGACATCAAGCATACCGAGCCGACTTCAGCTCGTGTGGAGAACAGCACAATACGGGGTTCAAGCCTCATCGCGCATCGATCTCGCACCCTATCGACCTAGAAATACCTTGACGCATGTCTGCCATACCGACACCCAAACGGCTATCTTTCGGTGGTGGCGGAGCCAATGCAGGGACACCGACTGCAAAGGGAAGAAGAGTGCTAGATGATCCTGAAGCCGGAGCTGCTTTTCAGGATGTGATGCGATCGAGGCCACCATCGAGCTTGTCGCATTCCGTTCGACCGCCATCGCGCTTGGATCAGAGCCAGACTGCAGATCTAGCTCAGAGTACAAGCTCATTACCTGTTGGACCTACAAAGACACCGGCCGGAGCAGAGGGATTCATCAGCAAGTATGGAAATGTCAGTCTTGGCATGGGCAGTCCGGATACAGCAAGCCCGAGGACACCTGTTCCGGCTAGTCGTCGAGCCCCATCGGCATACCTGAGGCAATCTGTACTGTCTTCCGCGAACAATGCTACACCGTCTCGAGCAGCAAGCTCTTCATTTCGAACCCCTACAGCCAAACCCCGATCTTCACTCAGCGCCCAAACTGCCCCTATGGCACGTACAGCGTCCACGAGCCGGCCGACCACCCCGACAACCGAATCCAGGAGACGTGCTATGCCTCCACCCAAACGTGAAGAGTTTCGAGCATCGGTTGGCGATCACGTCTGTATAGCGTCTTTGGGAAATTTTGAAGGAAGAGTCAGGTATATCGGACCGATTGAAGGCAAGGTCGGGACGTTTGCCGGGATCGAGCTGGACGCAGGGTTTGCCGGCAAGGGCAAGAACGATGGATCGGTTGCCGGGTGAGTCGGAGTCACAGAGATATAGATCGAGCATCATGCATAAACGTCGTGCTGAATTTGACCTTTTTTCGGACCTTAGTCAGCAGTATTTCTCGTGTCCACCAAATTGCGGAGTATTCTCGTCGGTAGAAAAGCTGTCACGGGTACAGGTCCGAGCACCGTCCGTCGCCTCGTCTGTCAGGTCGAACAGTACTGCGGGACGAGCGACTCCAGCCCTGCCATCCGGAAGGGCTACACCTTCTGGAAGAGCTACACCCGCGCTATCCATCGCATCCGGCGCTTCTGGTCGAGAAACACCCTTCATTCAAGAGGATTCTGAGCCGGAATCGGATCATCATCATAATGGTATGCCGCCTCCGGCTCTGGTCAAGTCTACCCGGGTCAACCAATTGTCACGCCCCGCCGGAGACAATGCGATGACTCCGAGAAGTCTCAAAGCGGGAGTTGTGGACAGTCAAGCGACCCTACAAGGCAGGTTGACAGAGGGGTCGAGGGCGAGCCGGTTGGCGGGGATGAGAGCAAACCAGTTGACGGGGAATCGGCTGGCAGCCCAAAAGGCAATGGATGCTACAGCGGATTCCGTGAATGGAGCCACCCCACGACCACTTCGACAGTCGATCGGTGGACCGGGATTATCTGCACCTTCGACTCCAAGTCGCGCTGTCAGCATGTCGGCGGCGCGGATGAAGAGCCGGCAGAGCATTGGAGGTGCCTCTTCTACCCCTAAACCAGCGCTCAAAAGTGGTAGAATGTCGGTGTCTGGGAGGCAGTCGGTGGTACACGATTCGATGCCACCTCCGCCATCTCCAAGCAAGTACGGTGCACTGAGCCGCTCGAACACGTCGACCGAGGTGGCTGAGGCCAATCAACGTGCCGAGCAGCAGCAGATGATTAACGTCGAACTCTTGAACAAGATTGACGAATTGCAGAAAGAAGTCGCCGCTGCTCAGGCTGAGCCGAAGGGGGGTGATTGGATCAAGATCAAGAAGGAACAGGAACAGCGGATCAACGATCTGACGGTGGCACAGGAGTTCACGTCGCGGGAAGCTTCTGCCGCCGCGATCAAGGCCGAAGAATTGGAATCCCAAGTCAGCGACACCCAAAGACGACTCGACGCATCTCTTGAAGATCTAGAAAGGCTTAAGAGTAAGCTCGCTACAGCCGAGACCTCTGCCGAGCGTTCCAAGAAGGAGTTGCAGGTGCAGAAGGAGAGGTCGGAAGAGGAATACGAGTTGGGGATGAAGACGAAACGTCAAGAAGTGAAGGAAGCGGAGGCGCATGCAGAAGAGATCCAGAAGCGCTTGGATAATGAGCTTTTGATGAAGCAAGAGATGATCGAGACGGCTCAGGTGAGTCATGCGCCGAGTAAAAATCGCTCAACATTTAAGCTGACCGCGGATGTCTTGACAGCAACTCCAAATGGTATACGAAAAGAAGCTCGGAGACGCGCAACACAAGCAGTTCCAGCAAGATACCCTGATTCGAGACTTGGAAGACAAAGTCGCCGATGCTTTGCGCAAGCAAAACGCACCTGCACCATCCCCCTCGGAAGTCGCTCGCGAGGCAGAGACCGCTGCCGAGATTGAGAACGAGAACCTCAAGGCTCAGGTCGAGCATCAGCAGAAGAAGATTGCTAGTCTTGAGGACCAGATCGAAGAACAGCAGGTCCAAATTGAGAAGGAAACTGAGATCGCGCTCAAGAACAACGAGAAGTACCTCGCCAACGAACGAAAGCACAAAGACGATGTTTCGCAATTGCGCAGCGACATGGCCGCACTTCGAGAACAGTTGACAAAGAGTAAAGACCGTGTAGCGGATCTTGAACATGCGCTCAAAGACCATGCCAAGACTCTGGCAGGAGCTCAAGCGGAGATTGAGAACAACCGTCTCGACCTAGCGGTGAGCCTATATTGTCGTGTCCGCGCAGCCTAGCCAGTATTGATAAGGTCATCTACAGGAACTCGAGAATATGCGAATGGCGCAGGGCTTGCTCAACTCAGCACAGAAAGAGCGCGATGCCTTGAAGGAGGAGATGATTCAACTCAAGGCTAGGGTGAAAGAGTCCGAGGCTAGCTCGAGTAACGAAGCGCGTATGGCAGAGGTGAGTCGCTTAGTCGCAAAGAGTAGTACTGGCGCACTGACAGAGATGTACGTCCAAAAGCTACAACAAAAGCACAGCCAGCTTGAAGCCAAGCACCAGGATCTCGAGACCGCTTACCAAGATCTGCAGACCAAGCATCAGCTAGCCTTGCCTTCCGCTGCAGTCAACGGTCAACGTGCTGGTTCCGCCGATTCGGACTCCGCCCGAAAGCCGAGACTCTCTGCTGGAGCAAGTGATCTCGAGAAGCAAGTGATCGGGCTGCGACAGATGATCGATGACCTGCAGAATGAGAATGGTGAACTATACCAGACGATCCAAGATCTCAGTGCGCAGATCAAGACATCCGATGATGACAACAAAGATCTGGCCATTGCCAACAAGCAGATCCAAGCGGTATGTCGATGGTGATCTGTAGCGATGATGCCCATACTGATGCCGGATGAGCTTATCACAGGAACTCGAGGCCTTGCAAGCCGCCATCGAGAGCAGGTTGGATCCTATGGAGAAAGCTAGCGAGAAAGGAAGCAGTGTGGCGGGCGATGATGCAGGAGAGGGTGCTGCCCAGGTATGCCAGCGTCATGATCGCCAACCAGAGTCGAATCGCTGATAAGTTGCGGTCGGACCAGGATATTGCTCAGCTCAAGAGGCAGATCAGCAAATTGGAAGAAGAACGCCACACTTTGCAAGCTGGCAAAGCCAAGGTGGTTGCCGACGTGAGTATTCCGTGGCATTGGCCTCTCCAGTCGACCGTGAAAGCTGAAGCTCAATTTGTTGATCTAGCTCACCCGCGAGATCGAAGAGCTGGAGACCCTGGTCGAGACCAAGATGTGGCGCGAAGAAGATCTCGAAGCGCAAGTGGCCGCACTTGAACGACAGATCAAGAATGACAAGGCCGCTACTGCTGCTTCGGGTCGCCGGGCCAACGCCGCCGTATGCGCCCTGTGCGACGGTCCTCATGACATCGAAGACTGCCAGAAATTCCGGGGCGACACGTCCATGACCGATGGTGAAAGTTCGCCCGGTCCCTCCCAGAACGGAGACTCGCCGCTGTTCTCCAAGTCCACCAACGTCTTGCAACTGGGCAAATCCAACCTGGCTCGTGAGCAGGTCTTCTGTGACAATTGCGTTGTGAGTCGGTGGTATTGCATTTCAAGACTTCCTCCCCTCACCATGCCCTCTGTATAGACTTCATCGCACCGCACCCAAGATTGTCCCGTAGTCGACGACGACGAGACCTTTTAAGAACGTCAAATGCTCGGAAAGCCAGCTGGAGAAGCGCAAGAATTTAAACGAACGCTGGATCAAGTCTTTGTACCATCATCCTTAATCTTGTAGAGACGCCCAGCAATGACAATGACCCCGATGTAAAAAAAGAATACGATCGTCGAGCGTCTTCAGCGGACTGAATAATATTCTTGGGAGCTACGAAGAATAATATTCACGGGAGCTACGAGATATCTCTGTGCGCCCGTGTGACGGATTCCATATGCTTATCGAAGGTCAACGCTTCATCTGCTTGAAATTGCATGCGAACGGTCTGACACGCCGAGAGTGGAATGATATCATTGCCTGTACTCATGGACTTGGCGCAACAATGTCGAATTTCGGCTGGACGTAAATGCGATGATGATCAAGCCTGATCTTCGGATCTGCTTCGAGTGCGACCGCAATGAGTCGTCTGTGTTCATGCGGAGGCCCTGACCTGTTTCAGCCACACTCATCAATGTCTTACACAACAACCTGTGCCGATGTACCTTTCCCGTCAATCGCAACATAAGCACCGAAGAAGCCGGAGGTGAAGGGAAGGCCCACAGGCAGACCGAGAAGATTCAGATACAAGCTGAAACGACCTTGCAAGCCATGGAGTCATTGCTGCTCGTTTAGGGATTTCATTCTTTACATCTCTTGTTATAAGTTTTAGAGCGATTTTTCTTTCACCGAGCTACAATGGTTCAATGGTAGAATAACCGCCTTCCATCTTGATATGGTCGACAAAAAAAAAAGGTGAGCCTTCACGAATACATTTCGTTTGGCTATGACATCATCAATTATTTATTATTATCGTTTGTATACTTTGGATTGAGACAGCGAGTACAAATCACAAATTACAAACCACTGCCTTCACGTCTAATACTGTTTGGCAGCTAAAGTGCCCCCCCACAAACAAGGGAGGAACACGCAACCCACACTCGTCCCAAGACCAGAGGACGGCGCTTCCCTTCCCTCACCTTCCTCAATACGTCCAATATCTTACCCTTTCTCCGTATGATCACCATCACAAACACGACCTGAACCTACGCACAAACGACAGCATCTATCTGGACGCTCAGGAATACCATCCTTTCGATAGGCAATCTCCACATTAGCGATCATATACACGCCACCAGTTGCATCAGGTAATCATGTCAGATAGGCACATCGTGCCCTTGTCCTGCGTCACCGCTTCGCCTGATGACCCGATCATTATTGCCACACCACCGCCAAAGGATGCAGGTGTGACCGCGGATCTGGACGACACCTCCTCGTCCTCCAGCAACGATAGCGACGAGGAGGACAGCGATGAGGACGAGGATAACGATGAAGACGCTCGCATCAGACGTCAAGAGAAGAGAGCTGGCAAAACACGGGAGCTGCTTTCTTCGAAATTCGGGCTTGTACAGGAGAAAAAGGTCAAAACCATCACGTATGATCAAATCACCGACAACCTCATCGAGAAGTTTGGTTCCTTGAAAGATTGGTCTACCAATCTCAAGAATAACCTACGCACCTGGCCATGTTCCCCTGCGAGACGAGTTCGTCTTCTTCGAACATGCCACCACCTCTGCGAGTTCGTTGCAGCCGCTCGCCCTCAGGACGTGGGTCGTATCCTGGACCGGAAAGGTTATCTAGACCGTTTCACTGAGTTCCTCGAGTGCCGTGCTCAGAAGTACCGGATCATCGAAGGTGAACACGTCTATATGTCGGCTGCCACACTCGCAACGCTCCGATGGGACGTAGTGTTCCTTGGGAAGTGGTCGGTATCGCCGGACTTGACACGCAACGAGGTCGCCCTGTTGTTGAAGAAGAAGACGTTCAGCATGTTGTCCCACTGCGTGGAGGAATACAAGCTTAAAACCCAAGTCAAATCACGTCTACTCCTTGGTACCCACGAGATCCGCATGTTGAATGAGAATCTCCTCTCGATGACCGAGGATATCGACACGGCTGAGTCTGAGTCGGTCTCATACGACATCATCTGTCAACAGCTAGTCCTCTACCTGACTTACCACTATACCATGAGCCGACCAGGCGCCTTGCTATCTACAAAGGTAAGTGGCCAAGCCAAGCAGCGACGATCCACGTCAAAGTTAAAATCTGACTGTACGCTTCGACTCTCATGAACAGGCTTACCCGAACACCTACCTCACCTGGCGTGACGTCGAAATTTCCCGGCGTTTTGCTCCTCTGGACGAACCCTCCGCCATCAACCCCGAGAAGTGCTACCCCAAGCTTCTCGGATGGGACGTACGCATCACTCTTCGACACCTCAAAGGCTACCAAACGCTGTCCTGCCTGATCCTGCGATACAACGTCAGATCGGTACAGAACGAATATAATCTGCCGTTCGACGCCGGGGTGATGTTCCTGGCACATGCATTTCGGTCCGGCATCATTGAAGACGACATCGACACTTTTCTGATGTCAGATAAGGTCGCTGTCGTTTTCAAGCCGGAGGCTTTGAGCCAGCCCGTGTTTCGTGCCCGCTTCTCCCGATCGGCTCTTCAGGTCGACAGACCCTTGACCTACGACGATTCTCAGAAGGCTCTTAAAGCGGCCTGCTACAGCGTGAGTATCAATCCAGATTATTGAAGTCTACCACGATATAATAGCTGACAGGTTGATCATCTCGTATCCTATGCTTTTGCAGACCGGTTTGATCCCGGACAAAACCCAGATCGTCTCGTCATATGGCATGCGTGCGTGGAGTGCCACCAAAGCCGCCGCATATTTCATGGGATATGATCGGACTCGAAAGGCATTGGGCCACAAAAAGAACTCTGCGGCGCTGGAAGACGTTTACGATCAGGCGCAAAACGCCATCGACTTTGCCGGAGCGATGATGGGTGAAAAAGCTCTTGATGTGGAACTAGATCGGCACCCTTACCAACAGGCCCCAGGACGAGCCGCGGCTCACAATTTCAAGCTGCGGGACGCCATCGCAGTCGATACCGAGTGCATCAATCTCGGCAAATACCTCATGCAGATCTGTTTGACTACCGGCTCGTCGATGTGGAAGCTCCTCCCATCATACCAGAACTGTTCCTCGATCGACCCTGCCTATGAGTTTGCGGTTCTCAGCAGCAAGCTCAAGGCTCGAAGCTTGGTGGTTCAGCGAGCAAACTCACAGGGATTAGGAGAAGATGTAACAATCGCGTTAGAGCTTAGTCACGCTTTCGTGGAAAAGAGAGCGGCCAAATTTGCTCAAGGCTCAAAAATGGTCGAGATCCTTGATGCGAGACTTCGCAGGGCTGATGAGGCACTCGGAAAGGATCTGACCGCCGCCCGGACAGCTCGCGAAGCACACCATGTGCCAACATCGATTGATCTTGACCTTCCCGAACCTGCGGCAGGCGAAGAGCCCATGGGCGATGACGATGAAGACGATGAGGATATGGAGGACGTTGAAGAGGAGATAGGCAACGAAGAAGATGAGGTGGCTAGGATGGAGGAGGAGAATGATGCTATGGATGTAGACGAAGGTCATGTCATTGCGCAGGGGAGCACCACCGCTAGTACTGACCCGCAAGCGCCATCCGCCTACATTGACGGGAGGCGAGACCAAATCGCTATCGCCATCAATGCGTCGCTGCCCCCGGATCTCGAAAAGTTTCAAGCGATCTGCGGGGTGAGTTTCAATGGGATTTGTCGCAGGAGTTTGTAGCTAATACTCTCGAACCAAACCTGTTTTATTCTTGCAGGCTAAAGTCCGATTGCTACGAACGCTGGTGGCTCTCGAGGATGATCTCATCGCCAAAAAGAAATGCCATCTTTGCCAAGCTGATGAAACCGTCCCTGAGACCGAGAAAGAAAATACCTATACTTCAAAAGAGATGTACAGGTGAGTCATGGCGTCGCCGTCTGCATATGAGTCGAGGAGAACCAAATTGACAAAGCACCCCTCCCGTATCATTGTACAGGCATCAAGTCGACCGTGACTACCACACTCCCGCTTTACGCATGGAACGCTTCCTTGATATCTCCCCTGTCCCTGGCTGGGTGAGTCATTACGCCGACGAGTTTCCCCTCCTCAAATCGGCTCATGACATTGTTTCTGCGTTTATAGATGACGGCTCTCAAGGAAAACGACAATCAAGATCCTAAAGCCTGCCCATACTGCATAGTGAACGGCACCCCGGACAAAAAGTCCTACCATGTCAGAGAGTATAAGCGAATCACAATACTATACCCCCACCTCGTCAACAAACATTTTGACGCCATCCCAAAGAAGCACCAGCTCTTTCTCAGAGAAAAGGTTTTGAAGCATTATCCTACATGGAGTGAAAGGAAGGAGGCTGGATGGACATCGGATCGACGAGTCAAGCCGAGTGCAGGTAAGACCACAAATTTCCAGGGCTGTTTGTCAATCACGCAAGCTTATCTTTTGAGATATCTATCCTGCAGGTTGGGCACCTCGGGGTGATACAATCGGCCGCATCACAGCGGATGTCATGGCCAGGGCAAAGGATGACCCCGCCGGCGAGCACATTCTGCTTCAAGGCGAAGTGGCCGGTGATCACTCCTGGAAGCGTCCAAGCATGCTTACCGCGGCTGGGCGCCTGCCTGGGACCGGTGACCGAAGCGACAATCATCTCGAATGGCCACATGATGACGAAGGCGCTTGGGAGGAGGACCATGCTTGGGGAGATGCGAGCATCTGGGCTCAAGATGATTAGGTGAACGGCCAGAGACGCAGAGAAAAGCAGAGAGGAAGGTTGCAGAGAAAACCAGAGAAGGCGGTACGGATGTAGTATGTCAAGATCCTCGCGGAGAGGATGGTGATGGGAGTCGTCTCCTGTCTATCAAGATCTCACTATGCCACCCGACCTGGAATTGGATGTTCTTTGTGCCAACGTGGTTGTAGATGGACATATGTCCAGTTGTCATGTCCGTGTTGGTGACACTCTGATGCTTTTTCGCTAGACCGGTATATATGTAGAGCACCAGCACACCAGTGTCCTGCGCGCGGGAGGATAGGGGAAACGACACCGGCATGCGCATCGTAAGAGCTGGATGAACCAATCGATAATACAAAGTACAAGCACTGTTGTTGCAACCTCATACACTGTTCCACATTCTACCATTACCATCAGACCACGCATACAACATGGATGCAACGAGCCACGAGTCCGCTAGTGCACCGATGGCTTCGCAACGAGGTTCGCAGCTTGGGGCCGGTCGCAAGGATTACATCCGCCTCTTCGGATGCAGAAGTAAAGAGCATCCGCCGATCTTATCGTGATCCCGCGATCAGCTAACTTTGGGCCATCAAGTGTCGGTATGCCTTTGGCTGCTCACTAACCTCAGCAACAGCTTGCATCACCCATTACCATCATCACCCATTACCATCATCACCCATTACCATCATCACCCATTACCATCATCACCCATTACCATCATCACCCATTACCATCATCGCCATCACCATCATCATTATCATCGCTATACTCCATCGACAATATCCTACACCTTAAGAGCGAAACCGACACCTACGACCTCACTCATCATCAATAATGGAGAGCGACGGCGACGAGACCCTTACCGACCTTCAGCCTCTGATCGATCAGGTGCAAAAGACCATCCCGCGGTCTGCTGCGAGCACCGGCGCCACTGCAACCAGAGCCAAGAGGGGGGTGGCCGACAAACCGGTGCAGAAAAAGCGAAAGGCAGCTGGCGATGATGAGGTGATCAGCGTTGACCACCAAGATGGGGAACAAGGAGGAGCGATTAATGAAGGAGCGGGAGCGGGACCAAGTAATACAGCCCAAGGAGCAGGTAATACAGGCGAAAAAGGAGCAGGTAATACAGGCGAAGGAACGACCAAGCGCGGTGGTAGGAAGAAACCTCTCGCCCTCTCGTCTGAGGAGTTGGCGTCGGCGAGAATTGCGGATCTACAGCTTATGACTACCGGTGCCCAGAAGTCCGAGTTGGCTTTGCAGTGGGAAGAGGAACAGATTCAAAGGTGAGGTTTCGACGGCTCCCGGAAAGGATAGACTAACTTAACCCAATCGCAGGGTCTATGCCGCTGCCCAACTCCACAACTTAGAGGAAAGGAACGAGGTCTTGCGCAAGCAAGCGAAGGCTATGGACAAGCACAACTCGACGGCGGTTTTGGAGATCAGGAAACTGGAGGCCGAAGCGAAATTGGCAGAATCTTTGTGAGTTTTCGGGGAACTGAGATGTACCGCTGCCAGGTCGCCAGCAAGTATAACGACCGCTTGCTCTCCCGCTGACGACCTTGTCAACGAGATGCAGGACGGAGAAGGAGGCGCTGAAGCATATTGGATGGGCTGATGTCAAAATCAAAGCGATTGAAGCTCGGATTGTCGCAAAGAGCAAGGACGATTTGGCGCACCAATGCCGATCTACGCTCAGGAAACTTATGCTAGAGCAGTGAGTTCCCCGTGGGCGGTTTGCCTACTGACTTTGCTCACTGACATCTTGACGCTGAACGGGTCGAATGGGACGATCAGGTACATCAAAGATCCGACTCCTCAAAATTTCCAAGCGCTCGGAATGGTTTACGCGGCCGATTGACAATGATCGAGCTGTACGTTTTTAGTCGCCAGGTCTCGCACAACAAAGGCGTCTGCAGGCTAAAACTCGAATTGCGCATAGTGATAGACACACACAAGCATTTCCTTTACGAACGGCAAGCATTTCCCTACACGAACGACAAACATTTCCTTTACGAACGGCAAGCATTTCCTACACGAACGACAAACATTTCCTACACGAACGACAAACATTCATTCAACAGGCCAAACGGTCAACCGCTCCTCCGTGGTCGGCACATTCTCTCTGGAGCACGCTACCAAATGTATCTAGCGATCACGATCATGTCATAGTTTGGAGTACAGATTAATGAACTTATACAAAGTATATCAGTCCCGGAAGGGAAAGCAATGACGAAAGCGACACGCGTGGGGATTTTCAGCGCGCTGAGCTGAACCTGCTTCTTTGATTAGACTTCTGCCTTGATGCGAAAACGCCTTGATGCGAAAACCCATGGTTACCCTGACTCATGGTTACCGTGAAAAGGGGATCGAAAGAAGGCAAGTCCCTCATGGCCCCCGGATATCAGTATCACCTCCCTTGCATGGAATAACTGCAACGGGATTGGGAGAGCCAGGATGGTAGCATCTGCTAGTGCAAGCGGATTGTGTAGGATCGTCTACATGCAGGGGTACAAAGAAGAGAGTAAGGTTGTGTAGGATTGACTACACAATTCTGTGAGAGGCTCGAGCTTGTGATCCCTAGGCGACTTTAGACAATGAGTCGATTCGGCGAGCGTGGCCCTGTCGCTAGTAGCTGACATGTCTTACCTCTTCCCTCGGTTACAGGTCGCCGGATCCCCTCAAACCTCCTCACTTCAATAGGCGTACTTAACCTCTGCTAGTCCCCCCCAGTCACACCTCCCGCAGTCCTGTTCTCGCTGCATCGTCGCCGTCGCCTGGACCAAATTCACACGACGATCAGAAGTGGACGGCTTTCGATCGGGGAGAGATCCGGCAGCGCAAAGGTAAGCAGCAGGACGTCCAATACGCGAGATCGACTTGTGTTGCAAGGATCGTTATGCCGAATGATGTGATGCGATTTCCATCTGGACATGTGGACGTCATACAACATCCTCGGGCATGAGTAGGGCTAGATCGCCCTCCATGAATTATCGTCAAAGATGTACGGCTGCATCGGCTCCTACGACTCCCTGCTGTCTCCTTCGTCCCGCTGACGTCTCCCTTTTTTGCCTGGACCTTGACAAACGCTTGGACGGCTTATAGCAGGTTTCCAATGAGCTCCGAACCGTGTTAGGCCCTTGCTTCCCTCATCCAAACTGACTGTTGCCGTCATCTTGAGAGAGCCCGAATGCTGAGCATCTGAAATCGACTGCAAGGACTGCTGGCAAAGGGTGATCGCGGTCACGTCGAGGCCTGGTCCGACCTCAAGAGTCTCGATTGGACAACGCCGGGGTCGAATGTAATTCAATATCGATCGCCATGGTCTATCCATCCGATACATTCCATGCCATCGCCGCTGGATTACCCTGCTACGGCTTGGCCCTCTTGTTGTGCGGCTTGAACTGCTCGGTCTTGACGGGCTTCTGGGCTCGCTTCTCGGCCATCTCAATTCGTATAGCTTCCTCTCCATACGAAGGCGCAGCCACGGCTGTACCTCCTGCTCCGGCTCAGCTTGCAACCAGTTTTTGGCTGTCCCCTTAGTAAAGAACACCATTGACGTTCGCTGACCACAGTAATCCGAGATAAAGTGCTCGACAAGGCTTGATCTCATGAACACCACGTCACCAGGACGGTAATTAAGCTTGATACCTAATTCAGGGAGAACGAGCAGACCTCCCTCGAATTCGCCGGTGCAGAGCATAGCGACCCAACCGTTCTTGATGTCACCCGCGTCCTTGTGTGGATCGACCTGACAGTTACGGAGGATGGCCATGGTGCAGAAGACTTGTTGATCCGACACCGAAATGTCGCCGGTGCCGCCTCTGTCTATCGCACGCATGTAGATGTCTTCGTACTCCTGGAACGCATCAGGGCAGCACGCCCGAAACAGCGAGCCGATCACATGAAGTGGTTCCGTCATGTCGGTGTAGAACTGGCTGATGGTCCGCTTGCCTTTCGATGTGGTCTGACATGTATCTGATAGAGTGAAGGGGGTGATGAATGAATGCTCGTTTGACAAACTACAAGTCGACCGGCAGTACTAACCTTTCGTCAAGCCAAAGGTTCTAAAGGCCTGATCCGGCCAGATTCCCAGGTGCAGTACCATTTCGTCCGCATCGCCGAGGCCGGCATTGGGTCTGTCCCTCATGGTATGCCGGATGGTATCGTCTTCGGCTGGCGGCGTGAATCCGTAGTGCCAGTTGTACTGCTTCTTCTGCGACTTCGTCGATGACTGTAAGGCCCGGGAGCGACCCCCGACGGGGATCCCCCTGGACAGGCTGACGGGACGCAGGAATGAGGCAAGGTATGGGTAGACATCTAAATGTAATAACGGATGTAGAGCTATTACAAGGGTACTAGTTCTACATCAACATAACAATACCGAAAAGTACCCCCGGCGGGAGTCGCATACGGGAGTCGCGTACGGCGCGTCCGACGCGTCACGTGACCGCTATAACAGGATCCCCCTCCTAGATGCGGACTCCGAACGCATCAAGCGTCGGCGTACTCTTGTCGACCGGGCTGGGGTAGATGGGGGTAGCGCTTGTGGAACGCCGCAACGACTTTGTCGTCGTGGTCAAACTCAGCGGGGCTGACCCACTCGTTTGACTCGTCCCCGTACCCTTCGAACCGTACCAGGTATTGGGTCTTCTTCCCGGACCTTCCGGAGCGTAACGCCTTCGAGTGTACGATCTCGGACACAACATACCCCAAGTCGCCGTTGTCGAGGACTTCGGGGGTAGGTGGCTCAACCACCTCTCTTCCTTCCAGCTCGTTGGCCCGATAGGGAATAAGCAACGACACGTGGAACACGGGGTGCACCCGGCGTAACTGCGCGGGGAGTTCCAGCCTCCTCGCCATCTTGCTCTGGCCAATGACCTCCGTGATTCGGAAGGGCCCCAGCGTCTTCATCGAGAGCTTCTGGCCGGGGCGCACCGATGTCAAGTTCTTGGTAGATAACATTACCAAGTCCCCTACGTTGTAACCCTCGTCAGGGACGGCGGTACACTTCCGATTCGCGTACTTCGCCATGTCTTTCTGCGCCTGTTCCAGCGCCTCTTTCACCGACTTATAGATCCCGTCGAGTCGGTCCCGGTACTCCCCCGCCGACTCCACCGCCTCTTCCCTAGTGCCGGGCACTGGCAGGGAGAAGGTATGTTCCCTTCCCTCGGACGCCATGAATGGCGACATCCCGATGGCAGAGTGCTTCGCGTTGTTGTACGCGAACTCCGCCATGGAGAGTAACTCCGCCCAATCGTCCTGGAGGAAGTTGACGTACGACCGCAAGTATTGCTCCAAAGTGGAGTTACTTCGCTCGGTCTGTCCGTCCGTCTCCGGGTGAAACGCCGTGGAGTAACTGTTCTCCACGTTTGCCATGCGGCACAAATCTTTCCAGAATCGCGAGGTGAACAACGTACCTCGATCCGAAATGATCTGCTTCGGGAACCCATGCAAACACACCCATCGGTCAAGGAACAACCGCGCCAAGAATGTGGCGTCGTTATCCTTTCGACAAGCGACGAAGTGCGCTCGCTTGCTGAACCGATCGACGATCACCAGGATCGAGTTGGACCCCATAGACTCGGGCAGGTCCGTGATGTGATCCCAAGTGATCGATTCGTATGGTCCCGCCGGTACCGGTAGCGGCGCTAGCTCGCCGACAGGCTTCATCCGGGGCCGCCGATTGCGCTGGCATATGCTGCAGCTAGCGACGTACTCCCCGATCCACTTCGCCATCCCAGGCCAGTAGAAGTCCCTACTGGTCAGCTCCACGGTCTTGTCCCGCCCCCAATGGCCGGCGGCCTTCCCGTCATGTAGACGCTTCATCAGCTCTACCTTGATGTTCCCTGCGTTGGGGACATACACCAACCCGTTGTACAGGAGAACCCCAGTGTGGCTCAAGCTGTATCGCTCGTTCGCCAAGGTTCCCGCCTTGAGCTGCGCTACGAGCTCTTTCGCCACCGGATCGTCCTGCGCCGCCGGTATCAGCGCTTTCACCATCCAATCGCCCAGTGCGGGGATGGTGCCATTCAACCGCAAAGGCGGTCGCTCAACCGGACTACACCCTTCAAGGGGTGTGTCTTCGACAGGCCGGAGCAGAGTCTCCGCCCGCTTCGGTTCTGTCTCCTCCATCAACTCTTCCCGCCGACTCAACGCGTCGGCCTTCCCGTTCTCCGTCCCCGGTTTGTACTCCAGGGTGTAGGAGATCTGGTTCAACAGCTGCGACCATCGTGCCTGCCGTTGAGACAATACCTTGTCCCTCTTGAAGTACTCCAAGTTCTTGTGATCCGTGAGGATCCGAACGGGATACTTGTTGTCGAGATAATGTCGCCATATCCGACTGCAATAAACGATGGCCAGCAGCTCCCTGTCGTGCACATCGTAGTTCCTCTCGGCGGGCGTCAGACTCTTCGACATGAACGCCACCGGGTGGAGCTTCCCATCGTCCCCTACCTGGGACATCACCGCGCCGATCGCTCCAGAGGAAGCGTCGGTCTCGAGCACCACTTGGCGCTCCTCGTTGTAATGCGCCAATATAGGCGCTTGGGTGAAGGACTCCTTTAATTCCCGGAACGCAGCGTCAGCGGCTGCCGTCCAGGAGTACTTCACCCCTTTCTTCGTCAGGGCCGTCATTCCCTGAATCTTCTTGGAGTAGTTCTGAATGAACCTCCGATAGTAATTTGCAAATCCTAAAAAGGACTGCAGTCCCCGAATGTTCTTTGGGGGGGCCCAGTCCAGAACGGACTTGACCTTGGAGGGATTCATACTGACCCCCGTCGGGGCAATATCGTACCCCAAGAATTCGGTAGCCACCGTATCGAACTCACACTTCTCCGCTTTCGCATACAGGCCATTTGCCTGCAGCCTCTTCATAACCTCCTTGACCTGACCATCATGGGTCTCCTGGTCGGAGGAGTAAATAAGTATGTCGTCAAGGTAAACGACGACGCACACATCCAAAAGGTCTTGGAAGACCTCGTTCATCCACCGCTGAAAGGTAGCGGGGGCGTTGGTCAGGCCGAACGGCATGACCAAACATTCGAACAGACCGAAACGTGTAGTAAACGCGGTCTTCCAAATGTCTTCTTCTTTTACGCGTAGCAGGTTGTACGCGCCTCGGAGGTCCATCTTTGTGTAGACCTTCGCGCCCTTCAACCTGTCTAGCGTCTCTGAGATGAGGGGTAGGGGCGTCCTATCCTTCACCGTAATGTCGTTAAGGCGACGGTAATCGATGCACATACGCATCTCGCCGCCTTTCTTCGGTACAAACAGTACCGGGCTCGAACAGGGCGACTTCGACGGCCTGATGAACCCCTTCTCCAGATTCTCCTTCAACCACTTCTTTAGCTCCTCACTCTCCCGCTGGGAGTGGTTGTAGAGCTTCTGATACGTCGGCGACGTACCGGGTTTGAGTTCGATCGCGTGGTCGATCGATCGCTTCGGGGGCAGTGTATCTGCCTTCGTCTTGGAGAACGCTCCAAGATGTTCATGGTACTTCTCCGGTACCATGTCCCTCAGCTTCTCCATATACTCGGGAGGGTCCAGGTCATCCTGGAACGAGTCTGTAGGTTTGACGTCCCAATCCCACAGGTCCGGGCGCCTCGCCCGCTCGTCGTCCTCCCGGGTCGTCTGCATTTGTGCGACGACCAAATCCTCCGTGATAGACCCCTTCATCTTCTTGAACGGGTCGATCCCTCGTGTCTCCACCTCTACTTCGTCCGGAGCATACACCGTCTCGGGCCTCTTGAGACATCCCGTGCTGATGCAGACATCCCCGAACGTCACCGCGTTGGAGTCCCATTGGATATGCGGATTGTGTCTCCGCAGCCAAGGGATGCCTAGTACGACCGGGTATCCACTCAAATCGGTGAGGTGGAACTCGGTCAGTTCCAGGTGCACTCCCGTACGTACCAACGTACAAGCCTTCTGGGTGATCCTTCCTCCCTGGATCTCCCGACCATCGATCACCGTCACTACCCGCGGCGTCTCAAGATCCGTCACGTCGAATCCATGTAGCGACGCAAATGTCCGATCCATGAACATCCCGGTCGCTCCCGAATCCAACAACATGAGTGCTTGGACCGGCACTCCTTCCGGGTAGAACACTCCTACCAACGTCAGGTGGCTATCTGGGCCGTTGGGTATTCCGCTTGCACCCAACTGCAAGGGGATCCGGCTACCTCCCTGTACTCCCCCATTCGGGATCCTTTGGTGATCCGTTATTCTGTAAGGCCCGGGAGCGACCCCCGACGGGGATCCCCCTGGACAGGCTGACGGGACGCAGGAATGAGGCAAGGTATGGGTAGACATCTAAATGTAATAACGGATGTAGAGCTATTACAAGGGTACTAGTTCTACATCAACATAACAATACCGAAAAGTACCCCCGGCGGGAGTCGCATACGGGAGTCGCGTACGGCGCGTCCGACGCGTCACGTGACCGCTATAACAATGACCTCCTGCCATACGTTCTGAATAACCTTGCAACGGCCCGTGAAACCGCCTGCTTAAGGCGGCGTTTATAGGACTTGCGCTCGAATTTGAATCCAGGAAAAGTCAGGGCTTCCGGTATATGCCACAAGAGATCTTGGCTCTCTGCACTGATGACTCGATGCCCTGAACCGCGCTCTCGAGGGAGACACATGCATTCTTGGTCTAATCTATATGGTAAACAAAGGCACATCAGCTTCTGCGAGGTCTTCTTCACGTCTCGAACCTACCTGGCAACGTCCTCCGGTCCCCGTTTCGACTGTAAGACCGCCTGCAGACGGTCCACACTGACCGAGGATTGGTACGGTTTACAGTACGCTGCCAGACTGGCCCTCAGGCCGTCCGCCCTGATTGCATCGCCCGCAATTGCGATCGACTCCCCGGTGAAAAGTCCTCGATGCTGTCACAGGACGATCGATACCGGGCCCGACACGTTCTTCGCTTTCGGCCGAGATCATCGAGAAGCCCGACAACCCTTACGTACGCGTCGCTTTGGAGATCGGACTTTACGGTACAGGAACGCACAGATCCGTACGCGAAGCGAGGGAAAGGACGTCGAAGCGAACGAGAGAGAAGAACGTAGACGAGTCGAGAGGCGAACGAGTAGAAGCGCAGGGAGAGAGGTCTAGAGTCCGCTTCCGTACGCTTCGGTACGAGTATTTAGCTTTCTGTAATGTAGCGTATTTGTTATGAGACGCTTGAGTACTGAATAGGACTCAAGCGTCGATATTACATCTCTTCGATACTTGATCATCGTACAAGAGTAAAGGTCACTATCCTGACGGTTAGCCACCTCTACGAGCAGTTCCTTACAGTAAAGTTCCCTTTCGCGCCGGACTTCACCTTTCGCTTACGCGGCTAGCCCTCCCGTGACATTATATCGACGCTTCACTATGCCTCCCTTGACTAGAAACACTAGCCAGGCCAGGCAGGAAACGGACAGTATGGAACGAAACCTTACGGAACAGGACAGGATTGGACAAGGACAGCGATTCGAAGGACAGTACGGCAGGGACTTAGATGAAGAAAGTAATTTCGAAGGAGAACACGCAGGCGCAGTTCAAGAAGAAGGACGAGTCAGGACAGAAACGCACGAAGAGTTACTTCTTCGTGTACAAGAGGCCGAACGAGTACAGGAAGAACAGGAACAAGAAAAGGAAGCTCTCACTCGAGAGTTGATGAATGTTAGGGCGGAAAGGATGTTAAGCGGTGAGACTGAGTCCGTTCCCGCTCAGGAGCGGGCTGAAACGTACGAAGAATTACTCCGTCGCGCGGAAGAAGCTGCACGGGACCAAGAGATTCAAGCCCAAATCAACGAGGCTTTAGCTCGGGAATTACGAGAGCTCAAGAATCAACACGGAACCGGACAGAGAATTGCTGTACGGGGAATTTCTGAACAACCATCGATCCGTTCGAATAGGACCATCCGAGAACGGATTGAAACTTCCCCGGTTGGGTACGTTTCGGCGCTGAAACGTCCTAACGCGCACGCTAGAGACCCGTACGCGAGACTTGAAGAACTTTCCAGGGAGGAACAACTTCAAATCATGAAAGATAGGGAAGAACCCGAAGACGACAAGGTCCAAGACTCGAAGGGCCTCACGCCGGATACCTTTCACGGGGATCCGAAGAAGGTGGACGAATTCTTACTGCAGTGTACTATTTCGTTTACCTTACGGAAGAGTTACTTCCGTAAGGAGTCGAAAAAGGTCCTAACTACAATCGCCCGTTTCCGCGACGAAGCGGCCCTTTGGATTAGACCGTACATGAACTTACCGGAAAGTGCGAAACCGGCCTTTTTCAACGATTTCGAGCTCTTTCAGCAGGCAATGAAGGAACAGTGGCCGGTAGAAGGGGAAGAACAAGAAGCTAGAAACGTAGTCTCGACACTACAGCAAACGGGACGAGTTACCGAGTATCTGGCCCGATACGCACTTTATGCTCCTTATACGGGCTATGACGATGGAGCATTGATCAGGAGCGCAGAGAACGGTCTCGAGATCAGCCTCTATCACAAGATCAAAGCGGCCTTAGACGCGCCAAAGACATTCGATAGGTGGAGGTTGTGGGTTGTTGCGCACGAAAACGCACAGATCGGTGCCAATAACCAGATGTCAGAACATCGAAACAATCGGAACGCGCAGGCCGGGATGGCACAGGGCTTAAACGAACAGCGACAGTACAGATCTGTTCGTTTCACCCCTCAGGCGACAGCACCCGTTCCTTACCGGAGTTACTCAGCCCCTATTACCGGTAGGCCGGCAGTAAACGCTCCGTCTGGTCCTATCGAGAACTATGAAGAGAGGAGGAGTCGGGGTCTGTGCTTTGGATGTGGAGAGAAGGGGCATTTGGGACGTGATTGCCCCAAAAGGAACGGATCTGCCCCGAATAGGGTAGAAGAAAGGGGAAGGGCAGCTTACGTGGAGGATGACTCGGACTCGGGAAACGATTACGCAACTTACCGATCCGTCCGGTAAGTTGCGAACAAGGACGAATGGGCGGAGAAGGGGAGAATCAGGAGGAAGGGAGGATTCGAATGCGGATGAAGGGCTCGCATACGGCCTTTATCAGGGCGGTACTGGACGGAATTGACGGAAAGGTGGATTTGGTGTTGGACAACGGGACTTCGCAGAGCGGGATCGACCGGAAATGCTCTTTAGCATTACGTTTCGATGCGAAACCGTACCCATTTCCTCGGAAACTTCGCTTATTGGATGGGTCGATGGCGAGTCAGCCCATCACGCATTACATCACGGTGAGAATATCGAAAGGAAATTTGGGGCCTTTTGAAGTTGAATTGGCCCTGTATGATATCGAGTCGGGAGGAATCGTACTAGGATTGGACTTTCTAGTACGATTCGGGGCGAGAATGGACTTCGAAGATATGACCTTGGGCTTCTCATCAAGTCGAGCTCGGGAGTTCAAGCCTGAAAGGTCTGAACAAGATCGAGCAGAAGTGTGTCTTTTAGGACGGAAAGGGACGATCCTGAACGAAGAATCGATGGAATACCGGGATCCAGTGCTGAAGGCACTAGTCGAGGCAGAAGAAGAAGAACCGGACTGGGACATGACCGAAGTGTGCGAAAAGGTACCGAAAGCTTACCATGCTTTCCTTGATCTTTTCAAACCATCCCATTCCGAGCGACTTCCTCCACTACGGGAAGGTTTCGACCACGCAATAAACCTTATCGACCCTCACAAGTTGCGAAAGGCGCGGGTGTACCCTATGTCCCACAAGCAAGATCAATGGTTACAGGCACATCTGGAAGAAGGCGTACGGAAAGGTCACTATGAGCCCTCGAACCATTGGTTTGGGAGCCCAGTCTTCCTTATTCCGAAGAAGAACGGGGAGTTCCGGTTGGTCACGGATTTTCGGGAACTGAACAAGCAAACGGTAAAGGATATCTACCCTTTACCACGGATTACTACTTTATTGGAGAGGTTACGGACGGCGACGCTCTTTTCGAAGTTTGATATGCCCACTTCCTACCAACTGTTGAGAGTACGGCCCGGCGACGAGAAATGGAGTACGATTCTCACACGGTACGGGGCGTTCAAGTGCAACGTCATGCGAGAAGGGATGTCGAACGCAGGAGCAAGTTTTCAACGTTTCCTCAACGAGTTGTTCCACGACCTGTTGGATCAGGGAGTAATCGTGTACATCGACGACATTTTGGTGTACAGTGCGGACGAAAACCACCATGTGCGGACGATTCAGAGCGTTTTCGCACGTTTACGGAAGGCGGGACTGTATTTGAAGCTGTCGAAGTGCGAGTTTCATCGAGGGAAAATCGAGTTCTTGGGCTTTATCGTACGGAACGGGGCGATAGAGATGGAAGAAGGGAAATTAGATGCGGTAAAGTCCTGGCCGGTACCGAAGACGGTGAAAGAGATACAGAAGTTCTTGGGGTTCGCAAATTTCTACCGACGTTTTATCTTCAACTTCTCCGGAGTGGCAGGACCTATGACAAAACTGACCCGGGCGAGTACGGCCTGGAACTGGGATTCCAGCGCGGAAGCTTCCTTCCAGGGACTGAAAAGGGCGTTTACGGAAGCTCCCATCCTGAGGCAGTTCGATCCCGACCGACCGTGTACGATAGAGACGGACGCTTCAGACTACGCGATAGCTGCTGTAGCAAGCCAACGTTTCACGGATTCGGACGGAACTGAACACCTACGTCCGGTGGGTTTCTTTTCGAGGAAATTGAAGCCCGCCGAACTCAACTATACGGTGCATGACAAAGAATTGCTTGCGATTGTGGACGCTTTCGCCCATTGGAAGCCGAATTTACTGGAAAATAAGCACGCTATAGAGGTGCTTACGGACCATCGGAACTTGGAACATTTCCGAGACAACAAGCAACTGAACAGACGCCAAATCAGGTGGGCGGAAACGCTGCAGGACTATTACTTCCGGATTCGGTACAGACCTGGGACAAAAGGTTCGAAACCGGACGCATTGACAAGGAGGCCGGACTATCACCCAGGAAGGGGTACGACAAAGGATCGTGAGTTCAATCCGAGTAACTTCACCTCGTTGTTACCGGCGGACTTGTTCGTAAATGGACGATCCGGGGTCATAGAAGAGGGAGAAGGTACAGAAGGGGACGGGAACGCGAGTTTTTTGGAGTTGGTGATTGAAGGATACGAATACGACGAGGAGGCAAAGGAGGTGCTGAGGGAGTACTGCCAAGTGATACCAATTGGTGCAACGCACGGTAGGATACTGGACGGCTCGTTTTGGGGCGTTTCCGGAGGGTTTTGGAGGAAAGGGGCGCTGTTGGTCCCCGAATATCTCGATCTACGCAAGAGGGTTCTACAGGGACGGCATGATTCCGTACTGATCGGTCATCCGGGTCGCGACAAGACAATCAAATTGGTTGAAAGGGATTTCTATTGGCCAGGACTGAAACGCTTTGTGGCCGAATACGTACAGTCATGCGCGGAATGTCAACGAAACAAGTCAAAGAAGCACAAACCGTACGGAATGTTACATAGTCTTCCGGTACCAAAACTTCCTTGGGCGGAGATATCAATGGACTTCGTCGAACAATTACCGATATCTGAGGGTTTCGATTCAATCTTGGTAGTCGCGGATCGTTTTACCAAGGAGGCGCGCTTCATTGCCACGAAAGGGACGATGACGAGCACGGATCTGTGCCAGACCGTGCTAAAGGAGGTCATTTCGAAGACGGGACTGCCCGATTCAGTAACAAGCGACCGAGGAAAACTATTTGTCAGCAAGTTTTTCCGAGAACTATTGCGATTACTGAAAATCGAGACACGTTTTAGTACGCCGTACCACCCGCAAACAGACGGGAACACGGAGAGAATAAATCAGTCTCTCGAGGGGTATTTGCGGACTTATTGCGGGTGGAACCAGGACGATTGGGTACGCTTATTGCCGCTGGCGGAGTTTACCTACAACAATTCGGTACATACAAGCACGAAAACGACCCCTTTCTTCGCAAATCACGGGTATCACCCACGTTTCGACGCGGCGAACGAACTGGGAAGTGCGATTTCGCCCTTGGCTGTACAAAAGGTGGTAGAAATGGATAAGCTATGGCGCGAGTTAGAATTGTGGTTGGAGAGGGCCAACGCAAGAACGGCAATGTACTACGATGCGCGTCACAGGTACGAACCGGACCTTTCTGTGGGGAAACGTGCGCTGGTGGACGCCAACTTCATAGCGCATTACCGAAAGACCCATAAATTGTCCCCAAAGTTCGTAGGACCGTGGAAAATCGTCGAGAAGGTGGGACCTCTCGCCTACCGTTTGGAACTCCCGAAACAAGTGAAAAGACACGACGTTTTCCACGTCAGTCAGTTGGAACCGTTCTGCGAAAGTACCGATATTTCCAGGTCTGCGCAGCCAGGTCCGTTACCGGCGGAGTTTGGGACGGATACGTACGAGATAGAGGACATCATCGACAGTCGTAGACGGAAAGGAAGGCTCGAATACAAGGTGCGATGGAGGGGGTATGTGGGTCCTGAAGCGGTGGAATGGATAGATGCGGACGAAATAGACGCGGAGGATACGGTTATGGACTTTATCTTACTGAATCCTACGAAACCGCGCCCATCCGAACTACCTGCCCCGGCGAAAACACGAGTGGTTTACGAGAAGACGCCGAGGATGGTGAGGCGAGGGGGCAAAGGGGATGGTACGGAATAGGACATGTCGGGACGACATGTCACGGAAGGGGGAGGTAAGGTAGGAGAGGGACGAGGAAGGACTTAGAGATCGAAGGCAGGAAGAGAAGAAACAGGCAAACAGCAACGCACAAAGCTGTACAGTATATCACGCAAGCTTACGGATCGGCACAAGGAATCCCAGGAGAGGACTGAGAAGAAAACACGACGACGATTACGAAGGAACGGCGGATCGAGGAAGGGGAGAGCAGAACGACAAGAGGGACAGAGCACAAGAGAGTACGATACCGGACAGAAACACACAGATAAGGGCCGTATCCCGTCGTTATCGTCATAAAAGTCGTTATATAAAAAAATACAAGAAAAAAGAAAAAACAAGCCCGGAACCGTACCCATCAGCCCGAAACGACCGAGGCGCCGTTCTGCTCGTTGGCGTTCCCCAAGACGACGACCTCCTCCTCGGGCTCGTCGTACTCGGCGAGGAGGTTTCGCGCCTCCTCGACCTGCTTCTCGAGGGCCTGGCGCTGGGCCTTGTCGGTAATGGCCGACAAAGTGCCGCTCACCACCCCGAGCAAGTTGTTCTGCACGGAAAAGTACGGATAAGCAAGCATCCTGCAAGATCGAGAAGAGAAAAGGACTTACGGCGGCTTGAATCGCCTCGTTCAAGCGCAAGTACGGAAGGTCGAGACACGAACAGTTCGAGGCCGACCTAGCTTGACATTCGAGACAAGATTGAGGCCAGACGCGGCCGAACTTGTCCTTCTTCATGACGCTCTTGCACGGCGCCTGGAAGATCATCCCCGACGTGTCCGAACCTGAGCGGAAACAGTACGGATCAGGACAAAGAAGGACACATACTCAAGAAAAGAACTCACCGTGGTTCGACCACGTCTCGCAGTTATCGCACGGGAGTGCGTTGTACGAGGCCTTGTTAAACTTGGCCGCGCACTTGTTGATGCGGGTAACCTACGTGGTAACGAGTACGGATTAGTACTTATTCAAACGAAACCCGTACTCGAACTCACGGCGTTGGCCACCGAACTGCCGATACCGGGCGCCGGCTTCTGGGTGACGACGTTATCGGCCTTTACTTGACCGTGGAAGAGTCGGTTCCCGACGACGACGTTTCGACCGTTAGCGGAAGCGGCAGCGTAGGGCATCTTGGTACGGATAAGGACGAAGGAGTACTAGAGTGGAGAGAGTATGAAGTAGAAGAGTTAGATGAGGGGGGGAATCGACGTCAAACACAAACGAACAGCGAGGTATATATCTTGTTCCGATCAACGGATAAGTACCGATCCGTAAATCGAGCTTCTCGACAACACGGACCTTCCCGCGACTCTCCGGTGGATCAAAACTCTAAAGGACCCTAGAGTGCAATACCGTACTATACGACACGATACAGTACACAAAACGTATATCACCCGGGTACTCAACGAAGGTTCGGCAACGAGTACGCAAGTGATATCTCTTGAGTATCGTACGATGGTAGCGGTACGGGAACGCAATGATCGGGAGATCATTGTACGGAAGGGGGAGATAATGTCACAGGACGATCGATACCGGGCCCGACACGTTCTTCGCTTTCGGCCGAGATCATCGAGAAGCCCGACAACCCTTACGTACGCGTCGCTTTGGAGATCGGACTTTACGGTACAGGAACGCACAGATCCGTACGCGAAGCGAGGGAAAGGACGTCGAAGCGAACGAGAGAGAAGAACGTAGACGAGTCGAGAGGCGAACGAGTAGAAGCGCAGGGAGAGAGGTCTAGAGTCCGCTTCCGTACGCTTCGGTACGAGTATTTAGCTTTCTGTAATGTAGCGTATTTGTTATGAGACGCTTGAGTACTGAATAGGACTCAAGCGTCGATATTACATCTCTTCGATACTTGATCATCGTACAAGAGTAAAGGTCACTATCCTGACGGTTAGCCACCTCTACGAGCAGTTCCTTACAGTAAAGTTCCCTTTCGCGCCGGACTTCACCTTTCGCTTACGCGGCTAGCCCTCCCGTGACAGATGCTTGTGTCCGCTGATCCGAGCACCATATCGCTCTCGAAGCATGGCGAGGAAGCTATGTGCTTGCATTGCTGCAAGACCGCTGGAGCTCGCGCCCAGCCGTTGAAACATGTCGACTCGCATTGCGGCAGAACCACCCAGCCGTTCGAACATGTCAACTCCGCTGAATATTCCCGCCCCGCCAACGGCCCTGATTCCATCCGATGGGCCGCCTTGCCCTGCCTGTCTGCCGGCTCCCTGTCTATCCCTTGGTGTGCCAGCGTTTGCTTGCGTCAACAGGTCGGCTCGCTCCCTGTCCCTCCTCGCCCTTTCCATCCTCCGCATCTCGGCCTGGGTAAGCCCGTCGCTACCGGATCCCCTTCGCCTAGCCGAGGATCTTCCCGCCGATCTTGCGCACGGCATTAGATGATGAATTGACCAGGCTTCGTCGTGGTTGTCAACGTGAATGCACACCGGGAACGGTCTCTGGATATTGTGAACGCCAGATGTTGAGTGGAAGGATACCTCGAACGACCTCTTTCTGGTGATCGATCGCGTCGTTGGCGGTGGCGAACGATCGGCCAATCTCCGCATCCGCGGATCAGGGCGACTTGAAGGCCAATCGGGCAGATAGAGCGGTGGCGGAAGAAACCGCTGGCTATCCAGAGTGGTATATATATACACGCGGCTCGCGATGCTGCTCGCTGCTCGAACCCGCCGAGCCACCTGCTCCGCTCTTTTTGGATAAACAAACAGCAAAAGGCCGCCAGGAATCCACACACTGCGGGCAGAGATTTGAGTATGCCCACATGGTCGCTAGTGCTTCTGGCAGATCCGGGATGCTCCGGGCGAATCACGGTTTCTACTCAGATGGTCCCCTAGTCGTCCTAGGCAGATCCGAGAGCTACCTTTGTCACATCGAAACCCGCAGGAGCGTCGTGTGGTTATATTATAGGCGTCACGTGACGCGCGACCTACGGTACGCGTCGCCTCGGGGTCTCGTTCGGAGACCCTCTCGGAGACTCTCTCGGAGACCTTTTAGGGGATGTTCTCGTAGACGTCTAACTAGTACCTTGTAGTAGTTAGACATCCGTTATTACATTACTATGCCTACCGTTACCTTTCCCCAGTCCCGCGACCTTATTACCTCAAGACCCGGCAGGTCGGCTGCCAGGCCTTATAGAATAACGGATCAACAAAGGACCCCGGCTGGGAACGCGAAAGGGGGTAGTGATGGGATCCCGCTGCACATCGGTGCCAGCGGTAACCCTAGTGGTCCGGAGAGCCACCTCACTCTGGTAGGAGTGTTCTACCCGCAGGGGATTCCTGTGCAGGCAGTGATGATGGTAGATTCGGGGGCCACGGGTATGTTTATGGATCGGACGTTCGCGAGGATCCATAACTTTGATGTGATAGACCTAGAGAACCCTAGGACCGTCACGGTCATCGACGGAAGAGAGATAGTGGGTGGTCAGATCACCCAGAAGGCACATGCTATTGTGCGGACAGGATTGCACCAAGAGAAGGCGGAGTTCTTCTTGACGGATTTGTGTGGGTACGCGGCGGTCCTCGGGATTACATGGTTACGACACCATAGCCCACACATCCAGTGGGATACGAATACAGTCACCTTCGCGGACGACTGTTTGAAGAAAGGATGCGTCAAGAAGGTAGAGGTAGTATGCTCCCCCGACGAGGTGGAGATAGAGACGCGGAATATCGATCCGCTGTCGAGAATGAAGGAGCCGATCACGGAGAATCTCGTGGTGGCTCAAATGCAGATGACGAGGGAGGATGAGGAGCGGGCCCGCAGGCCGGACCTGTGGGACTGGGACGTCAAGCCCACCGACTCGATTCAAAACGAACTCGATCCTCCCGAGTACATGGAGAAGTTGCGGGACGTTGTGCCGAAAAAGTACCATGAGTACCTCGGAGCGTTCTCCAAGACGAAGGCAGACTCGCTGCCTCCGAAGCGCTCGATCGACCATGCGATCGAACTGAAGCCTGGAACAACTCCCACGTATGGGAAGTTGTACAACCATTCGCAGAAAGAGACGGACGCTCTCAAGGCGTGGTTGGCGGAGAACCAGGCGAAAGGGTTTATTCGACCCTCAAAATCCTCGTGCTCGAGCCCGGTACTGTTCGTACCGAAGAAAGGGGGTGAACTGAGGCTGTGTATTGATTACCGTCGCCTCAACGAAATTACCGAGAAGGACAGGACCCCCCTGCCGCTTATCTCGGAGACCTTAGATCGCCTACGGGGATCGAAGGTATATACAAAGATGGACCTGAGGGGAGCGTACAACCTCCTGAGGGTCAAAGAAGAGGATGTTTGGAAGACCGCGTTCACGACACGCTATGGTCTGTTCGAATGTCTCGTCATGCCATTTGGTTTGACAAACGCGCCGGCGACGTTCCAGCGCTGGATGAATCAGGTCTTCCAGGACATGCTAGACGTGTGTGTGGTCGTCTACTTAGACGACATATTGATTTACTCCGCCGATCAGGAGACACACGACGAGCACGTACGGGAAGTGCTGAGGAGGCTACAGGCGAATGGCCTGTACGCAAAAGCAGAGAAGTGTGAGTTCGACACGACGGCGACGGAGTTCTTGGGGTATGATATTGCCCCTACGGGGGTCAGCATGAACCCGTCGAAGGTGAAGTCGGTGTTGGAGTGGGCGGCGCCTTGAAATATTCGAGGCCTGCAGTCGTTCTTGGGGTTCGCGAATTACTATCGCCGGTTCATACAGAACTACTCCAAGAAGATCCAAGGCATGACGGCCTTGACAAAGAAAGGGGTGAAGTACCACTGGCCGGAGTCAGCGGATGCTGCCTTCAAGGAGTTGAAGAAGGCGTTCACCGAGGCGCCCATCCTCGCTCACTACGACGAGGAGCGCCAGGTGGTACTGGAGACGGACGCATCGTCAGGCGCGATGGGAGCAGTGATGTCACAGGTAGGGGACGACGGGAAACTACATCCCGTGGTGTTCATGTCGAAGAGCCTTACGCCGGCTCAACGAAACTACGACGTACACGATCGCGAGCTGCTCGCCATCGTGTACTGCTGCCAGATATGGCGGCACTACCTGGACGGGAAGTTTCCGGTGAGGATCCTTACGGATCACAAGAACCTGGAGTACTTCAAGAAGGACAAAATGTTGTCCCACCGACAAGCGAGATGGTCTCAGTTGCTGAACCAAATCTCGTACACGTTGGAGTACAAGCCGGGGACAGAGAACGGGAAGGCTGACGCGCTCAGCAGGAGAGAGGAGTTGATGGAGGAGACAGAGCCCAAGCAGGCAGAGACCCTGTTGCGCCCCGTTAATGCAGACGCGCTGGTGGTCAGCGCAGCGACGGTACAACCCCCGTTGCGGTTGTGCGGAACGATCCCCGTCATAGGGGATTGGTTCTTGAAAGCGTTGATCCCTGCGGGACAAGAAGATCCGGTCGCGAGAGACCTGATCAAGGGCGTCAAGGAGGGAACCTTGACGAATAGTCGGTACAGTCTGAGTCCGGGAGGCGCGCTCATGTACGACGGGCTGGTGTACGTTCCCGATGCGGGAAGCTTGAAGACGGAGCTCTTGAAGAGGCTCCATGATGGGAAGACCGCCGGACACTACGGGCGGGACAAGACGGAGGACCTGGTGAGTAGAGATTTCTACTGGCCGGGTATGAAGGCGTGGATTAGCCAGTACGTGGCTAGTTGCGACAAGTGCCAGAGGAATCGGAGGCCGAGGGCCAAACCAGTCGGTGAGCTGGCTCCCCTGAAAGCGGAGACGGAGCCCTACCAGTCGATCACGTGGGACCATATCACGGACCTACCTGAGTCGAGGGGTTCGAACGCGATCCTGGTGATCGTCGACCGCTTCAGCAAGCGGGCACATTTCGTGCCTTGTCGGAAGGACAACGACGCCAAGGTGTTGGCACAGATGTTCCTGCAGGAGTGGGTACGATTGCACGGGTTTCCCCGGCAGATCATCTCGGACAGGGGAACGCTGTTCACGTCGAGATTTTGGAGGGAGTTCTGTGAGTTGTCCGGTGTCGAGCCTAGTTATTCGACCGCCTTCCATCCCCAGACGGATGGTCAGACGGAGCGCAGTAATTCGACGCTCGAACAGTACCTGCGGACGTACGTCAATTACCAGCAGGACGACTGGACCGATTTGTTGCCCATGGCGGAGTTCGCCTACAACAATTCGAAGCACTCGGCGATCGGCATGTCGCCGTTCATGGCATCGGAAGGGCGGGAGCACGCCGTCGAACTCCCCATGCCTATCGCCAAGGATTCGGCTGTGGAGTCGATACAGGAGTACCGAGAGCGGATGAACAACATCTGGGAGTCTGTTAATGTCGCGCTGAGACAGGCCCGGGAGGATATGGCGAAGTACGCGAATCGGAAGCGTACGGCGGTACCGGATGAGGGGTACAATGTTGGCGACATGGTAATGTTGTCGTCGGCTCACGTCAATACCGTGAGGCCGAACAAGAAGTTGGAGTGGAAGACCTACGGCCCATTCAAGATCACGGAGGTCGTAGGAGAAGGTCGCATGGCGCGACGTTTGGAGTTAACACCGGGGATGCGTAGAATCCACCCGGTGTTTCATGTCTCGCTGCTCATTCCGTACAAGCCGAACGAGCTTCCTGGGAGAGCAGTAGACCCACCCCCTGAGCCAGAGGTGCTGGACACCGGGGATTTGGGGTGGGTGGTATCGGAAATCGTACACTCCAAGGAGTTGCGTTCAACGCGCGCCGGGCGTAGGACCCAGTACTACGTGCGCTTTGAGGGGTACGGGGACAAGCACAACGAGTGGGTTAGCCCCTTGGATTTCCACCACAACGACACGCTGGTGCTGGAATTCCATAAGCGACACCCTGAGTTGCCGGTACCGGGCCGTCAGGAGTACGGCGATGCTTGATGCGTTTGGAGCTCGCATCTAGGAGGGGGATCCTATTATAGGCGTCACGTGACGCGCGATCTACGGTGCGCGTCGCCTCGGGGTCTCGTTCGGAGACCCTCTCGGAGACTCTCTCGGAGACCTTTTAGGGGATGTTCTCGTAGACGTCTAACTAGTACCTTGTAGTAGTTAGACATCCGTTATTACATTACTATGCCTACCGTTACCTTTCCCCAGTCCCGCGACCTTATTACCTCAAGACCCGGCAGGTCGGCTGCCAGGCCTTATAGGTTATCTTCGAATACGAGCATATTAAAACGATCAAGGCTCCTAGAGCTGGCGGTCTGACCAAAGGTCTGCCTTCGTAAAACGGCTATAACCCCAAGCGCTCGGTGCATCTTCCCATCGTAATTCAACTTGTTCTTGTATTACTTGTGGGGCGGCACACAAGTAAGGTAGCTCGTGGGTCAACTCGCCGACGCTCGGAATGTCCGCCTTGGCCGTCCTGGAAGGACTCGCTCACAACACTCGCTCGCGGTCGATGGTACCGCTGTGCCAGCTTCATCTCGCTAAGGCGACGTGGCCTCGGTATTAGCATGCTAGGAGGGGCAACAGGCGTACGCTAGACTGGTTCAACCGGGTATAGCAAGCGCTGGGGAAATCTGGAAAGTCGCCAAGAACCGTCATGTCTGGTGAGTCGTCAAGCCGCCATGTGCCATTTTAGATCGACGATACGGGGTATACAAGGGCCCTGGCAAAGAGTCGATCGTAGATCCTGTCGAGCAGTTCGTCCTGTATGCCATCCGCCAGCCCTGGCTGATCCATCACGGCCATCCTCATCGAATCGAATGTGCCATGAAAGAACTCCTCTGCCGCCTTTGCGTCGGCGTCGCTTTTGAACTTGGGGGCAAAGTGATTTGCAATACGGCTCTTGTAGAACGCCAGCGCCCGTTCAGAAGCGGCGGATGCGGTATGCTGCTTGGACGGTTGGCGGTCGTCGGCCGCGGGGGCATGCTTCTTGAACGGTTGAAGATCGTTGGAGCTCTGGTCATCGCTGGTCTCGCGGTCACTCGAGGTGTCCGCTGTTGCTTTTCGTTTCTGGACCTTTTTGTTGGCCCCTACGCCGCTGTTCGGACCGCCGCGCTTGGATCTGATCTCGTCGATCTGCTTGAGGTTCGCCTTTGTCAGAGGCGTAGGTTGCAGGAAATGAGGTTTGCTTGTAAGTAGCTGGTAGGTGATGTTGGGTCGTACCATCGCATGATATGCCTTGTGTTGCAACGATGCCAAATCAAGGCCGTGCACGTCCTCAAGACCCCCGCCAGCTCCATCCCCCTCCCCATCCAGATCCTCGAAGTCCCCCTCCCCATCCAGATCCTCGACACAACCCATGGCTCCCGCTACATCGCAGGCCCATCTCAAAGCCTGCTCGCTCCCGGGCGCACTGTTGGCATGGTGCGATCGATTGCCGTCTTGTTGACGCAAGATATGGGTGAAGAGATCTTTGAAGTTGGAATAGCCCGCGTTGCCGTCATTGTCATCGTCATCGTCGTCTTTGTAAGGGGCAGGGAATTGACCGAGACAGATGGGATTGGCTCGGAGTAGCTTGTTGAATGCGTCCGTTTCGGTGAGAAAGAGAGATTCCCGGCGATCCTCCTTGTCCAGGTTTCCGACAAGCACCTCGCACGGTATAGCTCGGTTGCCCTTGAGATAACAACCAGAACAACGGATGTTGGAGTTGAGAGTGTCGGTCCTGCAATACCGAGTGTTAACCTCATATGTGGGAAGATGCAGCTTCCAAACTCACGAGAAGCTGTTCAATGCGATGCGGTAGCAAGGCTGCCTCTGTAAACGACATTCGACACAGGTAAGGGCCGGGGGCGTGGCAAGTGACAAGGCGATCATGGCGGCCCTCCTTGCCTGTCGAGTCTGCCAGATGGCTGGAGGAGCTGGAACCAAGGCTCTGACCATCAACAAGACATCGGTAAGTACGCCTGCAGTCGCGTACTGGGTGATCTCGGATAAGGTGAATCGGATAACGTCCCCCGGTTTGGAAGCGGCAACCCTTTGAGCGAACGGGGTGGGCTCATCGTCAAGGCAATCGAATGTTATAGCGACACGCGCGTACGCCGGACTCGAGCCGTACCAACTCCGGCGGAGTTGTTCAAGGAGCATATCGTATTGCATCACTTTGTATCAGCATTGTAGTATATAGTCTTTCATCTGTTATTACATCTATATACCCTAGTCCTACGTTCTACATTACTCCCGGATATGTCCTCGCAGGTATACATCGAGCCGGTCTTCCCTGGAGCCTTCTCGACGCCTAACAGAATAACAGATCATCCGAGTTCCCCGAGTAATGACTTGAACGTAGCAACTGGAGAACCGTTGGTGCTGAGCAGCATAGGTTCTCCCTCTCGGCCGGAGGCTCATATTACGGTCACCGGCACCTTCTACCCGAATGGTACTCCGACGGAGACGGTCTTGATGATCGACTCAGGAGCGACCAGTTTGTTTATAGACACCGAATTCGTCGAGCAACACGGATTCGACCTCATTCCTTTAGAACGACCCCGACCACTCCTGGTCATTGATGGGAGAGAGATCTCTTCCGGTGCAGTTACACACCGGGTACAAGCTAGACTACGTATCGGTAGACATACCGAAACGGCGTACTTCTACGTATGTAGCCTCGGAACTTTTACAACGGTGCTCGGCCTACCATGGTTGAAGGAGCACAACCCCCGAATTGACTGGGAAATGAGCGCAGTAGCGTTCGAAGATAAGTGCGTCCAGAACGGATGTACACCAGCAAAAGAAATAGTATACTCCCCCGTGGATTACGAAACGGAGGAGAAGGAGTTACGTTCGACGGACCGAATCAAAGGAGGGGTCACCGAAGAACTAGTAGTGGCCTATCTCAAGGCCAATGATGAAGAAGAAGAGAGGGTGAGGCGTCCCGACTTATGGGATTGGGACGACAAGCCAGCGGAGAGTTTCCCGGGAGACCTGGACCCTCCCGAATATATGGAGACGTTACGGAAGGTGGTACCGGAGAAGTACCACGCTTTCCTCGGAGCGTTCTCCAAGACCAAGGCCGACGAGTTGCCGGCACATAGAGACTTCGATCACTCGATCGACGTAGAGGAAGGGAAAGTACCCCCCTTCGGAAAACTCTACAACCACTCCGAAAAGGAGAGCGCCGAATTGAAGCGCTGGATCAAGGAGAACCTTGATAAAGGTTTTATCAGGGCTTCGACGTCACCCGCCGCAAGTCCCGTATTGTTTGTCCCGAAGAAGGGAGGAGAGCTCAGGCTCTGTATTGATTACCGGCGTTTGAACGCCATTACCACAAAGGATCGGACCCCGTTACCGCTGATCTCCGAGACGCTCGATAAGTTAACGACAGCGAAGGTCTATACCAAGTTGGACCTCCGAGGAGCGTACAACTTGCTACGAGTGAAGGAAGGGGACGAATGGAAGACAGCTTTCCGTACTAGATACGGACTGTTCGAGTGTCTGGTGATGCCGTTCGGGTTGACGAACGCTCCGGCGACGTTCCAAAGGTGGATGAACCATGTGTTCAGGGACCTTCTGGACGAGTCCGTCGTAGTGTACCTGGACGACATCCTCGTGTTCTCTCCCGACGAGACTACGCACGAGAGACACGTGAAGGAGGTGCTGCGAAGGCTACAAGAAAATGGGCTGTACGCCAAAGCAGAGAAGTGTGAGTTCCACACAACAGACACGGAGTTCCTTGGATACGACGTGTCTCCGGGAGGGGTGAAGATGAACCCCTCCAAGGTGTCGTCCATAGAACAATGGGCGGCGCCTCGAAACCTGAAGGGACTACAGTCGTTCCTAGGTTTCGCCAACTACTATCGGAGATTCATCACGAACTACTCCCAGAAGATACAGGGGATGACGAAGCTCCTGAAGAAAGGAGTGCGGTTTCAATGGAACGAAGCTGCAGAGACTGCGTTCGTAACGCTGAAGAAGGCGTTCACGCAGGCGCCTATACTGGCGCATTTCCAGGAAGATGCAGAGGTAACGTTGGAAACGGATGCCTCGGCCGGAGCGATTGGAGCAGTGATGTCGCAGAGAGGTTCGGACGGAAAACTCCGACCAGTAGCGTTCATGTCAAAGTCGTTAACTCCCGCAGAGCGGAACTACGACGTTCACGACAGAGAGATGCTGGCCATCGTCTACGCCTGCAAGATATGGCGACACTACCTGGAGGGACCTCACCCTATTCGGATCTTTACCGATCACAAGAACCTCGAGTACTTCCGAACGGAGAAGTTACTGTCGAGGCGACAAGCAAGATGGTCTCAGCTGTTGAACAGTCTGAGCTACACCCTGGAGTACAAGCCGGGGGTGATGAACGGCAAGGCCGACGCCTTGAGTCGGAAGGGGGAGCTCCTAGAAGAGAGCGAACCAAGACAGACCGAGACGATGCTACGGCCCATGAATCTCTCGGCTACAGCGCGGGAGATTCCTCCGCATCTACAGATCAACGGTACCCTGCCAATTCCCGGCGAGGACCTCCGGAGAGACCTGTTGCAAGGTTACGAGGCGGACGAAGTAGTCAAGGCCATCTTGGAGAAGATGGAGAGGGAGCCCAACGAGCAGGGTCCCTACAAGAAGGATGGCGAGGGGTTCCTAATCTACAAGGGACTCCTGTACGTCCCTGATGTGGAGTCGGTAAGGGTCCGACTGATGAAGTACGTTCACGACGGCAAGCTCGCGGGGCACTACGGGCGAGACAAAACGGAGGACCTCCTCTCGAGAGACTTTTATTGGCCCCGAATGAGAGACTGGGTAGGCAATTACGTGGCCTCATGCTTGACGTGCCAGAAGAACCGCCGTCCCCGACAAAAGCCGATCGGAGAATTGGCCCCTCTACCTGCGGCGAGGAAGCCGTGGTCGTCTATTACTTGGGACCACATCACGGACCTCCCCGAGTCATTGGGCCAGGATGCAATCCTGGTAATCGTCGACCGCTTCAGTAAGCGGGCACACTTCATCCCGTGTCGAAAGGATAACAACGCCTCGTACCTGGCGAAGTTATTCTTCTCCCACTACGTCAAGTTGCACGGTTTCCCTGATCAGATCATCTCGGACAGAGGAACATTGTTCATGTCTAGCTTCTGGCGGGATGTATGTGCTTTTGCGGGTGTCGAGAGGAGATTCTCGACGGCATACCACCCGGAGACTGACGGGCAAACGGAGAGGAGTAACTCGACGTTGGAGCAGTACCTGCGGAGTTACGTGAACTTCCAGCAAGATGATTGGGCGGAGTTGTTGCCTCTGGCGGAGTTCGCCTATAACAACTCCAAGCATTCCGCCATAGGGATGTCGCCTTTCATGGCCTCCGAGGGGACTGACCACAAGTTCACCATCCGGATGGCCGAAGTACCCAATGAAAGCGCGGATGAGTTCAGGGAGCGACTCTCGAACATCCACGAGTCGGTACTCCGGGCATTGGAGCAAGCAAGGGTGGATATGGCGAAATACGCCAACAGAAAGAGGCGACCCGTTCCCGACGAGGGAATGGAGGTCGGGGATCAAGTGATGTTGTCTACGGACCACATCAAGACGGTTCGTCCAAACAAGAAGTTGGACTACAAGACCCTCGGACCTTTCAAGATCGCCGAGGTCGTGGGAGATGCGAAGATGGCGCGAAGGTTGGAGCTTCCCGAGCAACTGCGGCGGGTACACCCCGTGTTCCATGTCTCGATGCTGATCCCGTACAAGCGGAACGAGCTACCCTCGCGGGAACAGGTCCCGCCTCCTCCTCCAGAGGTAGTGGATAACGGTGACACCCAGTGGGTAGTATCTGAGATCGTAGATTCGCGGAGCAGGAAGCGGGGACGTCAGACGCGTACCCAATATCTGGTGCGGTGGGAAGGTTACGAGGATGAGTATAACGAGTGGGTACATCCGGAGGACTTCCACCATGACGACCAAGCGGTGCTGGATTATCATCGACGATACCCAAACAAGCCAAAACCTGCTTTCGAGGAGTACGGCGATGCCTAGGGCGTTCGGAGCTCGCCCGTAACGGGGGGATCCTGTTATAGCGACACGCGCGTACGCCGGACTCGAGCCGTACCAACTCCGGCGGAGTTGTTCAAGGAGCATATCGTATTGCATCACTTTGTATCAGCATTGTAGTATATAGTCTTTCATCTGTTATTACATCTATATACCCTAGTCCTACGTTCTACATTACTCCCGGATATGTCCTCGCAGGTATACATCGAGCCGGTCTTCCCTGGAGCCTTCTCGACGCCTAACATCGAAATTCGGATCCGGAAGCATCGTAGAGGTCGTCTGCGTTCTAGGTAACAATGTCGCAAGGTTTACGAGTGTTTACGAGAGGCTGAGAGGCTGGGTAGATGTCGGTCGGATAGATAACAGATAGCATATATGGACATGCGCAGTGATCGAGTGCCCAAGGTGAGGCTAGGCGACGCGCACCGGATGATTTGAGCTTTGACGCGCTGAGAATCATCATCCGGTGCGCGTCGCCCCAAAGACGGGTTCTGCCGTAAGCATCAACGCCCGGACTTGGAAAATCGCAATGTCCGAGAGGCCGCAAAGCTACGTAAACCAATGACGTAAGCGCGCGCGGGACGTGCCATAAGCATTGACGCGCGGAATGTGGACTTTGGAACTGTGGACTTTGAAACTTGGGAATGTCCGCAGCGACGAAATCATGACGTAAGAAGCTACTACACCGCGCGTCCGCGCGGAAGCTACTGGACCGCACGGATGCGCGCGGAAGCTACTTTGTAGCGCGCGGATGCGCGCGGAAGCTACTTTTTAGCGCGCAAAGACGCGCGAGGAGTCGAACAGAGGTACTTAGGATAGTTGACCGGTGTTCGATTCACCGTTGTTGCATAAGATTCTTTTTGCCCGATCTGTACAATTATGATTGTAAAATCGTGCTGTTGTTTGGCAGGATTCAAGCTGACCTGCACAGATGGGAGATACTCTCAAAGGCGATCGAATGAGTTACCAAACAAAGCAATTCCCTTTATGCCAAGAACGGTTCATGGCATCTCCAACCACCAACGATGTATTCATCAAAATCCAGGTACACTTATCATTATCACCGCCGTCGATCTCGCTGCTCATCCCTATACCTGGCCGGAGATCTACTCGTTTCCCTCCCTCCTCTCCGTTCGTCGTACCGCTCCCGCCCACCATTCCTCTCGCGGTCTCTGTCCCTATCTCTGTCGCGATCGCGATCGTCATACCGTCCACCTCTCCCTTCATCTCTCGACCGCCCACCAAACTCTCTCCGGTCATCCTCATATCTCCTTCCCTGGCCTTGATCGTCCCTAGGTCTGTCCCGGTAGTCGGTACGAGGAGGCGGAAGAGGCGCTCGGCCGCCATAACCGGAATCTCCACCGCCTCTCACTCCAGAAGCGTTGGCTCCCGTACGTTGTTCCCCACCTGGCTGATTGTTTGGGCAGTCTGCAGCGAAAGAATCAAGTCAACTCATGCGATACTTCGCATCACCTAGGTCGATCCCAAACGCACCTCTTTTCAGATGCGGCCCTCCACAGTTGAAACAGCCTTCGCCTTGTGCAGCCCCAGAAGGTCCGCCGGGCCCGCGACGGAGCGCACGGTCCCACCCTTCTTGCGTCGTGTCCTGATCTTTCAGGTGGGTGTACTATAAATTGCGCGCGCGGGCCAAGAAGGAAGGGTTAGTCACGATGTAGAGAAGGGAGTGGCCATGCTGAAGGCTTGCCTTTGATCGTGATGCCTATTTTACGGAAGACATATGCAAGGTATATTCTCGTCAGCTCCTACACTCTTATACGGATTACGGATAATCCAAACTCAGAGCTAAAAATCGAACGTACCTTGCCGAAGTTCTTGACCTGCATGATCTTGGGCAAAAGGTTGACATCCACCGCCGACTCGGTCTTGCCACTGACCCGTCTCTTCAAAATCTCATCATCCTGATGGAACGCCCCCTTGTGATAGAACTTGTCCATGAATCCTCTCTCTTCCCTCTCCTGCATCTTGAGCTCTCTCGTCTTTCTCGCGTACTCTTCGTCCTCCCGTACTCTTTGAGCTTCAGGAAGAGCTCGACGGCGCTCGATCTCGGCTCGTTCCGATTCTTTGAGCAGGCGGGATTCTTTATCACGGGCGAGTCGAGAGAGCTCTCGTAGTCGCCAGGCATCGAATTCGGCAGAAGGATCCAGGTCGTCCGTATCGTCCACATCGGGGGCGTTCTCGTTGACTTCCTCTACTCAACCCAAAACAATGCCTGATATTAGCCTTCCTGCCCTTGGAACTTGGAACGATGGTAATTTGAGATCGCATCCAGTCCGACTCACTAGCTGCCATCTCCCGCTTGATCGTCTCGCCCAACAAATCCCTACTCTCCTTCTTCCTCTGAAGGAACTCTTCCTCTTTCCGCCTGACCTCCTCGGCTTCTTTTTGCTCCTGAATCTCTCGGGCTGTCACTGTCTCCCGGGCTCGTCTGAGCAGGTCACAGAGAAGGATGAGAAGAGAAGAGAGAAGACAGACTCAAGGGGTTAGCTGCGCCAGTCAGAGAGAAGATCAGGGCGAGTGCATCGGGCTTACTTGGGTACGAAGGTAGGTCGGACCATGATCTTCGGTTTCTCCTCCTCCTCCGATTCCTCTTCCTCAGAGTCCGTCTCGTACTCGGATTCTTCTCCCGCCGCTGGTGGTGCCGGGACGGCAGCTGCGCCGGGTTTGCGGAAGGTAGGTCGAGCAGGGGGTTCTTCCTCTGAGGATTCTTCTTCTGATGACTCTGCGAGATCCAGGCGAGTTGATACGATTAGGTTACCTCAAGGTCATACTGTCAGTAGTGAAAGAGAGTCAGACCTACCCTCTTCTTCTACCCTACTGACCTCCCTCTTCCCGCCGATCAACACCGCTCCGTCACCTTGCACCTCGACATCCCGTAATGCGACCTGGATGTTCCTGGGTACGACCTTTCCCTGACCCTGTGGTATCACCCGCCCCGCACCACCGACTACCAGGCCAGGATCTACGTTCCCTCCTCTTCCCCCTCTTTGAGCTTGATTACGTCCCTGAGGCTGATCATCTTCCTCTTCTTCCTCTGAAGAGGATTCGTCAGAATCGGGGATGGGCGCGCCGTTGGGTAGTTTTCCACGGCGGTATCGCAGAGCTTGCGGTTTTGGAACCAAGGGGGTCGGTCTAGGCGCCATATCTCAAGATATTGAGGAACCTTCGGGAATTTCTACTAGATAGGAGAGGTGATAGAGTGGTATCGTAGTAAGAATAGACGTAGATAGATGGAGGTTGTGTATAGGTAGGTAGATCTAGGGGGTTGATGCTATCGCGGTCGCGGTGTTTGTCACGTGATTTCGATTTCGCGAGGAAGTTGGGCAGAAAGTTCAGAAGGGAAGGAGGATGATCGACTTGTAACTCTGAACACTTGAAATGCTGTCATCGCTTCTGATCGCAACCCCACCACGCCATAGTCGCAAGGTTCTTATAGCGAGGATGATAAGCAACCACAATAAACGTCGCACTCAACCCTCGGCCTCCTCTTCCCGGGTGGTGGAAGACGACATCTCGACCCGTCTCTTCAAACTTCAAGATGATCGCGAAAAGGAGGACGAAGAGCTCGATCTCGAAGCTTCTCTCTTCGGAAAGAAGCGGAAACGAGCAGGAAGAGGGTCGAGAGGAAGTGGGATAAGCAAGTCAAAAGCCAAGGCGGAGCAGGAGGAGATGGGAGGGGAGGATATGGGGATGCCCGGGGTGTTTTGGGAGGATAAGGGGGATGATGTGGGGATGAGCTCGGGAGGGAACGCCGACGAGGTTGGTCACGGGCAACATTTACCCCGAACGAAGTTATGTAAGAAAAGGCTGACCTGTTGTTGTTCCCGGTGCCGGTCAGATGTTTTACGAGGATGCACCATTGGCAGAAGATCGAGAAGACGAGGATGAGCAGGAGGAGGAGGAAATCGATTTCGAGCAAGACCTCGAGGCAGATTCAGTAGTTTCCGCTTCTGATCGAGATGATGATGAAGACGAAGAGACATCCGACTCGGATTCCAACTCGGAAGCCGATGTTGACGCCGAACCCACTACCACCCCATCCTGGCTCTCCACCCCCTCCTCCTCAAAACCCAAATCCAAAAAGCCTCTGTGGCAAGACCCCTCGGACAACCAGATCTCTCTCGACATGTCCAAAGACAACCGCCTCCGAAAGCTCGTCCGTTCTCAACCCGGATCGAGTACGGTCGACGGACAAGGTCTAGAGAGCAAGCTGAGGGAGCAGTTTGAAAAGATGCATCCTCAGCCTGAATGGGCTACCGAGGCGAAATCCCGAGCGGCCAAGGAGAAGAATATAAAGAACAAGAACAAGACGCAAAAGTTGGACCCTCTACAAGCTCTATTTGCTAGCACGGCTTCTTTCTTGGATACCTCCTCTACGAGCCTGTCCAACCGGGGCTTGCTTCCGAAAGGCGCACTCGAAGTCCGACGGTTGAGGGATGCAAACTATCAGAACCGGACGGTCTGGGAAGGAGGGAACGGGAAGAAGAAGGTGGTAGGAGAAAAGGGCAAGAAGGAGGAAGAGGGCAAGAAGGCGAAGTATATGGACACGGGGATGATGGATGTCAAGTTCCACCCGAAGGTCGAGGTCCTTGCGGCTGTTGGTGCGGACAGACGATTACGGCTGTTCAACGTGAGTTCCTCCTTCTTGTGGAGGCAGATCTTGTGGGGCTTGAATCGCAACTATCATCATCTGACAACTCTGATTCGCTATGGTCGGCCCGCAGATCGACGGACATACCAATTCGTCCCTTCTCAGCCTCCACATCCCCTCACTACCGATCAGGAACATGCAATTTCACCCATCCGGCACCTCGCTCCTCTTGACTGGCTCTCGACCATTCTACTATACCTACGACCTCCGTTCACAGCGATGCATCCGATCACCAAAGAACCTGCTCTCCAACGCCTCGGCATCCGACCCGGGAAGCACGTATTCCATGGAAAAGACCGTGTTCTCCCCGGACGGAAGTGTACTCGCTGTAGCAGGAAAGAGGGGCATCGTCACCCTGCTCGCTTGGGGTCCAGGGGGGTCCGGACAGGTCTTGACGACGCTTCGATCGGGGAGAACGGGTGGGGTGCAGGACATGATGTGGAGAAAGGGAGGGAAAGAGTTGTGGGTTCTAGGAGAGGGGAGCGAGGTGGACGTTTGGGATTTGGGTGAGAGGAGGTGTGTGGCCAGGTGGAAAGACCAGGGAGGGTTTGGGGGGAGGTTGTTGAAGGGGAGTAGGAACGGGGACTATTGTGCCGTAGCGTGAGTCATTCCAGCCAGACCGCTTCGGCTTTCTCTATTGGTTCGAGCTCACCCGTTGTTCACATCGCTTGTATAGCTCGACAACAGGTGTAGTCAACGTGTACGATGCCAACGAGATCACCTCGTCCGTCAACACATCGATCGACGCTTCAGAAGGTCTCTTTGCCGGAGCATCGCCTAGGCCTATCAGGGAGCTCATGAACCTTACGACGGAGATTACGAATATCGCCTTCAATCACGACGCGCAGATGATGGCCGTGTCTTCGAGCAAGAAGAAGGACGCTTTCCGCATGGTAAGCACCGAGAGAAGGAGAAATATAAACGGGAAATTTACGCTGACCATCGACCTACGTTTGGGATCCGTAGTTCCACCTGCCATCCGCTACGGCGTTTACAAACTGGCCGACCTCGTCCACCCCACTTGGGGTTGTCACATGTTCCGACTTTTCGGCGGGGAGCGAACATGTAGCGATGGGGAATACTCGAGGCAAGATTCTTTTGTACAGCGTCGAGCATTACAAGCCGCTCGGTGCATAGGCCGTGGCTTGTACGTAGATAGAGACAGGCTAGTCCAACTGCTGTTCAGTGTTACGATGCGCTTGCGATCATGACCTTTTAGGATCGGTGCCCTTCCCTGAGGTAGCTTCTCAGAGCGAATGAGGAGGATATCGGCTTGTCATAGAAACCCCTCCCATATGGCTCCCGTCCATCTGATTACGTCATCGCTCAGGGCGGGACATCTGAAGATCGCGATCGAGAAGTTCAAGTCGCTCGAATGTCCACCCTCTGATATTGCCTGGTTGAACATGACAGTCATCCCTACGATTCGTTTTCATCTATGGTGTTGGCACTATCGAGATCTCTAGCTATCACTCGTCTTGTATTCAGACCGATCGCCTTAGCTTCCCGCCGAGCCCCATACTACCATACATCTTACTCTACCATCACTCAAAAACGCACAACCAAAATGTCTGACAAAGAGGAACAATCCGCAAAGCTCGATCTACATTACACCTCGGAGCGAGCGGAGGAGTTGAAAGAGAACATCGAGGCTGTGCAAAAGGAGATCGATGAGGTCTGGGCAGAGGTTGAAGGTCAAGGCGGGGTCAAGGTTAGAATAGCTCAAGCTCGTCACCTGTTCCTCTCCATCGCAGCAGCTGATGTCCAGTTGTTAACGATGATGAGGTTAGCCCCGACTGGTAGCGGTATCAAAGCTCAAGCCTGCTAGTGACATCAAAGCGTTGTACGATGCGGGGTATCGTCACTTTGGGGAGAACTATATTCAGGAGATGGTGGATAAGGCTCATGCGGTACGTCACCGCCGGCTTGATCTGAACAAATGCGAAGGGGAAACGTAGCAGCTTACAACGGTTATGCGTAACGCTTGGAGTAGCTGCCGACGGATATCAAGTGGCACTTCATCGGTGCTCTGCAGAGCAATAAAGCCAAGCTCGCTGCCAGTAAGTCCGGGTCTGGTTATCGGCCATGCCTTTCCTCGACATCCCGCTAACCGCGACCCCTTCCTACGTCACCCACCGTTTTTCGTGCCCCGATGCTTTCCTTGTTCCCAATTGTAGCCATCCCCAACCTCTATGTCCTGGAAACCCTCTCGTCCATCAAGACCGCCAACATGCTCAACAAGTCCACACCCGACGACCAGACCCTCAACGTGTACATCCAGATCAACACTTCCTCTGAAGATGCCAAATCCGGTGTCCAACCTCTTTCTCCCTCCAAGGAATCTGATCCGGAACCTAACCCAGAGGCTTCGGAGTTGATCGACTTGGCTACCCATATCTTGACCGAATGCCCGAGGTTGAGATTACACGGGTTGATGACTATCGGCTCGCTTTCCGCTTCCACCTCGAAATCATCAGTCGGCGGGAACCCAGATTTCGACACCCTCAAGTCTACGCGGACTGCTCTTGTGCAAGCTTTGAAGTCTAAAGGAGTCAAGGGCGCACCGGAGAGTGAAGGGGAGCTGGAGCTGTCCATGGGGATGAGTGCCGATTTTAAAGAGGCGGTCAAGCAGGGGAGCAGTGGGGTCAGGGTAGGGACGAGGATCTTTGGGGAGAGGCCGAAGAAGGTCAAAGCTGGGGATGGACAGGGAGTGACCAAATGAGCGAGCGTGAGCATAAAGGATTGAATCGCTGGCTGTATCTATAATCGTGTGAATCATGAGAGAGATGTTTTACAAAACAAGTCGGAGCTCGATCGATCATCGATAGGGTTGTCAAATACACAGAAGATCGTTCGGATCCGATTTCATACAAGAGATATCTATAGGCAATAACAAAGCATTGTCCGTGAAATGAGGCATTTATGGGGAGAAGAGACCTTTGAGGAACGTTTATGGAGATGAGAATCGTATGACAGCGTCGTGTATGGTCGTATAATATGGTGAGCCGTTCGCAGTCGATATCGAAAGGTGCAAAGTCCGAGCTAGGCGTGTAGGTATAGTCGTCGGTGCTTTGCACTCGGTATATCGTTCGACCCTCGAGGTCGAGGTTGAGGTTTCGTTAGATCCGGTTTTCTTTCGGGTGATATCCGATCCAATCCATCGGGAGGGGTCTTCGCTGGGGTAGAGATCTCCGCGAAGAAGATGTCGATGAAGAGGAAGATGAGGATGACATGGTCGAAGCGGAGGACGAGGACGATTTGTTCGACCGCGTCGTAGGGGCGGGAGAAACCAGGCCCGTCGCCATCTGGAGCGCGTTGCACGATTTGGGCACGATTGGTCTAGGTCGATGGGTGTTGTTGTCTTCGTTATCGTTGAGTTCGTGAGATCGAGATGCTTTGGGGTTACTATGCATCCCCATAGCTTTTTGGAGTGCGGACGAAGAAGGTGGAGGAGGGACCGATCGATGAGACGCTCGGAGCGGTGCACCGGGAGCGCGAATCGTCTCCTGGTGCTGATTGCCTCGAACGGGGGTGCGAGGAAGATCCCCGTATAGTCGGAATGGCGGAAGAGGGAATCGCATCTCTTCCTTCGATTCCCCCTTGGCTCGGGCTGGAGAGCCAACGCTCGGTGAAAGGGCGATGTATGGGGTGGGGTCTTCCTTGGCGCTGATGAGGAAGTCGGCGAACGTCGATGAGAGCATATCGCTCGTCTGCCCAGAGATAGGGCTCGGGGTAATCGGTTGTTCCGGATTTGATGAAGCCGTTGAAGAGAGGGAGCTCGAGCGGGATGATCGCGAGAGGGGACGGGGAGTGGTCATCGAGAAGTTGATGGCGTTCTTTGGCGTCGTGACGTCGAGAGAGATGGGCGACATCAATCCCGGCAGCTCGGCCGTTCGCTGCTTCTGACCAGATGGTTGGGTCGGGGAGAACGGCGAGCCTAAGACGGGCAAGGTCGGCTCTAGCGATACCCGCCAAGCGAGGTTGTTCTTGAGGTCGAGCGGCGGCGGACGTCTTGATGCATCGGCAAAGGCGGTGGACGGGTTGAACAGTTCACGACAAGGCGACATGCGAGATCCGAAAGATTCTTCGCTCGAGGTTGGTGATGCCGGTCTGGAGTCAACAACAATCGCACAAATTAGCTAGGGGTTTCAAAGACCTGCAATGAAAGCGTGACTCACCTTTGCATGTTTGGCGTGCGAGGGGTCAAAGCGTATTCGTACTCCCAAGAATCGCTGCGCTCGTGTAGGCTCGACATGTTCAAAGCGTCGATTTGAGGCCGCGTGCGGCTCGAAGAGGATGGCATGAAGAACAAATCGCTATCCTCGTCCTGGGCGGTGCCGTTGAAAGAGTAGGTTGGCTTGCGTTCGGTGCTGGCAGAAGCGGAGCCGATGAAGAAGACATCTTCCAGCGGGTTATCGATTTCGGTCGACGGTGTGATGCAATGCGAAACGTCCTCCGAAGTACAAGAGGTGGAACACGAAAAGGATTGCTGCTCGTGGAGGTCGACGTCAACGAACCCATCAACAACTGATGAAGGCTGTGCGTCTTCCTCCTCGTTCTCCGCTTGCCACCTCATCAACGCTTGCTCGAACGCCTCGCACTGTGTTTTCCTGATGGTCTCTTCCATCTCTGCTTCGCGTTCACCGTCTTCGTCTTCAGACACGGTCCAGAGTCCTTTCCTACTCGGTTCCTGCAGGGGAGATAGGAGGTGGTTGGATCGAAAGTGATTGCGCGGGACGTATTTGACTGGAGGTGCGGGCGCTCGTCGATGGGGAGCCGGAGGTGAAACGGGCAAGACGACGTGTGCGCGGGAGAATTTGGTCGGTAGCGTGATGATGGAGGCATTGTTCGCGTTTGAGGTGGAACGGGGCGAAACGTTGGGGCGTTTCAGAGGAGCCGAGGTAAATAGGGGTGACGGCGTCTGGGAGGACGAGTGAATGCCGAACGCTCGGACGAGGTTGTAGTTGAAATCGTTTGAGGTTGAAGACGAGGATGACATTGCGGCTGAAGCTCGACCGGATGTAATGGCAAGCGGTTTTGGTGGGGCTAGAGACGAGTAGGCGATATCGGGTGAGCTATTTGAACGAATCGGGCGGTGATTCGAAAGGAACCGCTCCACATGGGTCGAACGGAGGAAAGGGGAAGGAAGGGGCGAAAGTGCGAGCAGGACAAGGGGATGGGGGCTTTATGTGATCGACCCGTGTCTGATCACTCACCTCGGATAATCGCGATCTTCAGTTTGAATGCTGTGCCACCGATCGTGCAGGTAGAGCCGGAAAGTGCTGTTTGGCGGGCCGGGGTGGATACAGGTGATTGCACTAGAAACGAGGTCTAGCGCTCGTCCGCCAGGAGAGTTTATTCGAAACGCCTGGACGTTTGTACCTCGATTTGCAGTACGGGCAACGTGTGGCGTCGAGAGCTCGAGAGAGAGCTCGGGAAGATATCGACGACTTGATATGGTCGATGCCCGAATCGATGATAGAGTTTCTTTCGAGGCGTGCCCGATGTTCTATTTGATCGAGCTAGACGTTTCGGCGTATGATCGAAACTGTTGATCGCTTGGCAGACGAAAGGGGTTCCTTGTCGTTCGGTAGTCGGATCACGCGAGCGGGAAGAAACTGATACGCGTTTCGAGTTGGATTGATGGGAAGTCGCGAAGCGATCAGTCCGATGAACGGTTGATGAGGTGTGTGGATTACGTGAGGCGGATTTCGGGAGTGATCGATCGATCGGGCGGTAGTGAAGAGAGTTTTTGACGAGGGGTCGATCGGATTGATTTGAGTTGGGCGTTCGTGATATTCGTGACAGTCAGGCGTGAGATGAGTCGAGATCAAGGTAACTACCTTCGTCGTGTCTTTTAGTAACCTTTGAGTCGATGTGCAAGGAGAGCGAGTTTTTGTGGAGCGGAAAGGAAGGCCGTACGATCGACATTGCGGGAAGAGGTTATGCTCAGATACAGTTGAGTCCCTCTATATACATCGTCTCGAAAGTTTTGGCTCAATCGAAATCGATTGTTCATGCGAACAATGGGTAGCATCATCGAAAAACAAGAGCATATTGTCGAACCGACTCTCTGCCTCTTACCCTCTCGAAGCTCGGTCATCGGTGACGTTGTGATCGATCATCAACGGGCAACAGGTGGATCATCCCCTCTGCCTGTTGTGCCCTTGTTCTGCCTTTTGTGCTCGGACCATCCTTTGGCGGCATTGTCTCGGCATCGCGCTTACCACGTGTTCGGCACCGCGACTCACTCGTAAATGTTTCATGTTCAATCCCCGCTCCGGGCCGGAACATGCCGAGGCGGGAACAAAAGGACGTCTCGCGTCGCACAGACGAGAAGAGAGAACAAAAGCGACGCGCTTGCCACGAGCGTGTGAGGCTGAAAGCTGAAACGTCGACTCGGGTCCTCTTTTGTCCGGATGCATTTCTCGCTTTGTTCGGAAGCGAATTAACAGCTGTGGCTGTTTCGTGGCGCGTTGCGGCCTGGTACACATGGGTCGAACGAGATTGCATACCTTATCACTGTTTTCGCAGTCGGTCCCGCACTTGGCCGAACGGGAGCCGAGAACGAGACAAAGTTCAATTAGGCGTGGGAAAAAGGTGGATTGGTGGAACCGAACGCCGGGTCGTGGGACGCACGAGAGAATTCGCGCTGCTGAGTGACGATCTGTTCCTCGCCAAAGTCTATCATCCGATCTTCAAAGCAGGATACACCGAAAAAGGACCGCAAGCTACGAGCCGTCTATAGTATCATTACAAAGGCTGGTCTCCTGTTCTTCTGTCAACGATGGCCGTCGCTATGCCACGCGCGGCGCCGCCTGCCATCCATCTACCGGATCCAAACCGGTGAGATATCCCTGCATCTCGAGCCGACCCATCTGTCGAAACTCCCTGAGTGCCTTCATCAACTCCTCCCGTAAGTCGTAGCGAGACAAGAGATGCTTTTCACTGTCTCGGCGTGTGAGCATCATGGCGAGCGCGATGACGCTCAGCTGTCGATTGTGGTCTTCAGGAAGCGACATCTGTTGATCCAATCGATTCATGTCTTGATATGTATATAGGGAATGGAGAAGCGAGAGGCGGAGCTGATGCCAAATATCTGAGACTGCCTTCCTTTCCTTTTTCCGCATTCTGCGCGAATCTTGATGCTCCACCATCTTGCAGAATTCGTCCGTCTCCATGATCTCGCCCATCGAGAGATTCTGGATAGCGGCAGATAGATTCTGTTCCAGATTCGCCTGCTTGTTGACGAATATGGCGACCTGAGTGGAAACCAGATCCAGGTCCAAGCGTTTCGCTCCACCGCCTTCGTTCATGACGATGCTTTTCGCCCGACTGGTAGCGGTAGACAATGGCGGTTGCGAGAGATCAGTTCGGTCCGCCAGGCTCGCCACCAATGAGGAAGCCGGGATGAACTCGTTTTCAGAGTACGAGTACTGCGGACCCGTGTGCCCATGAGCGGCTCCCTTCAGTCGCGGCACATGCAGCCTCTTCAATACTGCGAGATCTCCTTCCTGAAACGTCGCTGTACCGGTATCGGCATCCAGTAAAGATGCGGTACAATTTGAGATATTGGTACGCAAGGTGTAGATAATCGATGTGTCATCAGCTTCAACAGCTAAATTTAGGTTTTCGGGGTTCGATTTGGCGAGAGTACTGTAGATGGTCGAAATACAGGAGGAGACAGGCATGGTAAAGAATAGTTGAGTATGAATTGGATGATGCTGTATGGATTTTCTTGTCGGCCGCATACACCTGCGCAAATTCTCTGAACTTCTTATACGCAAGGAAATACCAGATAAGTAAGTGGAATACAGGAGAACCAGCTAGCGACAGAATCCAATGAGAAAGGAAGTATCCGTAGGTCGCGCCATACACATAACGATCATCTAAGGATCACCGTACAGGTCGGAGATACTGTGTTCTGACGCCATATCTGACAAAAGAGAGCATTAACCTGTAACGCAATCATGATCCCCGGTCAAAGGAGACGACCGCAGCACGAAGGGCAGAATGATGGAGGGTGAGGGAATTTTTGGTGTCTTTCGAGCCTGATCCAGCAACTCCTTTGTAGATCGCGTGAGCGTCCTCCTTTCTGGATCACAACATCGATCAGCGACCTAGTTGAATCCCATGATCAGATATCGATGGCAGTACGATTCGATGTATTCTATTCTATCCGGACTGCGCATGTCATGGACTGAACCTATTTCGAGGGAAACAGGCAAAATCGGGGATGGCTTCCCTTCTGAAATGCTATCGGCGTCAACATCGAAGGCCGAGTCTTGCGAAGTGATGCTGTATGGCGACCATGAATACGTGCTGTAGCTACTCTATGATCCGCTCTGTCTTCTCATGCTACATATCATATTGTCATCAAACACGAAAAAGTCCTCAAACGCTCTCAGCTGGCGTCGATCCACCACTTCATAACCAGGGGTTGAGCTTCTGTTCATGGCCAGGCATATAAACCCTGCTTTCCTTCTGCAGCAAATCAAGAGCTTTGTAGAGGTATGATATCCCCTCACCCTTCGATACTTCCAAAAGATTGGGTGAATAGACGAGAAAGACCATCAGAACTATCTTGATAATCCATCCTTCGGCTTCATCGTTCTCTCTGATCCTCAGCTCCTCGTAGGCTGCACGTAGGGCTGTCGAGTGGATTTTACAGAAGCAGAGGGCCAATCTGCTGGCAAGCTCGTTGTTTGTTTCTGGAGAATGATGCTTCTTCTGATGGGCCATCATTTCCTCAGCGAGTTCAGCGATGGTTCCTAGGCTGCCGTTCTGCTCGAAAAATTTCTCGAACTCTCTGGCCAAGGCGATTTCCAATCGAGCCTGCTCAGACATGAAACGGGCAAGTCGTGTGCCTTTCAGATCGAAAATGAGTTCTTTGATTTCGTCGCCTTTGTTGATGATGATGGCATCACCGTATGGGGCCGGGTCGAAGGCGGAAGACGGCGATGTCCCTTCTCCGGTAACAAGTGAAATCGCAGATTTGTAAGTATCATCAGGCAGCTTGTCACAGATTTCGCCTTTGTCTTGCCGACCTTCTTTCGAGGCCCGATTGTATCTCAGTAAAGAGGCCTTGGGGAACGCCCTCCTACCTGGAAGAAACAAGGGCTTCAGAACGGCCAAATCGCTCGGTCCGGGTTGCTCTTCGCCCAGCTTGGAAGCTTCCAAGGAAACGTGACCCTTGGAGGTGACGCTGAGAATCCAAACCGATAAATAACTCTCGCAGGGTTGAGCTAGCCCCATAGATGACTGAGAGGTAGTACAAACGCTCCCTTCTGCCAGGCAATCGATGAAAGAAGGTGGATTGGACATGGCGATGAAGTAAGTGTGGATGGATCGTTGCTTTACGACGAAGAGTCTTTGTCAATCTTGCGATCTCGATCGTCTCTGTCATGGCTTCGCCGGACCTTATATATGTACATGCCGATCTATGCAGGCTTAGTTATAAGCAAGAACCCTGTACAGCAGAGAATCGCCAACAAAGGAAAGTCCCATATAAACCGTACAAAGCCAACAGCTGCGGCCTCATTCGGTATCTCTGGTTAGCGATTGGGAGCCGAGAGGCGTGATTCTCATGGTTCTCATTGCAATTCCACTGACTTCCTTTCTTGTATTGGCTGCCGACCCTTTGCCGGAACGTTTACGGGTTACACGTGCTATCAGCTCCTTTTCGGCATGTGACTCGGGAAAGTGCGACTGATCTCGCCTCTGTGTGTTCAAGGTTTCGATCGTCCTTCAGAAGTCGGTTCGACGTCGGTGTCTAAAACACGACTTGACACTGTGATACTGTACCTGAGTCCTAGTTGAGATAAACGATTAACAAAATCGATCGTCATACATAGGCGCTTCTCCGACCTCAGACCATGCGTGATTCCGAGATGAGGGCTGCTTCTCGCCCTCTGTACACTCCTTTTTTGAAGAACATTCCATGCTGATTTTCTTCCCTCTAGTACGAGTACATCCGCTTCTCTCAACTATGCTCATCCAGCTAATTTAAGGGCTTCCTTGCAAAATTGCTACTCTTCAACAGTTGCCGCCCACTGTCCCCCGGACGGAAGTTCACCGCCAGTGCGATATGTACTCGTATACTGGCGTCAGGTGAACCCATTCAAGATCAAGAATTGGGCTTATCAATTACTTGGCTAATCGAATTAGATATGTTCAAAGAACTGTCTGAGTGGGACTAACAAGCCACTCGATATTGCCGTAATAGGACGGGAACGGCGGGCAGCAGAGGATGACCTGAATTTCTACGATCCCAAGCGACACGGACGTGACCTGCGCGCTTTTCATGATAAAATATGTCGTCATCCTTCACAAAATAGGTAATTACATCATAGATCCTGAATTCACACGGTCCATAGCCTCTTCTGGGTTTTTGATCATACGGATTCTCCACAATTGTAATCTCTGCAGTCCTCTACAAGCTGTGATCATTTTGTTGAATCCGACCAGGTGGGGGCCATCTTCAAACCCGATGTGGAAGCACCCCTCCGTCTGCGACATCGCCAAGGCCCCGATCATAGCCACAAAGATCTCTCGTCTCTTGGATTCTGAATCCTCGAGTCCGTTGACTTCGGCAAGATCGTTATCGAACTCGTTTTGGGGCCAGTCCTCAAGCTCGGCCCTATAGGACTCAAAAGCCTCCTGGATATCGCTCCACATCAAGGTTTCGACCGGCAGTTCCTCTTGCTGCTGGAAAGTCTTCTGTTGGCTGAGGAGTTCTTTGTAGGCTTTTCTAACTCTTTCAACAGCAATATCGGACTCGAGCGGCACGAATACGTTTCCTGATTTTCGGGTCGAAATTTCATCGCTCATTCGCTTTCTGATCTTGAACTCCAAATCGAGCTGAGCTCTTCTCCATTCGATGTCATTCGTGGTCTGAGTCCTCAGTACGATCGGCCTTTGGCCTCTCTTCTCGATGACTAGAGCTAAGCTTTCCTGTCGCTCCGATCGGGTCGAACCCAGAGTGTCTAGGTTGGTCCAGACAGTCGGGATCGATTCGCTAGTGAACGTCCCTGGCCATTGCTCTGAAGGCTGGCAGGTAGTGTAACATATCAAGTTCTGGTGCAGGGAGTTCGGAAATTCTTTAAGGTCATTTAGGCTGTCAGGCGGACATAAAGAGAGGTTATCTCCCGACCGGTCGTACCAGAGGACTCCGCTTGAATTATCGTCTTTGAGAACGGCGAGGGTGTCATTGTCTTCGATTCGGCCTATGATAGACATGTCTGGTATTTGTCTTCTTGATTCGGTTGCGAAGAGAAATGGGGAGAATTTGATAGATGGCAGAATACGGAAAGTGTACCTAGCTTGGACGCCTTCTTTATACATGAATCGTTGGCTCCTGTTGTCTCTCGCATGACTCTCTGGCCGACGAGGCGGATGAAAGGAAGAAACTATTCGAGTCATTTTGACCCTCAGCCGCCGACATGACGATGGCGACAGTGAATGACCAGCACGTAAAGCCCTTGCCGAGGCGCCGATCTTGCTTCTCCATACTGTAATATAATGGACTTCATCTATCTTGGACCAATAAAGGACCCATCGGGCCCTGTCGCTGCATGAATCATTCAAATTCAGCCGAGATACAGACCGCTCTACCCTGTCTTTCCCTGCATCCTCTCTGTGAAAGCACCAAGAACCCTAGAGTTCAATGTCTGAGAAAGGCACCTTGGCCATCCTTGGGGTCATCTCAAAATCCTTCAATTGATAGTAAAATAGCCGCCATGACAAAGGCAAAGGGGCCGTCAACGTGATGTCGAGATTACGTTCAAATAATCACAGCTATGTTTATCCACGCGGTCGTACCCTTCCTTTCGATGTCGAGATCAAGAACGTTGTCGGATTGTCCATAAAATGACTCGCGTCAGAGTGTGGCGATTGCCATGTGGTTCGCAGTGCGATCCGGTTGAGAACCTCAACAAAGGAATGTCCTTATACACAATCACAACGTACGACGTAGATAAGAAATTGCGTGACCGGATATACGAATGACAAGGAGCCCGGCTGTAGGGAGCCTCGAGGTCGGCCGAGTATCAAGGACCCAAGGGTCAGCCGAGGGGCTTTTGCCCACTTCCTCTAGCGCGTAGGAATGCCGAGTAGTCGCGTCCATGGCATCGCATCTTGTTCGCTATCGTCAGTGGCAAACGCTAGTAGTCATGAAAGGAAAGCTTTCGCTCTGTCAGCCACCTTCTTTGGCACTCAAGTGTGAATGACGAGGTTCTCAGCCCAAAGAGACGAATGATTCCCTCTGATGGAGAAAGGGAGAGGTTGGTAGAGATGCAGGAGAGCAGAGGAAGGGGGAAGAGAGGGAGATCATGTTCCCGCCCCACTCGGTCGGTCTGATGATCGACCAATAGTACTGCGTGATTTGAGCGTAGCCTTCGATTGCAAGCATTCGGTCATCTTCATTCCTGATTCCTCTTTTTTTTGGCGATCAGGAATTGGAAATTTGTCACTGCCACAACTTGCGAATCATCAACTCTTTGCTAGCAAAGCCGAACATGGGATCGACGTCTGTGAGCCAACCTGGATACACTGGTATCCAAATGTCTCACCTGCGAATGGGATTCGGCGGTTGAACGCAAATGTGACCTCAGCCCTTTGGTAAGCCGTGTCAGCTGAAATACCTTCTCGCCAAGATAATACCATGTCCCTCTAATGCCGTTAGCTAACAGGTGCGTCGCCTAGTGACAGCGCGGCCCCATGACGACATATCCCTTTGTCATGTGCTCATAAACAGGCAGAATAGATACCCCAGGGTTATCGAGAAAAGAACGGACTATTAAGCGTAAAGGACACAGTATGATTGCGTGCGTCTCTCAGCAATCAGAAATCGCCAGCTGCCCAAACTGGGCATCGCGATGCTCAAGTCGTATGTATCTTGTGGAACCATGTTCGAAAAGTGAGCCCTTCGTAATCCTCTTACCCTTGCTTGAATGCGCATGTGAACTATTCTTTCTACTCAACAAGAGCGCAGTGGTTGAGCGATCTCGGCAATTGACAAGGGCGGTCTTTCCTGTAATAGCACTCGTACGATCCATCTCCTTGACAATGTAATAGTGGCGATCGAGAGGTACTGGAATAACAGTCAAGGGTAGTAAAGCATGAATTCATCGGGTCTGTCGAAGGAGAAATTCAGACTTATATAAGTACAACAGGATCATGAATCTCACGAAACGACCCTTCAGAGAAGGTCCATGGCCAAATAACGAATCGACTTGTCTATCAATCATCATCTGACGTCTCCCCCTCCTCTCTCCTCCAGGGTCGCACCATATTCACCTCTAGATCCGACGATGTGGGAGCGCCAGCGGGGTCCAAGTAAAGGTTCGTGTTCACGTTCAGAAGGCATACCCTTTCGAGATCCCGACATGCCTGGACGAGTTGCCCGAAAGCAATACGGGCCTCGTCTTCGTCCGCAAGCAGACGTCTGTGAGTGTGGCGTTGAGACAGAGCCAGAGCTTCGACCATGCTGACGAGGCGTGCCCATTCCTTCTTCTTGTCTCCAGACACGTCATCGAACTCTTTCTGCCAATGGTCAGCGTTCCATGCTGTAAGAGCCGGTTTCACGATCTCAAACAGTTCTTCCAGTACTGCATAACGCTCAGAGTTGTATGGTTCCAGGACTGGTGCGACCTGGCCTGCTTCCGGCTTAGTCTGGTGGGCCTTGAGTTTGTCGTAAGCAGCACAAAGGGCCGTGCTGATGCCCAGATCGGTATGATCCCCGTTTCTTCTGATGATGCCATCTGCTTCATTTTCGATCTGTTGAAGTTGGTGGTACCACTGTTTCCAAGGCACACCGCGCGACTGCAAGATCAACCCTTTCGTGCGGTTATCCTCATAGAGTATCTGTACCTGCTTGTGTTCATCGTCGTATCCCAGGCTCATGGGTATAAATACCGACTGTCTGATTCGACTTTCATCTACGGTGGAATCTACCGTAAATACCGACATAAGTGTGCCCGCCGGGCTGGCGTCAGTAAACGACGGGCCATACGGTCGCAGCGTCAACGTGGGTGGTTCGTCTAAGTTGAGCACATTTACGGTACTCTCGATGATTGCCAATGTTGCACGCGAGCCGGGAGCAGGGAGCTCGTTGGGCCAATCGACGTAGACCCAGCGACAGTAAGTTCGGTGAAGTCTCCCCTAGATTCGAAGGAGAGATCACGCCAATAGGCCCTAGAACTCGACGGCATTGTTGCGAATCAATCAAGTGGGACGTGCGAGCTTTGAGTGAACTAATAAAACTGAAGGATATCACAGCTGAAAGCGACAACCAGACTCACCACACACGAACACATATACATTTATATATCTTTCCCCGCCGGCCCGATATTGCTAACCGCGAGATGGTACCATCTCTGCCGACCATCACAAAGGAGAAGCAAGCTTACAAATGCTATAGTGTGATGGAGAACGTTAACTCGGCATCACGAACGTTCCAAGCGAGCCGCAGGTCATATGAGGATGGCGCAATGGAGAACAAAGGATCGTGTGGTATGCTTTTCAGGCGAGCCGTCAGCTCTGAGATCATCATAAGAAACACAGCCACCGCTCTGGACAGCTTCCCCACAACCGAGTAATTCGCTCACTTGCCGCCTGCAGCGGTAGCCGCCGTTATGAAAGGATATCACCGGCTGTCAAGGTGCAAGCTTCTCGGTCGAGGAGGTTGTCATATGATCGCCGATGAATTAAAGACTTGATTGAGTGAACTTGATGAAGAAGGTTATTCGAACAAAACGGTACTTGGATCATTCGTCAAAGGCCTGTCACCGCGATGTCGAGCCAGTTCTCGGCTATGTAACCGTCGAGATGAAAGGAAGCGCGTATCTGCAATACATGTAGTATTGGTGAGGTCGATTCAGGATATCCCAGGGGGTCTTGCCGAACCATGGCGAGACGTCGTTGCGAGGCTTTGAGCTGGACATGACTCTATCCTGGAGGACTGCGAGTTTTGCCACCCTCGAGGCTTTTGACGCGGCGAGATGTTTCGAGATGTTTCAGGTTGTATGTCACGTGACCGCATCAACATGGGCTTTTTCGGACCGATCCGATTAATCCCGTGAAGTCGGAAGAACGGGTCAGCATCCGCGGTGCGACCCTGTTGGCAGCAGTTGCACCCAATCTTTTTCGCGAGCACCACACGAAATGACGACGAACGCGGGCGGCCGACCCTGTGTCTCCGTTTTCCTCCTCCAGCCAGCGAGACCCAGCCACCTTCCCGGCTCATACTTTGTTGTAATTCGACATCAACAACCTCATTCCAAAGCAACCTCGATTTCTTTCAGGTAACCTTTACACCCCCAAAAACACCACTCACTCTTTCCGTTTCTTCCTCAAAATGGCTTCCCGAACTTACAACGCCAACCCCTTCTTCTCGTCCGCCTTCTTCGCTCCCTCCATCGGCGAGAAGATCGACAACGCTACCGCCCAGGCCCAGGCCAAGGCCGAGGAGCTCAAGGTCAAGGGAGAGAAGATGGCCGGTGTCTACGGTGACAAGGCCTACAACAAGTTGCAGGATGCCAAGGAGATCGTCAAGGACACCGCCTCGGTCAACCCTACCGGTGTCGACCTTTACGCCAGGTTCGTCGAGAGAGCGCGTGGTGGTTGGGCAAGTGGAATGTCGCCGAAGGCAGATGCTAATACGTTTTGTTGTCCCGCTTGTGATCGTCAGGTTCGCCCTTGCCGGTGCCCTTGGTTGTGCCATCACCCACGGTAAGCATATTGACGATCTCCAGTCTTTGTTTACCCCTATCACGCGAGGCTGACCTTGTCGTTGTATCTACCGCCTACCTGTTGATGTTTCGCTATTATAGGTGCCTTGACCCCCGTCGATGTCGTCAAGACTCGAATCCAGTTGGAGCCCGAGGTTTACAACAGGGTCAGTCCTGCCGTCCTCCCTTTGTCTGCGCTCTACCAGATCAGACTACTGACATTCCTCACGACATCCCCGACCTACAGGGTATGGTCAGCGGATTCCGACAGGTCATCGCCAAGGAGGGTGCCGGCGCCCTCTTGACCGGTCTCGGACCTACCGTCGCCGGATACTCGGTCCAGGGAGCCCTCAAGTTCGGAGGATACGAGTTCTGGAAAAAGGTCGCCATCGACACCGTCGGTATCGACTCGGCCCGTGAGAACAGGACGGCCATCTACCTCGGAGCTTCTGCCATCGCCGAGTTCTTCGCCGATATCGCCCTCTGCCCTCTCGAGGCTACCAGGATTCGATTGGTCTCCCAGCCCAGCTTTGCCAGTGGGTTGTTCCCCGGTTTCGCCAGGATCGCCAGGGAGGAGGGTGTCGCCGGTTTCTACGCCGGGTGGGTCGCCGACTGGCTCGTCTCAATATTGCCATAATCTTCATGCTAACTTTTCACTTGATGATTCTAACCCTCGACTCGTAGATTCGGACCCATCCTCTTCAAGCAGGTCCCTTACACCATGGCCAAGTTCGCCGTCTTCGAGGTCGCCCAGGAGAAGATTATCGCCGCTACCGGAAAGACCAAGGACCAGCTCGTCGGTTCGCAGTTGACCATGGTCAACTTGGCCGGAGGTCTCATCGCTGGTATGGCCGCTGCCGTCGTGAGTAGCAGCGTCGTCTCTTCTGTTTTTGCTTCCGACGCATGAGCGCTGATGCGATTTTGCTTCCGCGTGTTTTAGATCTCGCAACCCGCCGACACTTTGGTGAGCCTCGATTTCGCTCAGATCGTATCAACCTGCATTTGCTGATCGTCCTGTATCCTCCATGCGTGCAGCTCTCCAAGATTAACAAGAGCAAGGGAGAGCCGGGTCAGGGAACCACTTCCCGATTGATCACCATGGCCAAGCAGCTCGGACCCGCCGGTCTCTTCACCGTACGTCCTTCTTCGTCATCGCGACCCATCGTCGCCCGCGATCTGTAACACTGACCCTTGATTTCGTTTGCGTACAACAGGGTATCGGTGCCAGGTTGTTCATGATCGGTACCTTGACCGCCGGTCAGTTCATGATCTACGACGACATCAAGCGAGCTTTGGGAGCCAAGGGAGGTGCCGAGATCCAGAAGGTCGCCAAGTAATTATTGTAGGGCTGTTTTACTCTCATTCGATAGACGGTTCTTGCGATATCATATATACATCTACAGTTCTTTTCGTCTGTTACGAATTGGGAGGGCGCAAGGTTCCATGACGGGATGCGGTCGATCGGTCCGAAGCCTGAAAAGGTAGCAGTCGAGCTAAAAGGTTATGGGGAAGCTCATCCATTCTCCATGGTAAACGCCAAGGTCGCACATCGTTACTGCGGAAACCTTCATCCGTACTGAGTCGCGTCGCAGGTATGTTTCAATGGTTACGCCTGTCCACCTTTGTCAAACGAGGCGGTCGAACGCGATGTTTCGCTGCGGACCGCATCCAGTTTTCATCGGTTCGGAAGGAGTCGAGACTGAGGCCGATACGTTTGTTAATCCTCCACGAGACGGAGCAAACGCTAGAAGCTAGAAGGGAGACTCCAATCATCATCATCCTTGACATCCTCAGTTCGTCCATTCGTTCTTCATCCATCCGTCCTTGTGCCCAGCAATTCTTTTGCCCAGCGGTTCTTTCGTCTGATGCCGTTCCATTCAATCTTTCGCCTTCTCCTTCCCTTTTCCCTTCTCAAGCTTCTGGTCCATCTCTCCTTTGGTTTGTAACTCCTGGTGGGCGATTTAGCTTGCGGTGAAGCCCGCTTGCTCATAATCCGCCGAGGTAGCAGACGGTGGGGCCGAGAATTGGAGGGCTGTCTTATCATGAGGACCATCATGAGGACGGGATGCTTGTAGCAATTGTGGAACATTCGCAAGTTGTCTGAGCTTTGTGCAGACAGCACCATGGATGAGAGCTAGATCCGGACGAGTAAACCGCTTTTCCCCTCCCCTTGGCCTTGGCCTTCTTGCGAGTGATGGGTACGTCATCTTTGTCATCGCTTTCCAAATGACTGCGCAAAGGCAAAGGCCTCTTCCTGCTAGGGGATCCAACATTGGTCTCTCCATCCTCGCCTCCACCCTCGTAATCATTCTTGCCGTCTCTCTTGCCGTCTCATGCCCGGCCAAAGGCCTCTTAACAGCGGCTAGCTTGGAAGGTAGAAAAGCTTGAAGACTGTATTGTAGAGGCCGCCGAAGAGCATGCCAGTGAGGATTGTGATCACGAGCCACCTTTGTCCTTTTGTCCAACACCTTAGCCCTCTCGGTGAACACCTTTGCCCTCTCATCCAACATTTTTGCATCATCTCTGAACTCAGATGCTTCTGCCTAAGTGAGGATCGGAGCATGTACCTGCTACCACTAGCCAGTATTCTGATTGCATGCGAGATCCCTTTCATGGTTGCTGTCATTAGATCTTGGTTGGAAAGCAGGAAGAAGAAGCGGGTAAATATGCCGCTACATCCCCAGGCATACCAAAAGATGTTTCTCTCCAACCTCTCTGCACAGAATTCCAAGGCCAAGATCCACCGCTCGAAGATCGTTCTACAAGCATGCTCTTGCGAACCAAACGGACGAGCCATCACCTGGTCCACTTTTACACCGGGTATCGATAACAAGGCTACCTGGCATCCACGACTCGATATGCTTGTTGATGATCCTTGCCGAAGCCAGATGAAGTCAGAGAACCAGAGGCGAGAGCGATACTTGCCGCGCGTCTTGAATCTCATCGGTACTTCGCTCAGACACGATCATTCGGGTCAATGCCAACACAGTCTAGCTGACTTTCTAACCTTGTAGGTCGGATTTCGTTCACAATGTATCGGGCGTTCTTGATTTGAGAGACGTTAACACGGATTGAAGATAATGACTGATTCGTATCTTCACAAACACTACTGTACACAGCGATCAGCCGCCGGACATTTTCCCATCTCAGGTTTGCGGCTGGACGACCACGTTCACAGCGCCCCCGGGGCGATCTCCGACAAACTTGAAAGCCTCGTTGACCTCCTTGAGCGGGAATACCTTATGAGAGAGGTACCCAAAGTCGATGACTCCGGCGTCGACAAGATCGACGAGCTCTTCGATGTGATCCCCGGAGAACCAGTTCGATCCGATGATGGATACCTGGTGGTCCATCGCCTCGGCGTAGGTCTGGGTCAAGTCGCCCTCGGCACCGCCTGCAGCGAGAATGGCGGATCCGCCGGTCTTGACGGTATTGATGAGTTTCATCGTACCGCCGGCATCCCCGCCCACACCTAGGCAATCGTAAAGCACGTCCGGCCCCAGCCCGCAAGTTTGCTCCTTGATCCATTCGGCGATATCGCCGTCGTCTTCGGACGATCGAGTCACGACCCGGTTGTTCTTGCCCAACCCGGCGACTCCGGCGAGACGTTCCTTGTTACGTCCGATCCCGAGGATCCTGGTGCAACCTAGGCCAAGAGCGATAGCCACAGCGGCGTAGCCCAACGTCCCGGTGACCCCATTGATCAACAAGGTCTTGCCTGGGCCCGTGTCGACTCGCTTGAGCGCGGCGAACGAGGTACCGATGTACCCGAATCGCGAGGCCAGGTTGAAATCAATCGACTGGGGGAGCACGACCAGGTTCGTGTCTGGAGCCAAGACGTACTCGGACAATCCGCCGATCGGGTACTGGGCGAGCAGCTTGCGACTGGTCGGGTTGGCGTCGTTGCTAAAGTAGCCACGGAGGCCCCAGTATTGGCAGATATCCTTTCGACCTGGAAGTAATCACAACATCAGGTAATGTCGTCCTAAAGGAAAATGCTGCCTCGACTTACCTTTCTTACAAAAGTGACAAGTCCGACACCACATGAACGGGTCGACATAGACGCGATCGCCCTCTTTGAGGTTGAGGACGTGCTCCCTGACGCTCTCGATCGTGCCGGCTACATCCAGTCCGAAGATGCAAGGTAGATCAGGGATAGGCAGTTTGGCCTTGCCAGTGACGAGATTGTAAGAGTTTGGGACGAGACAACAGGCCTCGACCTTGACCAGGACGTCGGTCGGGCCCGGAGTAGGCTTGGCGACCTTGCCGAGTTCGAGGGGTTCGTCTAGCTTGACGAGACGGGCGACGTTGATTTCGGGCATGGTAGAAATTTGTTCTCAAGAAGTGATGATCGACCGAATGGAAGTGGAAGTTATGAGAACGAGCAGTTCATTCCCCTTTACCTCCTATATACCCTCTTCGAACCCGTTTCTCATCGACGTCGGCCAGCCCAGAGACTCGTGCATGACGTTTGTGTATCAACGCCCCGCCCTTCTAGCGCGCGCGCCGCAACCTCGGCTGATGTGGGCGGAAGCAAATCTTCGCAAAGTAACCATCGCTAACAAACGAGTCGAGACGAGATTCCCTTATCTTCTCAACTCGTCCGAAACACCAAAAAAGGGGGATTTCGCCCTTTTGGACGCGAAAACGGTCGATCGATCTCGATCTCGACGTTTGACACTCGGTTGACATCTCCGCCGCGGCGGAATTAAGAGCATACAGGGAGGCAATCGATGCACGGGCCGACTTGCCAAGGACCTCGCTTGCAGGCGAATTGAATGGTGATCTAGGTTCAGGTCGATCTCGGTTACAATCGTAGGGGAGCAGAATGACGGCCTGGACGGGGAAACGGTAACGACTTGACGTCGTCACTGCTGTAATTTCTGTTCCATCTCTTCCCGTGCCGTGCACTTCTGTCCCGCCTTGGCTCCACCTTTGCAAGCAGGGCACGTCCGCCCGTGTGCGATGAACAGGAAATGGAGGTCGAATTTCAATTCGTTCGGGATGACGGCGTCTAGATACGCCTGGGTCTTTTCCCGGGTCGCATCCTTTGGTCTCCATCCCCAAAGTCCCGCCACTCGATAGACGTGGGTGTCGACGGTGAAAGATTTCCGCTTGAGACACCAGGTCATGACGACTGAAGCGGATTTAGGGCCGATTCCCTTGTACTTGATGAGCTCCTGCATGGCTTCTTGGTCGTCCATCTCGAACAAGTGATCGAGGTTCCAGTCTGGGTGTTCCTTCCGGACCTGCTCGAGGATGCCCATGATCAACCCGGATTTCCTCACATGAAGTCCACCGGGCTGTAAAGCGTCCCTCAGCTTGTCCATCCCGCCCGCGATGATATCGTCATAGGCGAACACCGACCCGTAGACTTTCCGCATGCTAGCCATGGCCCGTTTGGCGTTGCTCCATCCGGTCGCCTGAGAGAGCAGACCGACGATCATGGCGTCCAAGACGTGAGGGATCGTCTCGGGTGTATCGGGGTCCGCGAACTCTTTGTCCACCTCGGCTTGGTGCATGGGGGTGAGGACGTCATGGGCGACCTGACATTCGCGGGGTGTGGGGTGCTTGAAATTTGGGTAAGGGGATGAGGTGGCGCTGGCGGACCAGGCCTGGAGTTTTCTCGCAGCGAGCTTGTCGTCGTCTCCCTTCCTATCGACCTCCTCGCTCTTCGGAGGCTTCCCGTTGTCGCCCTGATTGTCGCCTGACGAAACCTCACTGTTCTCCTTGACCTCGCTCACTTCGGTTCGTCTTGGTTTGGTCGACTTTTGCGATTTGATCGATCGACTAGCCGAGCCGCTAGCTTGCGATTTAGCAGCGGTCTGTGTCGCCCGACCCGAGCGCCGGAGAGACGGGCCCATGCTCAGTGATGTCCTGCGAAGGATGTGGAAGAAGGAGGATAATATGGCGCGATTTTTTACTGGCAGTTGGTGCGGTGGACTGAAGAGTGAAATTGGGCGGAAATTCAGACTGGAGGAATAGAAGCGGCCCTCGCGACCGCGACCATCGGTCATCGAGCTCTTTCCCTACTGTACTCGTATATATACCTCGTAAGTGAGGCGAGATGCAACAGTCACCGAGCCTTTTGGTCCCGCAGATGACATGATTCACCGGGATGTTCAAGGGCGTGTTACCTCTGGGCGTACGGGTCATGATAGAATTTTGTCGGGCTCGAGAACACTGTAACGTGATGAAACTCAATGCTTCTGTACCGGACCCTGTTCGAGGTTCGAGGACAGGCCACAGGCGATGTTTTGAAAACAAGACGTTGGAAAGACAGGCCACGATATCGGTCACGTGATCTGTGTCTCTCTTGGGTCTTACGGCATCGATCCCCGAGGAATCCAAAGGGACCTTTCATCAATCGAGTGCACGGATCGGAATGATCAAAAGATCTATTCAGCTACTACGTTACAACAATCTACATAGCCGACCGGCTCGATAGACATTCAGCGTCCGAAAGCTAGCAAAGGCGAAGAAACCATATCCTTAAGAATCAAGCACCGCTGAAAAATGGAGGAAGCGAAGAAGCCAACCGGTCGGCCGTTGCGCATCATGATGCTCACCAAGTGAGTCTGCTACTGAATCCCAAGTCGGGGACATGGCCTACTGAGTCTGACCGAGCTGTATCCTTCACAGCTCAGAATATGGACAAGCGAACGTTCATCTTGCCGTACTGTACGAGCTGATCGTGAAAGGCGGGCTGGACATCCATTTCACTTCGTTCAAGAACCTCGAGCCTCGAGTAAAGGATGTCGAACGACGAGCAGAATGGTCTGCGGATGGTCAAGACCGGTCCCCCTTGACTTTTCACGATATTGGAGGCACATGCATGATCAAGAGATTGGAGAAGAAGACCGGTAAACCATTCGAGAGGGAGATCAGGAAACCAGGTATAAACGTCATTTCGTTAAAGTCACCCTGCTCTCGAGCTAAACAGAATACGCGGTGACACTGGCTTCACAGGCTTCTTCGGAGCGTGGAAAGCTCTAAGCATGGCACCCGACATCCTCATGCCATGGTCCGCCGACGAATTCGTCGAACAGGTCGGACGTATCGGAGGACTCATCGACGAGATCAAGCCGGACCTCGTCGTCTGTGACCCCCTTTACCTCATCGGCCGTGATGCGTGTCGGTGGAAAAACGCGAAAACGGTCATCCTTTCGCCCAATACGGTGAAAGAACATGTGTTGCATCTACAAGGCGTCAGAGCGCTCTGGATGTGGGGCGGGTAAGTCGGAGCTACCCATCTGTGCACGTCGACTGCTACATGCTGAAAGCTTCAGCTATGCAGGATCGCAACCGGATACCCTTACCCTCTACCTTGGTACCTCATCCCCCTTGCTATCATCATCTCCCTCCGAGGAGCTATCCTCATGGTTGTCGCCTTCAAGAGCAACGCTATAGCCAGTGCCCGAAAGGAGCTCGGCATGGACTGGCCTCTTGCCGTGTTCGACAGAGATGCTCCAAACGAGCTCAGGGAATACATCGTCTCGACCCCGGAACTCGATCTTGCCGCTATCATCCCGCCCAAAGTTGCATGTGTGGGGCCGATCTTGCAAGCCGTCGAAACGGTCGGAGACAAAGACAGGGACTTGGCCGATTGGCTGGCTCGCGGACCGACCGTCTTGATCGTCCTCGGTTCGATGTTTGACATCCGACCGGCGTACGCTCAGGAGCTCGTAAAAGCTCTCAGGCAGATCATGGATACCAGGAACGACGTCCAGATCCTGTGGAAGTATCAGTCCAGCGAGGTCAAGTCTGCTTCTGCGTTGGAACCTCTGCAAGACCTGGTCTCCGAAGATCGTCTTCGTGTCGTAGACTGGCTCGAAGCCGATCCATTGGCAGTGCTCCAGACGGGCCACGTCTGTTGTTTCGTTAATCACGGAGGATCCAACTCGTATCATGAAGCCATGGCGTAAGTCCCGCTTCATCGATTTTCAGTCGATCCAACGGGAAGCATTAATGGGGATTTGCACCACGTAGGACTGGCACCCCTCAGGTCCTCTTGCCTGCTTGGTTCGACTGTTATGAATTTGCCGCCAGGACGGAGTGGTAGGTGTATTTGACAGCTACTTCGATTCCCCTTCGTGACTGTTAACACGTTTTACTTGCGTATACAGGCTACAGAACGGTGCATGGGGCAATGCAAAGGGAAGGTGAGTGGCAGGTCGTAAATGATAGTCCCCGACGGCACATGCTGATTGAGAGTACCTTCGACCTGCAGCTACACCGATACCGGAATTATTGGCCAAGAATTCGCCAACACGGTGTTAGATGTGATCGGACGGACCACCGATGATGACACGGCAAAGGCGATGAAGGCGCGCTGTGTCGGTTACGCCAAGCTCGCTGTGGCTCGAGGAGGAAGACAGCGAGCTGCCGCCGAGATCTTGCAGATCGCTGAAGATCTCGCAACTGCCAACCTTGACTGAAATGATGGAATATAGCTACAGTGATACGTTTCCCTTCACGACCTAGACTAATGATACGACTGCACAATACGTACGACCGCACACGATGCTCATGAGATACAAATACCATACCATAGAGATATACGTCTCTTTCAAAGGCCAGCCTGTTCGAGCTCTTTCGCAAGCTTGTCAATCTTGTCCTCTGGCTTGACAGCTGTCTGCGCAGACGGCTCGAGCGAACTTTCCTCAAGACCCCATTTTATTCGAAGTTCGCGCTGCTGCGTCTCGACCATATTGTTCAGCTCATCCTGCCATGTCCCCCAATCTCGTATCAGTACGGTCCAGCCAATATATCGACTTTCAGTCGAGCTCACTTGCCACCCCAACCCTCTAGCCAGCTCTTTGGCACCCGCGTCCGCATCGCCTTGGAAGAACTGATCCCGAGATCCCTCTTTGAAACTGAACCCCCTGTCTCCCCAGCCTGTTGCTTCACCAACAGCTTCCCGGTTGATCAACAACCGCGGACAAGTCCGTGGGACCCTCTCGACGAGCGATGCGAATGGATGCACCTGTTCGAACATCAGGTCGGGCGATCAGTCTCGAGCCTTAGAGACGGTGTTTCAGGCGGCTCATATACGAACTTTTAGCGATGTCCCAACGACAATGAGCAGGTCACATTTCGGTAGATCCTATCGAAGCCGGACTATTGAGCTAATTCTCGTTTAGTCAGCCTGACGATCCCGACTGACCTGGACCGCCAAGTCAAAGAACCGCTCAGGTAGACCTGAGAACGACAAATTTGGTCAATCCGTGCGTCGGTCGATCCTCTTGTCTCATATGCGTACCTTCGCCAAAGAAAACGATATCCGGCTAAAGTCCCCTATATCAGCCTTCTTCTTCTACGATACCTCTAGACTTGAGCCGCTTTTGTAGCTCACCTTGACCAATCCCCCACACCGTTCGCACCTGACCGGCTTGCCTCCGCCTGTCTCTACCGCATGCCGCATCTCCTCTTCGCCCATTTCGGCGTGGCACGAGATACAATGTGAGGTCGCGAATGATCCGTGCGCTTCGACAATCTTGTCCGACGGGATGCCGGCGATTCGTTCGAGCGTGTCGACTTTTCCGGTCGGAGCGATCGTCAGATGGGCAGGCGGTGAGCAGAGGGACAGATGATGGTCTTCGGAGGGATATCGCACTCACTATTCTGCGTGAATATCCTTAACAGTTTTCCCTTCTCCTGTAACAACCTGAACTCGAATATCATACCGTTCCCAACACATCGTGTCAGCTATCGCACTGTCCTGTTTGACCCCCTTCGCCCTTGCGTAGCCCAGCAGGGATTTTAGCCAGAGAAACACGCACCTGAAAAAGTAATGCGTCGGAGTAGGCTACACGTTCCGTCAAAGGACTGGTCAGCCTTCGTCCCACAAAACCGCTTGCCGGACTACATAGGGGACTCACAAGATGTTTCCCTGGGTACAGGTCTTTACAAAGGACGTAGAATGGCTAGATAGAGCAAGACCGGGTCAAGTTTCGCTTTCCAATGAACCAATTTCACGACAAATCGAAAGGGTGGATATAAGCAGATCAAGTGGACTTACCTCTGGTTTCTCCCGCTATCATTCGGCAAAACCAAAGGGCTCAGCTATCCATAATACAAGAAACCCTTGCCAAGCTAAGCCGGTGGAATCCTGCGACTCACGAAAAATCCGATATCGAAGATGGCCTCAGGAACGGGCAAATCGAACCGTTTCAGGTTTGCGTATAGACCCGTCTCCGGACTATCGCGTCAGAGCGACCCGGGCCGAATCCGGAATTGAGATTTACGATCGGTCCGGACCATATCGTAGGGAAGAGTCCAGGTCGGTGCAGATGACGGGGTCATATGTACAATTGACCAGGTCGTCATATAAACGTGGAATGAAGCTCGAGGATCAGCGCTTGTGGTAGAGCGACACGAGCACTGACAAAGCCCAAAAGAGGAAATGAAACGGCCCGGACTTACCTCCTAAAATCAGGTATCCCCGCCGACGTAGAGATCCCAGCTCCGGCGAGTACGATGATATTTTTGACTGATCTCCTCATTCCCATTGCGGATCAGATCAACGAGTGAAGAAAATCCAATTAGGGGGAGATAGCGGGCTTACCGGAATCCTGGTTGATCAATGCGGCGATATCTTCCAACGAGGAGACGGTCGTACGTCCACTATCCGATCCGTACTCATATTCGCCCTCGGATGCACCCTCGGAGTTCGCTTCGCCTTCTGCGTCTTCGTCTTCCGCTGAATCTTCATCTTGATCTTCATCTGAATACGGCTCTGGGCTCGATTCAGGCCGAGGTTCGGGTTCGGGGTAAGATCCGGGCATGGTGAATCCTTCTTCTGTATCCTCGTTCGTTCCCCGGTCTTGGTCCTCGTTTGTAGGGTGTTGCGCTGGTCGGGCATCATGATCCTCGTCGGCCTTACTAGGTGTGGGTTCAGATGTGACCATGGTTGTGGTTGTGGTTCGAGATATCGTCGAAGTTACGCTTCCCGATCCGGCTGCAGGTTTAGCGGTAGGAGGGGGGCCGTCAATTCGATCATCATCAAGTTTCTGCTCTTGCTTATGTAGTGCTTCGATAGGTTGACTCTTCCATTGACCTCCCTCCCTTTTCATATTCTCATCTCGCGCTGCGGCCCCGGTCCTATTCCCATGTTCCCTATGCGTATCCTCTTCCCCCTCGATATCGTTACTATCAACCCGTCCCTCTTCCAATCGTCTCGTACCCCTCTCTTCCGGATGACTCGAGGGAGAATTCTGGCCCCCTCGAGGAGGTTGAGTCCCGAACGATTCTTGATAGGTCTGGTTGTAGGCTTGTTGGAGGATGGCCGCGATCTTGTCTTCCGGCTGGGATGTCATGGTGGGTATCGGGTTTATAGGTATATGTTGAGGGGCATACGTGTGATCTCTTCGGATGTGATGTTCAAGATGTCCAAAGAGATTCAGAAAGAGAGAAAGCGAGAGAGAGAGAGTTGGTTAGTTGTCCAGACCAGACCAGATCGTCCCAGCTGCTCTAATGTCGAAACGTAATCAAGGAGGACAACCTCGGGCATCGGCGAGGCAGGCTCGTTATCAATTTATGGGCAACTTTATGAGTATGACGTGTTATTCTATTAATCGTCCAGAATTCAAGCTTATGTCACTTTGTAAACAAACCCTCCTTCCCCTTTAATTGCCTCGTTCAAACTTTTGGCGCAAGAGAGGGAGATGGGAGAGTGTGAGCTCATCGATCATCATCATCATCACGATCATCACCGCAACGATCGTCGCAAGAATCGACAACAACCAGACGAACAACCAAGAAATTGGAAACGACAAGAAGAGGATCAACCGACAATCTTTCCCACGCCAGCCATGCCGACGACAAGATCAGCTTCCCGCTCACGTAGCACCATCTCGCCATCAAACTCGATCGTCTCTTCCCCCTCGCAATCGACGTCAGCATCGGTAACAGCATCAGCATCGGCGTCTACTTCCACTCCTATCCGACTATCCACCCCGACTCCGGTTCATATGCAGAACATGTTCACCCCACCCCACCCCCAGTCTCATTTGCAACAGGGTTCCAACCCGTCCACCCCGACCCCTTCCCGATCGACGAGATCCACCTCGAAACTCCGGGAATCACAAACACACCCCAACTCTCATCCTCATCCTAACTCGGCAGAAGGTTCTCCCTCGGTAAACCTGGACTTGCACGTTCATCCGATGAGCACCCGACATCATCCCGTCCCCGCGCCCGTGGATAATTTGAATGTCAACGGGACGCCTTTGAGGAGATCAGCTAGGAGTCGGAGTGCGAGCGCTACGCCCATCTCCGGCTTGGGTGTGGGTGTTGGTGTGGGGTCGCCGGCTGTAGGATCGATTGCGGCTTCAGGTTCAGGATCACAACTACAATTATCGCAACATGGCTCGATTCAAACGCCCAAGAAGAAGACCGGCATGGAAGTCGAAGTAGAGATCCTAACTCCTACTCCGACCCGCAAGTCGAAATCGACACCGACGCCTCGATCGAGGTTAAATTCCTCCACACCGACATCGACACCCAACAAATCCATCCCCGGGTCTGGACCCAAGTCGAGCAGGTCGGATTCGATATCCAGGGTGGGCAAGTCGGATTCGATGATCACGGACGACATGCTCGGCCCCGATCCCGAGGTGGGACAGGCTATCGAGGTCTCTTCTGACGACGACGACGAGAACGAGAACGAGGAAGATGATGAGGAACACGCTGGAGCTAGTCAGGAAAGCTCTCGGAGCGGGGGTAGGGGTAGAGGTAGGGAAGTCCGACAGGTTGGGAATGCCGCACATTTGACGGCAGCCGGGTTGGGGGAAGAGGTCGTTGCGGCGCATACTAGAAGCCATGACCACGATCACGACGAGCAGGAAGATCAGGATGACCAGGAAGATCAGGATGAACAGGAAGATCAGGACGAACAGGAAGATGAGCAGGAGGAAGCTACACCTCGAGCTGGATCGAGGAGTTTGCCAGTTGTTGTCGAGGAGGCCGAGGAAGAGGAAGAGGAGGAAGGGGAGGCGGATGAAGGCTCGTCTTCCGGTGAAGATGATGATGAGAAAGAGGAGAACAGCTCAAGCGATGATGATAGTGATGACGAGAGTGATGACGAGAGTGAGGAAGAAGAGGAAGAGGATGAAGATGAAGAGGAAATCGACCCGGAACTTCTCCTCGCTCGCGCTCTTCAATCCGCTCAGGCCAAGAAGTCGGCCGTACCCTCCTCTGGGTCCGAGACGACACCCGTGACGGAGGAGAAGGGTCAGTTGGATGGCGAGGAAGAGGATGTTTGGGTTTTGGATCCCGAGGCCAAGGAGCGGGAGGAGAAGAGGAAACGCGAAAGGTCAGTCTCGAATAAAAGCTTTTTGCTCAAATGCATATTGCTCGTTACGGGATATTGATGCAACTTGATGGCTTCCTGTGATCAGACCGATCCCGGGGCTCGAACTGCCCAAGACGGATATCCCCCTACATAACCTATCTCTGGGCCCGCACGATCGACTCGGCAAGAAACGGCTCGAACGTGAACGGCTGCGTCGAGCCGAGCAGGAAGGGGTTGAGGCTGAAGGTGTTGCTGCGAAGGGGAAAGACAGCAAGGGCAAGGGCAAGGGGAAGATGACGGTCGAAGAGGCTGTCAAGCGTGGAGTCGAGGTGGACGATGCCGAGTACGAGAAGCAGTTGAGCAGGAAAGAAAAGCTCGCGGTGAGTCACTGCATCTCCCCAATGGCAAGTATCGTGACATCTGCTGAACGTCGGCCATGTTTGCTTTTGTCACTCTCACCACAGCTTCCTCCTCGCAAGACCGCCTCTCAAGCCTGGTCGGCGATGCCTACGATTCCCTCGGCGCTGTTACCCCAGATGAAACGGGATTACCAGGCCATGCATCTGAGGGACTCGTTGGACCCCAAGAGATTCATGAAGGGCAAGACCAAGTCGACCGTGCCCGAACAGTTTGCCGTGAGTACCGGGTTGCTAGCGTTTCTTCTGATATCTATACTCCACTTGATAGGAAGTTGACCGAGACGCTTGTTCGAATTTATCCATCACGTCTCTCAGATCGGAACGCTCGTCGCCCCACCTCGACACTTGCAATCCACCACCCTCACCCGAGAACGACGTTACAACCCGGGCGACATCGTCCAGAGCATCGTCGCGGACCAAGAGCTCGGAGGGTACGCCAAGAGGAAATTCGACGATTTCGCTGGGAAGCGGATGGAACACGGACGAGGGAAGGGGTGGAAGAAGAGGAAGGGGGTGGATTGGAAGTAGGCAGGCTCGGACGTGCTGGGCAGCGAGAGGGGGGTTTGCAATTTGTTCGTCGATTGCGTTGTGGATGGGTGGTCCCTCGACTCTGAAGTCTGCTTCGGCTCGAGTAGAGGGAAACGTCAGACGGAACGCTGACCGTGTTTCACGCTCTTTTCCTTCTTCACTACAACGGGGTCTGAAACAGGTAATAATCGGGCATTATGAAGCCATGCTGATTACATACAGGCGACGGTGCACATCGTGCAAAACAGCTGATATACAGGTTTTCTTTACTGATTACTGACGTGAATCTGGCGACCGGCTCTCGCACTGCATGACTGACCCTTATAATTCTGAACGCGTGAGAAAGCGACGCGTATCTCCAAAGTTTCGACCTTGACTGACCCGCGCGAGAGAGGGAGACTGGGTTCTGTTTGGCTGCACTGCCAGCGAACGCTCGCCCTCCTTAAAATTTGCACCGTGCCAGCGAAAAAAAAGGACGCGCGAAGGCTGGGAGGGGGGATGACCTTTTCCTATTCGCCACGCCCCTCTCCACGTCAACAACACCGAAAGGAAGGTCCCCGTGCCAAAAGACGACCTCGACGACGACGACGACCTGTAGTACACTAGCAGACATACGACCCCATATAGACATCTTCACACCTCTCTCTCTCCCCTCCTCTTCTCTTCCCTCGCTTCTCCTCTACCTGGTGATCCGTCCAGTATCTCCAGGTCGACACCCGTTCGAATGCGATGTCCATCAGACGCAGGCCGAAGCTCGGCGCGCGCGCACCCCTCTCGATCTTGTTGGGGAACGTCCCGGACGCTGTCGACTATATCTTTGAATCGACCGACGAGGGGCATAAACAACTCTCGGCACTCGGAGTAGAGAGGGAGGAGAGTAATGTGAGTCGTACGAGCAGTCTTCTTGAGTGATCGTTTGGTTTGAGGCAACGGGGTTCGTATCGCCATCAACGGATGTCCAAGGACGAGGTCGACCCTTTGTTGTGACTTTCCTCTTTGGGAAGGTGAAAACTGGCCCCGCGCGCGTGATACGTCCGAAAGGGGAAATAATCGAGAACGGCAGGATGAATCCGACCGACGATGGGGGAATAGAACGTCGAACAACCATGGGAATCGATCTGGGCTAGGCATAGAGTTCAGGATAAGGATGAGATGAGACGAGTGTGGACGAGATGCTGGTTGATGTGGGCATGAAAGGGGACACGGCTGGCTGGTCGCGCGCGATATGCATTCGATGACGATCTACTCGGACCCGACTTTCGACCTCGACGATCTGGACTGACCGACCCCTCCTCGCTCGAAACCCGCTTATGCAAGTAACAGTTCACTGACCTTGACCTTTGCCTGCCTGCCTGCCTTTACTTAGGAGCACCACTTGCAAGCCGCTCTCTCGCATACCAATGTCATCCACAACCGGGAGAACCGAGCCCCTTCCCCTTCCTTTGCCCGAGCCGCCGCCAAACCCGCTACCCAACCCCTCCCAGCATACTTTATTCCCACACCCGATGCCAACGGTCAGGCGGACGACTACGACTCGCTCTTGCCCGCCGGTAGGGTGGATTGGTCGGACCCGAAAGAATTGATCAAGTTTTCGGAAAAGGTCGAGGAATGTTGTTATGGCTGGGGAGGACTCAACTATGAGATGGACGATGCCGATGTCGAGTGGTTGAGAACGTTCAATGGCAAGGAAGAGGGCAGCAGTGCGGATGGCGCGGCAGGTTCGGCGAGCGCTGGAAGGTCTGCACGTCAGGCGTCCAGTTCGGCAGGTTCGAATGCAAAGGGCAAGGAAAAGGACGCCCAGTCCGGCTCGGGTTCGTCTTCAGGGCCCATGAGGATCGCTGAAGACGTGTTTGAATACGTTATGGGAATGCTGGAGTTGTGGACGGAAAAGAACGTGCCCATGCTGCATACCGACCTGTCCCTCTTGCCGCCCTTGGTCAGCATCGAGCCGGTGTTCAAGACCACCCCGCCCGCTTCCTATTTCCCATCGTTCGAACGACCTCTGGGTTTGCCAGCGCCGAGCTTGTTGGTCAAGATGGCCAGTCGGATCTACCCCCACTGGAAGTCGAGGAAAGAACAGCGCAAGGGGAGGAGCATCATCCCGCAACTCAACTTTGACGAGGCCAACGAGTCGGACCCGTACTTGTGTTTCCGAAGACGAGACTTGAAGGTACAGAGAAAGACGAGGATCAAGGACACCACCCCTGTCAATCGGCTCGAACAGGTTCAGACCGAGTTGACTCAGGCGACGTTCTTGGTCAACATGGTCTTGTTGCGGGAAAAGGAGAAGCAGCGCGCCATCCGGGCCGAGCGAGAGGTCTGGGACGCGCGATGGAACCTGCTCGACGTCAAGCGGAAGAACCCGACGTTGCCACCGATGACGCAAGAGGAAGAGACGTTCTTGTTCCCTCATCGAAATTTGTCGTCAGTGAATGGGCAGGCTCCGGCCAAACGACAACGCGTGGGCGGGGATCGGGAAGGGAGGGAGAGGGAGGAAGCGGCCAGGTCGGCTATGCATCATCATCAGATGCAAGGTGGGACCGCGGGATTGTCGACCTCGATGAACCAGCACGGTCTGCAGCAAAAGGGCCTGAGGTCCCGAGCCGTCTCGCCTGCGGCGGAAAAGGTCCCTCCAGAACAGCTCGCAGGGTTGATAGCGGAAAAGGTGGAAAAGGAGATGAGGCGGAAACGCGAGATCGACCGGTTCGCCGAAGAGATCACCGGCGTGACTTATCAACCTCTACCGCAGACGGCGCCTTTGCGGTATTTTCGATGCCTGCCTGCGACGGATCGGGTCGGTTCGACTCTTTCTGCTGGGGCTCGTCGTGGGCTGGCTCACGACGGCCAGGGCGAAAGCGACGAGGTCGTCCTGAGCAACGGCAAAAAGTCGACGCCAGAACGGTCCGAGTCTGGAGCTCAGGCCGAATCGCACCTGCCGGCGATCGTCGACGTGGAGAGGGAAAAGGAGACGAACATGCTGCGAGAGGTCGCTCATCCAGCTCGACCGCCCAACCACCAGATCTGTTTCCGATTACGTCGCGGTCGTGGAGGCGTTATGCGCTTGGATCGCAAGATGCCAACCGTGCGTCACATCGCGCTTTCTCAGTCGAAACCCATCTCCAGCTCCGGACCCCCTGGGACTATCGTACCGGAAGACCCGTTCAGGAAGCTCTTTCCGAACAATCCGCTCGCGAGACGGAGCGTTTTCGAGAGCGATTCGAGCGACGACGAGGACGATGATGATGATGGTGAGAACGAACCCAGTCGTTCTGGACCTCGATGGGAAGCAGAGGAAGAGGAGAGGGCGAGGATGTTGTCCGAACGGTGGAGGTATGATTACGACGGTGGTCTGGTCGGAGTCGGAATGGGCGTGAAGGACGAAGATCAGGTCGTTATCGATGACTACGAGACGAGGTAAATTACCGAGCGGTTCTAGATGTTCAAGCCTGCACCGAGACTGACTGCCCATTAATGCTTCTTCAGGTACATCAAAGCGCGAGCTTCTCTGGTGAAACAGGAAGACCTCGACCTTATGATGCCTTCGCTCTCGGTCATCGAGAAGGTCCGGGCGCTTATGGCTATGCCGGAGGAGAAGCCCGCCCCGATCAACTTTACCCGAACCGTCCCGCCTCAACTTCCACAACCCGTCCAGGGCATGCCAAATGCTCAAGGCATGCAGGTTCCGTTCCAGCAGCAACAGGCTGATCTCCAAGCGCAGCTCTACCAGCATCAGCGCGAGGCGCAACAGCTCTTGCAGCAACACGCTCAGGCCCAGGCGCAAGCACAGGCTCAAGCGCAAGCTATGGGTCAGGCTGGACAGTTGGGTAACGGCGTTCAGCAATACACGGCCCAGCAGATCCAGGCAGCCGCCACAGCTCGACAGATCCAAGCGGCAGCTCAGACGAACCCGCAACTCGCGGCCGCCCTCGCTGGTCGACAAGCGATTCAGATGCCTCAGGTTCGACGGATTGCTTCCGGCAACGTTGGTCAAATGGGACCTCCTCAGGGTCCGGGATCGCCTGTGAATGGCGTACAGAACTTGCCTCAAGGACAGTTTCCCAACGGTCGCCAAGTGCCAGGATCGCCTGCCATCTTGAACGCCATGATTGCCGCTCGCGCTCAGCAGAATGGGCACGGCCAGATCGCTCAGCCCATCCAGCAGAACGGTCAGCCGCAGCTCGATCAACTGAGGACGCCTGTCAACGGTTCGGTCCAGATTCCCAACGGCCATCATACTCAGTCTGCCTCGCCCGTCTCTAACGCCAGCCAACTGCATCAATCGCCACGCCAGCCGATGTCTCAACCAGGTGGCGCGACGGTCCCCTTGCCCAATGGCGGAGGCAATCTCCCTCCGAATGTCTCAGCCGAGTATCAGCAACGGGCGATCCAGATGAAGCAGCAACAGTTCTTGCGCCAGCAGCAGGCACAGCAGAACAATATGGGTGCAAATGGTCAGCAGCCGAGCTCACCCGCTGTCAGCAACGGTCAGATGAACCTGCAGTTGCCTACTCATCGGATGAATCAGATGATGGCCGCACAGCGCACCAACAGTAGCAACAACGTTCAGGGCCAGATGCGCTCCGGTGGCAGCCCGATCAACACGAACAACAGTCCTCAGATGACTGCAGCACCCACGACCATGTCGGTCGGCGGACCTGGGCATTGAGCTCCAAGGTCGACGACGCCATCGATTCGGTTCCTATCACCACGGCATACGCAAGCGTACACACACCTCTCTCCCAGACCACAGTCGAGATCGCAGGAACACAAGCATATACAGATACAATCACACAGCATACCCCAAAACCAACCGGACTCGGCATATTGCAGCGGTCTTGACGACAAACGAAATGACAAAACGACAGAGCGATATTTTACCTTATACAGTCCCTCTTGCACGAGACGGGATTGCCGACCAGGCGGCGCACATTGTCGACCGGATCGACTATTACCCTTCAACACGGCTTCGACTCTACTTCGATTTCTCAACCAGTATAATGTCTCAACAATCAGATGGGGGTAAAAAAGTGAACCGCTCATACTTTGTAGCAATGCGAGCCGCAATCGGTCGTGAAACCGCGAATTCATGTTGTATCCAACTAGCACCAATGAAAGATGCCAGAAACTATGCCATCAAGAGCGGATGACCAATGTGGCTGGCTTTACACCTCTCGTTTCGCTGCGAAATATATCCTTCGCAGTGCAAATGATACACCATATCCAGGAGACAATGCGTACGATATCTCACGTCTGGATAGACGCTGTGGTGTTTCAAATACCTCGTCCCAAGGCCTAAGCCGATTTGCCAAACGTATTGCTCTCAAGCGTAGTATATACAAGACTACGAGATCTCACGCGAACTTTCCCCCTTTGCCGTCATTCCATTTCCTCAACCCTGAATCACACGCATACGCGAGATCAATCTATCGAACCTTTCAGTCGACCCATAGCTTATGTTTTTTGTGGTATGCCTCGATACCTTCGCCCGGGGGGTAGCTATCATAGACAACACTACCTTCGGGAACGGGGACGTATCCTGGCGCAGAGCTTCTCATGATGGTGAGCATGACGGCGGAATCCTCTTCCTGATCCGTTCCCTTCTTGGTCACGTCTCCGTGAGCAATCTTGGGCAGCTCGGTATCGATGCAAGCCGCGTAAGGGTAGATCCACTGCCAGAGAAGCTCATCAATGTAGGAACAATCGCTATCATCGGAATTTGCGGCTTACGTGAGCCCACTGCTCGTCAAAGACCCATAGCATGGTGGAACATTCGCCGCAGAATTTACGGGTCGAGCCGCATTGTCCAGATTGTTGACCGTTCTCGTATTTGAAAGCCTTGTATGTCCTGACATGTCCGATGTTGAGCACGACTAAAACACCTCTCTAATGGTCGTAAGTCTTACTTCATCTTCTCTTCGCCTTTCAAGATCTTGAGCGTGTCGGTGTTTCCCACTGAGTTCTCCGGTTTTTAGCGAAGAGAACAACGATCCGGGAGAGAGTCGGTACTCACTGATGTTGACGCTTCCCATGTACCCGCCAGTCTTGCGGCAGATACTGCATTGGCAGAGCTGGTAAGGCGCAGGAGTGTTCGACTCGAGCTCAAACTCGATGGCCTTGCAGTGACAGGACCTGTCAAGCGCTCAATTGAGTAAGATGCTGCTCGAATCTGGTTTCCGGCTCAGGCTCACCCTTTGAGAGTGATAGGCATCTTGGATATTGTCTTTAAGCAGGTTCGACAACCAGTCAGAATGAGAATTTGAACGATAGACGAAAGACCATAGGCTTATATACGCTGGCTAGCTGTACTCGGTAGCTGCTATGTGGTCGGCTTATGGAAGCAGGTCGCAGGGCGCCGGTTGTTGACAAAGTGGTCCATTCAGAGTGACGTCAGCCAATGTCGTCCTCGACCCGGGTCGCATTTTTAAGTGAGCGGGCATTCGTCTCTCTATACAACTGCTTTCATCGACACTTCACCTCAGGCGCTCATATACACGTTGATCAGTAGCATATCCTCAGGACTCATCCCCTAGCCTTCCTGAAGGCGCCCTCCACATCGTTAGGCCCATATTCGAGACCCACCCCACTCGCCGCCGCTTCGGCGTAACATTGACCCATCAGACTGGACCACTTGCCGACCTCGGCAACCAAAAGCTTTTCGCACGACTGTATCACAACGCCGATCAGGGCCGCCGCCTCGTTGGACATGGCCACCGCATCGTCGGTTCCAGCCAGGTCGGATTCGTCCAATGAGTAATGCTTTTCGATCCGCTTCACCAGCGCTTCGACCGCCTTGCGCATCTCTTTGCCAGAGCTGATATCCTTGACGGCCCGTTTCAAGGCGGCTTTGTTGTATGAAGGGCTGGAAGAGATCTCTTGTGCAGAAGACGCTCGGAGCTGCTTTTGAACGGCTTCGAAGAAGTCCTGTCAGGAGCAAGGTACTCCGTCAGCGAGGTGCTTAGTCCGGTAGTTGCAAAAGAGCACCTACCCATGGTCGCCCAAACGAACGCCGCAGGACTGCTCGAATGTACGCCGTCATGTTCTCGTCGTACATGCTCTTGGCTCGTTCCATGAAGCCATGCAGAGCGGGTATGTCGTGCTTTGCAGCGTCCTGCACGAAAAATTGCAGGTTTTCTGAAAAAGGCAGCCCAAGAGGATGTTTCAGCGACAGAAGTACGGCCTCATGCCGGTTACGGAAACACACCTATCATGATGATCGAGTGGTTGAGTTGACCCTTGTCCTCTCCTGCGACGTCCGACCTGTCCATCTTAGCCATATGCTGCAGAGTATCCAGCATGGTGTTGACGATCTTTTCGTAGCCCGCATTGGCCACATTTCGCGCAGCGAAATCGTCATAATCCACCAATTGAGCTTCGACTTTCGAAACAAACACCTGCGACGACGAGACATGAGCATAAGGCGCGCGGTGGAATTGCTTGGACTGGCCTACCGGGAAATGCTTGATGAAGAAGACGACACCACGTCGTTTTCGATTACTCAGCTGAGCGTTCTCGATTGCCTTGACCTGATCGGCTATGTATCGCTCGACCAGGCTCTGCAAGCGCTGCATTTGACGCTGCAAGATGTTGAGGTAGAAAATGGCGCTTCGATCCTCGGCGTCTTGAATCGCTTTTTCGCACACTGCCATCATTCCAAATACTTGGCTGTGTTTTGAGAGCAGCATAGTCAGTCTCGATATATATGTGCATATATTTAGCGAACGTAGACTTACACTCGGTCCCGTTGCAGCGCCGCATCGACCCAATCCTTGAGCTCGCCCGAAACAAACCCAAAGATCAGGTCCAGAGCGGACCGCCGAAGCTTAACCGTCGCCGGCTGCATCCCCTTGGTAGTGTACCGTACCGCTTGTCGCCGGAAATAGCTATCCAGGTCCATATAGTCGGCGTACGTGAGCATCGAGTCGGTGATGTGTAGAAAGTCCGCGATGAAAGCCTCTTCGCGACCGAGTTGAACGGCGATGGATTGCAAAGCCTTGTCAAGGGCCTGGGTTTCGATGGGCAGATCAGCTAACGAACTAGCACGAATACCATCGTCGAAACTCACCACGGAACCCTTCATTTCACTACCATCTGCTCGTTTGTCCTTCTTGTCTCCTCCTCGCAAGTTGCCCATCACGGTCCGTGAACGCTGCATAGCGCCAGACTTGGTACTGATTGCCGCAGCGGAAATGAAGGCTGCAAAAATGGCCAATGTAGAATTCAGTTTGCAGCCCGGATCATCGATCAGCGAGCGGAACATACAGCTCTCATCCTCCTTTTCCTCGGTCGGCTTCTTGAGCTTGCCAATCAACGCCATAAACAACCCCTTCATCTCCTTTGTGTGCAGCTCGGACGCCGTACTGAAGTAGTTCTGTCAGGAGTATCTTTAGGTTAGTTGCATTATTACTCGAGGGGTAGTCTGTGGAAACTCACGGTACACAGCTTCTGGTACCGCTCTTCGTCCATCTCGATCATGTAAAGGATCAATCCGCAATACATGCCCAGCTTCTGCTCCATCTGGGCATGCGGTGGGATTTCTCCCGACGAAGCCTTGCTAGCCGCAGCCCCGGCCGATGTTTCCGCCTAAATCCGTCGGAACGTAAGGCGGATCAGAACCGGTATTGAACAAGCCATCGTGTACAACGAACCTGAAACTTGATCATAATCATCAAGTACTCGACGAGACGCAGACAGAACTGCCGGTTGTACGTCTCGTATTCGTCCTTTCGCCCTGCAGCTGCTGCCATGTCGTTTGTGTCTACGGAAACAAGATGAAGACGTTCAATATCGAGGAGAACGGGGGACTGAACACTTGCGTAGCACCGCCTCACCTCGATCTCGGATAGCAAGAAGTGCCTTGTACAGCGTGGACAGGGCGGACTCGAGGTTCTGAATGCCCCGTTCTGTCTCGAGCGATTCTTGAGTCAACGACCGGAGGGCACCGGGGTCGACTGAGACGTTTTCCTGCAAGTATTTGTAGACCACTTAACACACCAGCTGGCGGGCTCGGGCAATAATCTGGACTTACGAGGAGTTGCTCCAGTTCTTTAAGCAGAGCTTGTTGATTGGCCGTTTGGACCTGCAGACCTCGGTTCTGGGATTCGATAAATGCAATATCCTCTGTCACGCCCTGTCGATAACCCGATATTGTGGTGATTAGTCTCTCTATATTAGTGATCAATCTTTTAGAAAAAAGCACGACCCACTCCGAGTTGCATCTTGTACCCGGTGATCCGGGTATCCATCTCGTCCATCTCGGCGATAGCATCGTTGATCCCCTTCAGAACGCTCTGAATCCGATCGTCCGACTCGAGGAACGCATGGATGTTGGCCTGAACGAGCGAAGGACTCTTTCAGCTCAGACGCCTGACCTAAACTAGCAAGTCGACAACCTTTCCTTGCTACTCACAGCCTCCAAAGCGTTCAACTCGTCCAACAACCTCGCCTCGATCGCCTCTGCTCCCGCCCGGTAAGACCCGCTCGACTCGACCGCATGGTTCCCCCAATCGAACCCTTCCAAGATCTCTTCGACGTTGGCCATCGTGGCATCTTCCATCTCTTCCCCATCGGCATTGTCCTGCTCCAACAAGGCTTCGGCTTGAGCGAAAGAACCTGCACCGGCGCGCAGGAGCATGTCACGGGAATAAGGGGTGGTCGTCGGGGGAGCTACAAAAGAGGCACGCCGGGCTCGAGGTTGAGGTTCCCGGTCGGCTTCCTCGTCGGTCTCGGGAGGAGGTGGTGGCGGTGGTAATTGAACATGTCTGACCTCCTTGACGACAGGTGTCTTCTCCTGCTCTCGACTTGTCTCGACCTCTCGTTTTGCTTGCTTCCGTTCCACGGCGACCGCCGATCTAGGAGCTGCGGTGCTACCCGACGCGTTGGTGATGATAGGGGGCAACATCGCCCGCTTCTTCTCCTCTGACCCAACTGGAGCGTCGATGTTACGTCTAGGGAGAGCAGGCGGGGTCAAGGCTTGGTCGAACCCACCGCTGGTAGCTGGCACCGGGGTGAGCATAGCGTCTGAAGCGTAACCATCTTCTACGGGGACTTCAGATGACTGCCCCGCCTGAGCTGGTGGTGGTGGAGGTTGTGATTGCTGTACGGGTGGGATCTGCAATGTCGCTGGAGGTGGGATAGCTTGTTCCCTGAACCCATACGTAGCCTGGGTCGGCGTCCTAGCCTCAGAGACATTCCGAGAAGCCAACCCGGATGGGCGCTCCGCGAGCGGGGACGAAGCGTTGGGATACGAACCCTGATTCGACCCGGACGGAGGGAAGTGAGGCATAACCCGTGTCGGTGAGATTGACATCGACAACCCTTGATGCTCGTTGTACGGCACGTGGACGTTCCTCGGTTGTGATCGATTATGGGCGTCGTCATAATCGTAATCCCGCCTCGCGCTGCCTTGTAGAGGCGAAGGCTCATACGGCTCGCTCATCTGCCTGCCCATCCCCGGTACGGGTGTGTACTGCTGCACCGGTTGTCCGCCAGGACCATAGATGGGGCTAGCACTGGCGGCATAAGGTCCTTCACGATGTCCGATGTCCATCGGTCGGTTTTGGCTCGAAAAAGAACCTTCGGCACGTCTGCTATCCACACTCGGTCTCTGGCGGGTACTGGGGGCGGTGTAATGGGATTCTTGGCCGGTCATCTGGGATGAAGCGACGGAGGAGTGTGAACCTTGCCTGGAGCGTAGAGCTGGCGGAGCTGCGAGCGAAGATTGAGATGCGGACGGTGCTCCTCCATTGTAGAGCATCGGCTGAGCATGGACCGGGGGAGGCGAAACGGACTCGGTAGGTACCTCGTCGATCTGAAAGTTGAGGTTCAGAAGCGAGGGTAGTCGTCCTTGGGTGTATTTCCGGTAGATCTTGCAGACGGTCGCTAGAAACACTTGTTGATCACGGGGCCGTTCGGATTGCCATATATAGGTCCGGGACGTCATAGTCAACGCAAACGTTTGAGGCTACCGAGCGTGAAACAACGTGAGCCGGGGAAAGCCTTACAAGCTCTCCTTGCACTCTCTATACTTACGGTGACCACCTCGATCTGCCGCATATCCTCTAGATTCCATGTCTTTCCCTTGGAAAACGACCCATTATTGTTCCTCTTGGCCTTGTGAAGGAAGACCTTTCCATACTTGCTGACCGACAGCATCAAGTACCTCGCCTTCTTATTCCCCTCGTCTGGCTGCCCCGAACCCACCGGCACGTCCTCCCATATCTTGAGGTGGGCGATGTACGTCTCGTCAAGTTGTCCATCGGGTCCCCGGTGGGAGAAGAGAGACTGCTTGATTTGCTGTTGTGTCTCCATTTTTGGAACTCTACTTGAACCCGGAGAGTGAATCCTAGCTGTCCCCGTGTTCAAGCAGACATTGCAGGTCGGCGATCGCAATAGGATGATCATGATGCACCATATGATGAGTGGTTGCGGTTTCGGAGGCAGATATAGTTCCGAAGATCAGCGGACATCCGGCTGAAAGCGTCGTCACAATAAACGACATGATGTCCGTGTGTAGTCACCCGCGGGGAGCTTGCTCATCGTCAGCGATCAAGCAGCAAGCAGTAAGCAGCAGCCATCACCGAGCTTAGAATGTCGACCTCGATAACGTTGCGTGTAACATCTAGGACGACAAACCTTTTGATAGTCAATCATTCCAAATCAATCTACAGCGAACTTCAACATGGTAAGCTGGGCAGCTGTTTCTCTATAACACTCAAGCGGACGATCAGTAGCTAAGCATAGCTCCCTTTCTTTACCAGTCATACCGTATCGTACCCCCCTCGCTAGCAGCATCAGACTCTGCCCACGTCGTCTCGCACAAGGTGAGTCAGCCCCGTTATTCCTTGGAGAGTCTCAATCTGTACAGTTAGCTGACGTTAATGTTACGCCTATGAATCTGCAGGATGTGGCCAACCCGCAGACCGGGACGAGAGATACCTTGAGGCACGGTTTGAAGTCAGGGAACGGGGATGCTGGGACCGTACATGCCTTGCAGTCGAGGTTGGAGCAGGTCAGTCTTCTCTCTCTGTTTCTATCTGACTGCGTCCTTTGTGGAGGATGCCTGACACGACACTTTGTCATCTGCTTCGTTCCGATTCATGATCTTCCTTTGGCCTTGCTCCTCTGCGGAATATATCTCACATCATATCGCCTCATCGATCTTCACTACCGCTCGTCATCAATAGTGGCAAGCCACCCAAACTCAGATGAAGATGACTCTGCAGCGTAACGTCTACGGGATCGCCCTCCCTCTCCGAACTATGATGGAGAAGAACCTGGTCGCCGAGGTGAGTCCCCTCGCACTTTTTCTCCTTTTCCCTCCTACCTTTGATCTCCGAGCTGACCAACGAAATCATCTCTATCTGCTTTTGCTGCGACTGTTCCCCTTGCTGCGTTGTTCCGGGACGACAGACGCAGGACAACCACTTCCCCGCCCTGACAGCTTCCGAACTCCCCCTCGGAGGTAGCATGGACATCCACGCAGAGATCTTGGCTGGGACGGACGAGAGCATCGACGTCGGCGATTTCATGTCGGGCGGTAAGTCTCACTTTCGGGTCTTGCTCTTCTATCTGGACTTCGAGTCGATCGCTTTCCGCGTTGTGATGATATTCTTGCACGGTGGCTGATGATTTTTCGATCTGACGTGTGTGATACTTCTAGGTGCGCTGCCGAAGGAGACGGTCGATATCCACAGCGCCATGGAGAAGCGAAAGGGGATGACCAAGTAGACCCAATCCGACCCGGACCGGTCTGTCCGATCACCATCTACCCGGCGCGGAGGCAGGGATCCGAATCGGACGGGAGGCGTTGTATCTATGATCGATGTGCACGGCACTTGTTTTGTGCTCCCTTCCCCTTCCTTTATGATGAACCATTTACGAATGTCCTTGCGACTCGTTCGGCCGGAACACGAAGAGCGAAAAGCCAGTCAGGGGAGAAAGCAAGAGAGATACTTGCCTCGACGCAAGGAGTTCCTGCATTCCTAAACTCCTCAGCCAATCCATGTCTGTTCGGCCTTGTTCGCAGCATAGGACAACCCATACGACAGATGGTCGATACTCAATGCGACGGATCTTTGCTGTCGAGAGCAAAATAGCCGAAAGAGGGGAGCCGTGGGCTCGAGTGAAGACGGATGATGATTTCCGCAAGACTAGAACAGCCATGCGCAATGATCTGGAAGGACGGATATCCCCTTGACATTCATAGGCAAAGTCTGTCTTGCGCTGGCCGTAAGCACGTTCTTGAGCACTTGTTCTCGGACGCTGTCGCTGATGAGAACTTTAGAGCTGCAGTTCTCGATGCATGGTGTCAGCGTTTCGGCTTCACCGATCTCGAGTTGCCCGCCGAGTCCGCTGACGGCCCGCAACTGTCAGCTAGAGCCAAACGAGAAATTCAGCTAGAGACTCTCAGCCAGTACATTGGCATCCGTGTTTAACACACTGGCCTCTCGTGCCAAGCAGAGATTGCAGAAGAAATGAAGACCAGGCGCGCGCCGTTCTCTCGACTGTTGCGCCTGTTTGATGAATGACAGTTTGGTGTGCTAAAGGCTTTTGGTGGGCCCCGTTCTACTTGTGGGAGTCATGACTTAGTCCACCTTTTCTACCAAGACCTTCACGGTGTATCCCTTTCCAAATTCGGGTTATTAATGCTCAGACATTACAACAACCTCTCCTATAATGTCCAAGTCAAGATCAACCACCTTGTCAGCTCCTACTTCCAGTGTATCTATCTTATCAGGAACATTGTTTCTTTATTCAAAGAAAAGAGCAATGACACTTCTATGGCTATACTGCCTGATTACTACAGACCCCTCACAAGAGACCATGCGCATGGGAAAATATTTGACAGGGACTCTCCGCAAGTGCTCATCTAGCTAGTTGTCTAGCTAGTCACGTAATCGAGTGAGTCGATGTTCGGATCAATCCACCGGTCCATCCATTTATTGGGTTTACGAACGGTGAACAACCATCGATCCGTCTTTGCTCCTCTCTCGTTACATTGTGAAGCGGACTCGGGATAGCGCGCTGGCAACTTGAAATCACGATCTTACCGCACCATCCTGCGCTAACATTTTGCGGTTTCAGGTTGAATGACGAGCCAGTCTCCAATGTCGGGATGTCATAAACGATCAAGATATTTTCCCTGCCTATCCGCATGGTCGCGATTCGTGACCTCTGCCTGCTCTTCCCCTCACAACTCGATCAGGTACGCAACACGAATCCTCACGAGCCACTCGATCATACACATTCAATTCTTATCGAATCATCAGATCGCGCATTAAAAAACAACTATAGACCAAATCATGATTCACGTCCTCCTAAGCCTTGCCCTCCCTCTTCTGCTTCCATACGTTCCCGGCCAGACCTTCGACGGCGCTCAGACTGATCAGACCCGAGACGATCCCTGCTACGATCTTTCGGTCCCACACCCTTCGGTCCCAGTTCTGGTATCCGAGGTAGCCGACTGCACGAGCATAACACGAGAGGCAATAGGGTGAGTATGCGTAGACGACAAGTGATGATGCCGCGGGAGAACACCCCGGACTCACCAGCTCCGAGGACGGCAACGTTGACGGCACCCAACAATCCACCGGCAACACCAGGCCTCAAGATGACCTCTCTCGCATTGACGTAAAACTTGCTTCCCTCCTGCTTGGCTCGGGCGATCTCCTCCTTGCCCTCTGGCGTCTGGGCAAACTGTTCAGCGACAACACCCTCGATTCCGAAGAGGGCGAGGACGGAAGCGGCGGTGGCGCCGACATAGTTTCGGTCCCAAGGGACGTTTCGTCGGGTGTAGGCGTAGTAACCGATCGTTCCAAGGAGACCGACGTTGGCTACTCCCATCAGACCGCCGAGGGCGCCCGGTCGGAGGACGAGCTCCTTGGCACGTTCAATGTACTGAGCGGCGACGTTCTCGGCGTGCTGGATCTCGGCCTGAAAGTGTAACGAAAACAGAACGGTGATTATCATCAGTAAAGGAGGAAACGCGCAATTCGTCGACCGACCCGCTCTCACCTTGGCCTCTCGCTTCAACTGCTTGGCCTTCTTCTCGACGTCGTTGGCGACCTCCTTGGTCTTCTCGGCAGCGTCATCCACGAGCTCCTTGCCCTTGACCTCGGCGTCCCTCGCCAACTGCTTGCTGGCCCCCTTGACCTCCTTGGCGGTCTCCTCGACCTTGTCGGCGGCACGTTCGGCCTTCTTCTCGACGTCCCTGGCGGCAGCCTTACCCTTGGCTTCGGCGTCCTTGGCTACCTGTTTACCCTTCTCTTCGGCATCCTTGGCGGTCTGCTTGCCCTTTTCGACAGACTCGTCGACCTTCTTGCCGACCTCTTGGGCAGAGGGGACCTTGATCTCGGAACCCTTGGGGGCGTCGGTAGCCTTGGGAGCAGAGGAAGAGGTGGAGGGGTTGGTGTTGGCAGGGTCGTTGGGAGCGGGGCTCGAGTTGAGGTCGAGAGGTTGGAGGGTCTCGGCCTTGACGGGCTCGGCCGGGGCGGGGTGCTCGAAGGTCTCTCGGTCGATCACCTGGACCTGCGGAGCGGAAATATCGTGGTTTCACTCGTCAGCACGACCAGCGCAGCTGAAGTCACCAGCACAGAAACACATACTCCGTGATCGCCAATTCCGTGCTGAGCAGGGGTCTCGCCCTCAAAGTGCTGACCCTCAAGCAGAGCCTGGTCAGGGTGAGGTTGCTCCGACTCGGGAGGAGCTACATAGATCGAAAAGAGAGCGAATCGACGTCAGTTCAGGATGCTCAGTCTACCCTTGATAACCGTAAACCGATATGGCGGGGTATCGCGTGACTTACCGTTCTTCTTTGCGACGTCGGCCCAGGACATTGTAGTGTGTTGTTGATTTGCGGGTTGAGCGAAATTAGGAGACAGAGAGAGGGAGAGAGATGTGTAATAGAACGTCAAGGTGCAAGGTAGTGCAGGATGCAGGATGTCGTCTGATCTCTCTGATGAAACCCAAGGGCATATAGGCGACCAATTACCAACCATGACGAGCAATGACGGCGGACGAACGAACGGGGGCGGAAGCGAAAACAAAGAGAGAGAACGACGGAGAAATGACGTAGATCACACATCGTCACGCGCGTCATCACGGCCCGATTCACTTTCTCACGCTAAGGCAAACTAAAACTCGTATGCATCACGTGACAGTAGACTCTCCCTCAACCTCGACATCGTCGCTCGTTCGCTCGGCTCTAACCGGATCAACGAGTTCAACACGTCCGACCAGTCCACCCCAGCACATCCGTCGTCATCGTCCTTCTGGATGGTATTACCGCAATCATCATCCTGCGGGAGGAAGGGCAGGACGTCGACCAAAGGGACCTTGCGTCGGGGTTCGAACGATACTTTGCCCGCGTCCGGCAACGAACCGAAAGACTGGCGAGTGCGACAGACCGAACATTAGCTCGACCTCTCTCCTCCAATTCTTGGCCGTAGACTGACCTTCCACTCCCCACCCCCTTCCGACCCCGGAGTGCCCATCACCCGGAATATACTCCAGGCCAGCCCGATCTCACCCGACTCGCCGTCAAAGAGCTTCTGGCGTTTCCACCTGCCACGGGTGTCGTCGCTCGGAGCCACGTGATTGGTCGGAGGTCGAGAGGATGTTTTCTGCTTGATGTTCGCGCTCCGTCCGGACCGGTGAAAGAGGGGCACGATCGGGTCGTCCAACGCGTCACTCTCGGTGTCCTCGCTTGCGTCCTCGCTATCTTCCTCTTCCTCTCTCGGTCGTTGCAGCTTGTACCCCTCTCTCCCTCTTCCATCCGACCGTTCCCTATCTGCCTCATCCGCCGCACACCCCACCTGATCAGACCCATCGCGGATCCCATTCCCATTTCCTTCAGGCAACCAGACGAACCCAGTGAAGAACCCCGCTAGGGTACACCCCAACGCCCAGGAGTCGAGCGCGTACGGATCGTACTGCGTATGGGAGAAGAGGAGTTCGGGCGGTCGGTAGGCGCTGTAAGTTCCCAATTCAATCGGGGGGCGAAGAACAGGGAAGTGGTATAGACAGTAGGTGAGACTTTCGTTAGGTCCCGTTTGCGATAGAGGAACGAGGAAGGGTGTGTGTAAGGGGGCTAGACTTACCCGCTTCCGACCTGTAAGATGAATCCCTGTCCATCTCCTTTTCCTCTTGGACCTCCGCCTAGATCTCCACCTAGATCGTCACCTTCACCTCTATCGGAACCGTCCTGTTCTGTATCGTCAGCCCTATCAAGCTCCACTCCTCCTCGTTGAGTCACGCGAGGACCCGCAGCGGAACGGGCTCGGATGCTCGACTCCCCCAAGCTCGGTTGTAAGGAGATCCCAAAATCGATCAGCTTGACCGTTATCCTCGGCAGTCGAATCTTGGTTGTAAGTCTCGTTTCCGAGTCCGATGGGTCGGAGTTTCCGCGGTCGGTAGGATCGGGGGTGTCTTGTGGTTCCTGTACATCGAAGTTGCCGTCGTCTACATCTAGCAAGACATTCGAGGGTTTGATATCCCGATGAGCGATCCCTCTCGCATGTAAGTAAGCCAACGCAGCGACGAGCTGGGCGGTTATGATGGTTGTTATGTGCTCGAACGTTCGACGGCGGATCGAGGGAGGCCGATATCGTTGTGAAGATGAGTCCGGCAGAGATGATGGTATCGGCGTCGGTGGAATGTCCAGTCCAAATTCCCGGCTGAGGATGGAGGGCGGTGGTAATCTCGCTGGCAACCCACCGTGACCTTGTTCCTGCTGTCTTTCTTGCAACAAGCCGTCTAGAAAATTCACCTCCCCGCCCGTCTGCTCCGCGCTTGACCCGAAGTGTGTATCCCCAGGCTCGTCTCCGTCCCTCGGTTCGGCAATATCTTCATATCCAGGATAATCCCCCGGCGCAAACCGAGGATCATCCAATAGGTCCTGTAGTGTCCATTTGTAGTACGGGAAGACGAGCTCCCATGCCTTTCTCTGCGGGTGCGGGATTAGGGTGTGATGCAGCAGGCGGATGATCTGAGGGGTTGCTACGGTAAATTCGCACCGACATATCAGTCCACGATACTGACACTGGGTTATAGCAGAAGGTGGTATATGATGACGGTATGATAAGAAGACTCACGTTTGGGTGATTCAGGTTACACAGGAGGTGGATCTCTTGATGTACGTCGTGAGGAGACAAGACGGCCATCTCTACCGGTACAGACTTGATGCAGTATCCTCTGCCTCTTTGTTCAAGAGTTCCAACATCCTGATCGTGACAATCCTCGAGTCGACGACGGATCTCAGGGTCGAGCTCTGACCAGGAGAGGTGGTAGACGGTCGAGTGCGTGCCTGAGCGTGGTTTGGGTCGATATCAGTGCGTATTCATCCGGGATCGAGGAAGAAGACTCACCTTGTGCTATTCTTCTCATGCCTACCTACGTTGTCTTGATAGAACGATGAGCTGGCTTTTATGAAGAGCTGGAGCAGTGACTATTACCACTCAAGGCAGCAAGATGGAGATGTCGATATGGCGATCATCGCCGAAAGATGCGCGTCGCCCCCCTTCCGTCGACCTCAATCCCCGAGCTCGGTAAAGCAATCCTTCGACATCGCTACCCTCGCTACCCTCATCATTAACGACTCCCGACGACGTAGAGGTGGGAAAATGAAGCCGGATCAATTCTAGGCCCGAAGCTTGCTTTGAACACTGGGTGAAGACGTTTCGCTGAGGATACCAGCCTCGCCCATATTCCAGGAGAATCATCAGAGTTGGTGCCGGCTCACCACGCAACGATCCGAGAGGCCGCGTCATCTGGCGAGGTGTCGACCTCATATAATACATCTTCGAAGCCCTCAGTCAAAAAAGACGGCAATATCTGCATGTTAATCCACTGAAACCAACTGTACATTCAGCCTAACGATGAAAGTAATCGTCACCGGTACGACTGGCTATATCGGCCAACAAGTCCTCGCTCGCTGCGTCGTGGACCCTAGGATCACCTCGATCATCGCTCTCAGTCGTCGACCCTTGCCGCAATACGACCACGAACCCAGAGTGACCGTTCAGATCGTCCCCGATTTTGCCCACTTCGACGATGATATGATCCAGACCTGGAAGTCTGCCGGAGCGTGTCTCTGGTGAGCTTGCCAAGCTCGCAAACTGGTCACTTCGCACATTGCTTAACGCTCAAGGTCACGGCAGGTGCCTAGGACTAGCCATGCCTCCAACCCCCGAAATCGCCCACCTGCTCGCCTTTACCTACCCACAAGCGTTCTTGGACACCTTTGCACGCATATCTACTGAGAAGGATCTCCTCGGGTTCAAGTTTGTCTCTCTTAGCGGAGCGCTTGTGGAGAAGGATCAGTCCCGGTCGCTCTGGTTCTTGGATCAAGAGCGGAAAGTCCGGGTGAGCCCATCCGATCGCAGCGACAAAGTAACGAAACGTTATCCTCGACTGAGCCGACTGGTGATGGTAACGCTTCGTAGGGTCAGAACGAGCTCCGGGTTCTCACCGATACCTTTTCCCACCCACTCATCCCGTCCGTGGTCGTTCGGCCGGGTGTGGTCCTTACTTCGTCTTTGACTTCCAACATCATCGGCCTTGTCGGCCCTGCTATACAGAACGCTGTACTAGCGGCTGCTATCGTCGATATCGGGATCGCCGGCATAGAGAGAGATGAAACGGTCGAGTGGCAAGGACGATGTGTGGAGAATGTCGAGCTTGTGCGGCGAGGCAAGGCTGTTTTGAGACGGTGATAGGTATCCAGGCTGCTTGAGTTCGCAACTCGGGATTCCATATGACGAGCTTTCATGTGCCCGTTTGTACGACCTCATGTTTGAACACCTCGGAACGCCGATAATATAAGCATTATGCGGACTTTCCGGCTGTCTGCCACCGCTTTACGATCTTTCTGCTGTGTCACATTCTGTATCCACCTTACGCCGACCAATGATAGCGAAAAGCTCAGCATGTGCGGATAGGTATTCTGTCAAAAGCAGAGAATACTAGCTGCTAGCTGCTAGCTGAGGCCGAGAATCCATCGAAGTTTGGTCGTTTTCGCGTTCAAACGCGTCGCGTCAATCAGCTAAAGTGTCAAAGTTCGTGTTCCGGGGTTATCAAATCGTCAAGATCGTCAACCTTCCGACTGACTCTATCGACCTTCTCGGCTTTCTCGTCTTCCGTCCACAGCTTCTCACCTCGGTCCTATCCAGTAGCTACAATGCCTCGACCAGCTGCCCCGCCCGCCGCTGTCGATCCACGGAAAGCTGCTCAAGCCCAGCAAGACCTAGCCATGGCCGGGTTGGGCGATTTCGACCTCCCGCGGACGACGGTGACGAGGTTGGCGAGATCGCAGGTGAGTGGACAGATCGTCATTTATGTTTATCGAAGAGATAAGGCAGCTCACGCAAGTATGATCATGGACGTTTGGTTCGTCAATTCGGCTCTGCGTGGACGACAGGTCGGAGATTCGGCAAAGTTGTCACAGGATGTCATCTCGGCACTCATTAAATCGTCGACCGTGTTCATCAATTATCTCGGTCAGTCGCTATTCTCTACATATAACCAGAAGGGAGAAAGGTGCTGATCGATTCTTCTTCATCTCGTTTTTCTCTCTCTCTTCTGCAGCTGCTGCGTAAGTACCTACCCGTCTCGACTATCTGTGACCCAGAAACCAATACTCATCTCCCTCGCCTGTCTTACCTCGAACCGCTACACAGCGCTCACGACCACGCAGACTCGTCCGGCCGAAAGACAGTAGCCTATCAGGACGTCTTCCAGGCCCTCTCTATGATCCAGTATGGCGGGAGCGAGGAAGGGGTGGCTTTGATGGAGGAAGTGTTGACTGATGAGATCAACGGTCAGTAGATTTTCCTGACTCGACATCTTAGATATCTGCTTGAGTATATGATAGGATGCTGAAGCGATTGGATTGCCTGTGTTGACTTTATCTCGATTCACTCTGCATCCAAAACCTTGACATCGACCTCGAAATGAATGAAACATGCGCGTAACAATATCACTTCCCCTGCAAACTACTCAGCCTGGGATGCGATCCAGAAACAAGCCAAGAACAAACCGCCCGGAGAGAGCAGCCGAGGTAGGAACAACTTCAAATCAAAGTCCGCTTCAGGTTCAGGTCTAGGGGACGCAAGCAACGGGAATGGGAATGGGGATGGCGATGAGAACGGCGATGGAGATCAAGACGAGGAGGAAGAGGAGGAGGAGGAACAACAGGAGGAGCAGGAAGAGGAAGAGGGGATGGATCTTGACAAGGAGAGGGACGGTGCTGCCAGATCAAGACCGGTAGAAGCCGATCAAGGGAATGCCGATGCAGGAATCGATCACGCAGAGGCGGCAGAAGCGGTGAATGTGGCATCGAGTAGAGGGGCGACGGAAGAGGGTGATGATGTGACCATGGCCTCGGAGCCGGAGGACTGAGCAACCCGTGTGGGACGCTGCGACGAACTTGTAGCTATATAACGATGGTCATGACGACGTTACGTTTCGAATCAGTGTCAAACCGGAACGCCGACTTTTAACCTTTTCACGTGACTTATGGATCGCGAGAGTTGCTTCAGAAAGTGACGAAGATCGATTCCAGGCTAGACTTCGACAACCTATGCATTCCCATAACCAAGTAGCTCGAACAACGATAAACAACCAACTTGGACCATCTTCTGTGGAATCTGCGGCACTCTTAGTACTCTGCAAATCATGCCACCAGGTGTTGGGCTCCCATACGACCCGTCCGACCTATCCCAGCATATTCACGCCCAACTCGAGGGACTCGGCGAGCTCGCGATCTATTTGACCCGGTCGGTCTCGACTAGAGGTGCAGCTTCAGCAGGCCCGAGCCAGGTCAAAGCGGCTTCTACAGAAAACACAGAGGCGGGAAGGACGGAGAAGAAAGAACAGATCGCCGAGATGGAAGTGGCGCTCAGAAGGGTTCATTTGGGGGACGAATGGTGGGTGGACATGACCGAACAAGAGATGTTGGGGTATCTCGAACGCAAGGAGAAGGGTGAGTGTCAGCTTTCGGCTACAAACAGTCTAAAGTCGAGTAGTCTTCTCAATGAGCTGATCCTTGGGGTACGACTGCCGTCTTACAGCTCTCAAAGATCTGCAAGAACGGATACGGAATGCTTCTTATCCCAGAGTAGAATTGCAGAAGGTCGACATGGACGTTCAACCGAAGCTGGGACTAGCAGAAGCAGCCAGTATCCAGACGAATGGGCTTGAATCCGAGGACGAACCTGTCCCTACGACAATATCCATGTCATCAACGGATCTAATCACGGACAAACATTCAGAAAGCTCTTCTGACGAGGACGCTGACGACTCTGACGATGAGGATGACCAACTTCCCAGGCCTACGAAGCTCATTCCCGCTGCAGATCAACCTCAACCCCGGTCTCAGGGAGAAGGAGACAAAGAAGAGCCTGCTCGCGGGGTACGGGACATCTCCAAAGCCATAGAAACCCTGCCCGAAACCCTTCGAGGTCCCTTGAAAGAGATCTTGGGGGCGAAAGATGGGAACGAGGTGATCAATGAGGAAGGATTACCGGTCATCGATATCAGGGAGGAGGTGAAAGCGGGTCAAGGTCAGGGCGGAAAGGTGGATGGCGGTGCGGATATAAGCGAGGGTGATACGTCAGGGAAAGCGGAGGAAGCGGGAGGTGCGAAGAAGGAGGAAGATGACTATTGGTCAGCGGCTGCTGTGGCCAGGAGGAAGAAGTTGCGGGAACGCTTGTTTGACTCGGACGACCCTGATGAGGATGAGGACGAGGATGAAAATCGATCACGCTCTAAGAAATCGCCGAAAGCTGCAGCGACACAGCCGGTTGTTGAGGACGAGCCTATGACAGCACCAGCCAAGCCGGGCTTCATGCTCGCCGCGAGGGAACTGAAGCATTCGACACCAGAAGATCGGGCTACCATCGACCTGGTCGAGAAGATTCCTGATATCAAGGAACGGGCTTCGAGGCTGGACAAGGGGAAAGGCAAAGCGGTGTCGGATTCGTCCCCGTCGCCAGGTGATGAGGAGAATGAGTCCGCTCCCGTTCCTCAACGGAGAAAGAGCGTGACGTTTGCAGCTCAGGCCAAAGTACGGACCTACGAGAAAGGGGAAGCTATTCCGATCATGAACAAACCCGTCGACGAGGACGGATTGACGAAAGAGCCCGCCCATATCGCACCGAAAACTACGACGACAGCGAAACCCGGTAACGACAAGCTGTTTAGTGGGTTCAAGAAGGGGTTCCTCAATGGAAGCCAAAAGACGTCGTCAGCCTTGCCTACCAGGGTGGTCGCATCGCCTAAGGTCTCGTTGAGCAAGAGCAGTACTAAGATCGAGATGGTTGAGGACGTCTCCGCTCCCACCGTTTCGATAAAGACGGCTCAAGTGGCTTCACAGCGCAAGATGGCTAGCGCCCCTTCTGCTTCCTCGTCTGCGCCTTTTCGTTCGGAGATCGTGATGGACCCTGATTTCGCGTTGCCTGCGGATCTCCAGGCCCAGCTGGATCAGATGACCGGAGAGCCACCTTTACCCCTGCCGGATACTTTGCAACCCCTCGCTCCGTCTCACGATGACGCTAGTGGTACGCAGAGTGGCAAGGGAAAGAGTCTGTTTGCGATGAGGAACAAGGCGTTGGCGAACGGGTTGATACCAGGACGAAATGCTTCCAACACGAGCGCACCGCCACCAGAGGGAGATTCGACGAACGGAAACGGGACTGTTGGAACGGGTGCGAGCCGGTTCGATCGAGCGGGCGATCCGATCAAGTTCAAGGTGGTCGAGAAGCCGCCTCGGCCGGTAGTTGAGAAACGCGCTGTGCCCGAAATCGCCGAGATGAAGCCGTTGAAAGTCGCACCGAAGCGAAAAGAGGCGATTGGAGGGATCGTTGAGCGAAGCGCTCCGTCTAAACCGCGTAATGTCGATGCGGGAGAAGCGATCCCTTTGCCTAGCCCTGAGTCCATCACTGGTCAAAAGGTACAGGCGACTCAGCTGCAGGAGCAACTCGATCAGGCTAATGGCAATGGGCGCGAGGACGCGCCAGAAGCACCGGCCGACGACGATAGTGCCGAAGAGGATGACGACGTCGATTCGAACAAATCGTACGAATACTCGGATACCGAGTCGGTCAACTTCGACATGGACCGAGGATTGCTGGCAAGGGAAGCCGCGATGGCGTACCATCAGAAGCGTAGTGCTCTCGGACGAAAGGCCCTTGGAGGATGGACCGGCGTGGTGGACGAGGACGGCAAGACCGGGTTTTACAGCGACGAGGTGGACGAGGCGCAGATCAAGAGCGAAGCGGTCTCGTTTGGCGAGAAGCTCTTGCCACGTGCGAATCTGCGCAGTTTCGACGTAAGCAAAGAGGACGAGGATGATGATGATATTCCGTCTGTCAGCCTGCCCACCATCATACCAGGCGTGGATAACCTGCCATCGATGATCAGGGTCGGCAAGCTTGAAAATGGCAACCTGATCCTCCAGGCCGAGGATGAATCTGAAGACGAATTCGCTGACGCTCCCGAAGGTCTCAAGCGAGAGACGGAGGAGCAAAAGGCATGGCGAGCTGATTTCCGCGACAAGATGGCTGCCAAGAACAAGAAGAAGGAGATTGTCGCTCGGCTTGGCAAGGGGGAGGTGGAAGAGATGATTAGGGAAGACGAAGCGAGGGAAACTCAGGCCAAGGCTATGAGGGTGGTCAAGAACCATGATAACGTTGCGCCGAAAGTCAGGGAGGAAGTCGCGCCGCAGCAGAACCCCGTTGAAGAGGTGGTTACCGAGCGGAAGAGCAAAACTCCCTTGGTCGGTTCGATCAAGGAGAAGGGTAGCATCATAGAGGCGAAAGCGGAGGAGGAGCCGGTAGTCGATAAGCCCAAAAAGGTTTCGCGCTTCAAAGCCGCCAGGATGGCTGGTAACGGCAATGTTTAGATGTCTACGTGTTTTGTATCGTCTAACGACACAACGCCTATCAGCTTGACATATCCTGTTCAAACTCTATCCACATGATCATGCATCGCTGTCATAACCGCTTGGACATAGTCGTTCATGAAACATCCCTACCCTGCGAAGGTCAGCGTAGTTGACACCCGCGTCCTGACGATATTACACAAACGGATCGGCACCGCTTTGCTATCAAAGCCCACCTCAAACCGGAATTTGTAGATCTACCTTGCTGCTCTTCTCTTCTTACTTGTCTCTGTTACCCGAATCCCGGTACTGTGAAGTCGCAGCTAACATATGATGAAATCCCCAATTGACCTGCATACTTCGTGCACCTTTATTTCGAGGTGTGAACTGCTCGTCTGTCTTCCCTCCCGATAGTTCAGAGGGTCTCCATGAGTCGTTTCTTTGGAGTCAACATGCTGGAACTGAAATTCGTCATGCAATTGCAGTTGCGCTACCTCACGATGGGGCCCCGTCAGACTCATCGACCAACAGCTCTCCAGCTACGCCGCTGGGTCACCCGGCTGTGCAATCCTGTGCAACCTACAGGCTGTATGCCTGCTCAAATGGACCCAATTCGATTGGTATCCGCATCGTGTTCAAGTCAAATCGTCTAGGCGCATTCATTTGCACCTTTTTGTTTCCAGCGCGCCGTGTCTTCCTTGGTCACAATCGCCATCGATGACGTCGAAGAGTATAGCACGCTCGTGCAATACCAGCTTATATGCGGTCGTCGCATTATAGACTGCGCTTACTCATTGACACGGCAAGCGATGCTACCTGGGCCCGACTTCCGCCGATTTACGGATGTAGCACGTTCGGACTATCATATGGAACAGGTTGAAGGGGACTTCTTCTTGCAGCGGGTACATTTGAGACCATCCGACATACTCGATGATGAGTCTTTGTCAGGGCACGATGATATATGATGTAGACCGCTCGATTAAGGTCTGGTTGAGAATAACCTAGCGGTGCACTCAGGTCCTGATTGCAAGGGCCTGCCAAGGCCGAAGCGCAATGAAATCAGAATCGCATTTCAACCCGCAGGAAAGGGCAGAACATCATTGTTCAAATACTGTCTGGAGTTATCAGAGCCTTCCATATACCGCCGCGATCTCCAATATATCAGAACGCCCCTGGTCATTGCTACTCAAAGGAGGAGCTGGACAAACGATCAAGGATTATAGAAAGTATGGCTAGCATTGTCTATCTATCAAGTTTGTTTCCAAATTTTGGTCATCAACTATTTCTTCGTAGCACAGTGGTAGTTGCACCGAGCTGTTATTCACTTTGTGTGTCTGAATGGTACTCGGGGGTCGCAGGTTCGAGCCCTGCCGAGGAAGAAGCTTTTTGCCCGATTTGCCCTGTTTAATCCGTTTTGGCACGATAAATCTTCATAGCGTCCGGTTCAACGACTATTTCCCCCCGATGCCTTGCACATCAGTGACACTCCGCGGCGAGACCGAATCTGAGCTTAAGAAACTCGACCGAAACAGGGTGTTTCGGTCGAGTTTCGGTCGAGTTTCGCAACGCGTTTTGACACGTCATACAAGCATCAGATGAATCAGTTTGGCCAGCCCAGATTGATACAAGTAATCTGCGTCGCCCAAACAGGCGCGAGACGCGTTCCCAGATTGTACCGAGATTACCTCCGTCTAGACCTAATCTGGACACTGTTTACTATTTCGTTTGGCTATAATTTCGATATACCATACTACAACGGGGACTTAGAATTATACAATAAAAATCGCACTAGACCGTCTGCATGATCCTTCGATAAAACTTACAGCTCACCGGACTCGACGGATTGAGATTGAGGGCTTGACGAACGAAAGGCGGCCGGAGTGGACGTAGTAGCTCCTTGGGAGTGTTGATGATCTCGTCGTCCTGGTAAGCACGTCGTTCAGGTCAGCTTCATGAAGCAGGATCCATCTGACTCTGGCTTCTGAACTGACCGTAGGTTGTAGGCACATCGGAATCCACCGGCTCTCACGCTGTCCAGAACGATTCAAGCAACATGCCCCCACTATCATCGCCATTCGGTGGCCGAGGGTCGCGATCGTCTTTTAACCCACCTCTTCGGACCTCCTCTTCCTCCACCAGTCAAAGCAAACAACCCTCCTCGAACTCGACATCGCAACCAGACGCACCTGCGCAGGACTCAGGGTCGCAATCAACACAAACATCTCAGCTCAGCACGACAAGTGGAACAGCTAGCAGTCGGTCAAGCACTTACACCCGTCATGATCTCCGGCGTAGCTCTGTCGCTCCTTCCCCTTCCCCTGGATCGGCCAGCCAACCTCCGTTACGATCTGTCGACCCGTTTCCCCATACCAACTCTACCTCGGCTCCGAACGCAAGCAGTACACCAGCCCCGTTAGCTCGGGTTGCAGTTCCGAAGACGCCATCGAGAAACGCCATACCTTCCGCCCCTTATCCCTTCAACAGCCCCTCCAGCACTACTAGTAGCCGGCCTGCGACGAATCGAACGGTGACCAGACCTGCCGGCCTACCTGCCTATCAGTTGCCAGCACCCGGCCAGGCTCAGCGTGAAGCATATCAGGACCAACAAAACTTGCGGCTCGAAGTTCAAGATCTACGTACCCAATTCTCCAAGCTCAACGAGACGGTCACAACGCTCGCCCAGGCCCTTGAGGCCGCACAAGCTCGAGAGAACGCGATGGAGGAGGAGTTAACGTTCCTGCGAACTCAGGTTCTCGAGGAGGACGGACAGCTTACGAAAGGAAGGGGAAAGAAGGTGTCCGTGTCTGATCCAGACCGTTCCCTGATCACTACGTTCGTCCGGAGCGCGATCGAGGTCCTGCATGGAGGCAAGGCCTTTACCCCGTCTCCCTTTCCGAAGAGCCTAGACGACTGGCCAAGGCTGACGGCCGCCTCCGGGGAAGAGGGTGATCCGGTCATGCGATGGGACTACTCGTTAGGTGCTTGGGAGGGAGTCAACAAAGAACAGACGGCCAACCTCATCAGGGTCCTCGAGCACCAACGAAACCTTCCTCCTCTTCCATACGGTACTCACCTCGACAGCATCCCGCCGTACAACGGGAATTGCGACGTCTATGAGCGCGTCATCAAACGGCAGTTCGCCAAATACGCCAGTACCCTGCAGACCAAGCTGTCGAAAGAATGGATGTCGAGTGACGATAGAAGCGCATTGATGGATGAGATCGGCCAATTGGAGTTGGCCGAACGGGATGAGGATGACGAGGACAAGTTGGACCGACTGAAAGCAGAATTGCTGGAAAAAGACAACTTCGCTGCGGAAACCGAGGCGAAAACGTCTACGAACCTGCGGTCAAAGCTTCGGAGTGTAAGTATCGCAACAGTGTTTGACGACCCCAGTACCAACTGACATCTAGTGATTCCCGGTGTTCAGATGGCCAACGCAATCACGCAGAAACGGAAAGCTACACCCAAGTATCGAGACTCGAAATGGAATTGCCTTGACAGCGTATACGTGCAACCGGGCTTATCTGTCGAGAAGGATGAAGGCAAATTCGTGTGGTACGAGGCCGACTGGGACGCGTTTTATAGCGAGGAGTACCTGAATATTTGGAAAGAAATCAACAATTCCAAACCGAAAGGGATTAGGGCGCGGGGTGCAGATTTCACGCAACCCACCGATGGTGCTGTTCGGCTTCCCGTGCAGCCATATCTGCCGTCGGACCTGGCAGGTCTCTCCCTCTCCTTACAGCGTTGGATGATTCATCCAGAGATCCTGTCCGAGCCAGAGTGGGAAGACTTCGTCAGCGCCTACGTGGTCCCCGTCGACTTCCCCACCGATCCTGCAGACGTATGCAAACTGACGTGGTGGAAAGACCACTCGATGGCGTTTGCGAAAACCCCAGCCGCACCTGCTCCTGCGTCCCACACCGCGAAGAAGAGGAAGCTAGAAGACACCGACATCAGCGATCGCGGGCCTAGCGATAGTCCTCTCGCCCGTGTAACGCCACTCCCACTCGCCAATGGAAACGGATCGACTCAGTCCATTACCCGCACCCCTTCGGAGTCTGCTCACACTCCTGGAAGTGGGGTTGTGGTGAGCGATCGTCCGGAGGCCGGTCGTTATGGGCAACACGTACCTTCTTCTCCGGTCCGCGATGAACCCCGTCTGCTCTTCCGTGGAACTCAAGGTCAGCCGGCTCAATCTCCTTACGGTGCTCTACCCTCGGGCCCTGGTTATACTTCCCAGCAAGGCCAGCAATATCAACCACCGCAATACCATCAACAGTCGACTTACCCTATCAGTCAATACCCTCCCGCCGATTATCACATGGATTCCGTCGGCCAGCGATTTGGAATCCCCCAGCCTACCCATCACCCTCTTTATGACCCCGTGCCGGGCGACTCGAGCTACCTTCCTCAAGGACGTCCCCACCATTACGACCCCCGCTACGCTTACCAATCTCACGAAAACGTCCAACAGGCTCGTCATCCTGGTCAAAGACAGGAGGCCAGGAACGATCCGGCCTCTACGACTCACGACGAGCCCACGATCAACGAAGAATTCATCAACTACGACGGCACGCTGCATTAATTCAAAGGAAGGAGGTCAGCATGCATTCGCCAAGGCAACGCCCAGGTCGGTCTCTGTCGACCTACTATGTCATTTCATCGCATAAAATGTAGAATCTATCGACATCAACGTCATTGTATCCCGGGGACCGCCCGTAAACTGTCACTCAGCATGTCGCTATCTATCTGGGGTGTATCCCCTCATATGCCGTCCACTTCGGGAACTGGCTCTGCAGGTCCCAAGTCATTCTCGAGCCAATACTCGGGCTCGTGTCCGTCCTGTCTCGAAGGGTTGGGGAATCAGCTCAGCCCGGTGTCGAGTCGATGGGCTGGGTGACTGACCTTATCGCACGACATTGATACCAGGACCGTCTCGTCCATTTCGATCTGAGCCACGATTGTAGAAGCCTGGAGGTTCTCGATGTGGATATAACCTGTAGCCTGAGGTACCGGATCGTAACACCGCAGTCCTAAGTCCAATGATCGCTGGTGCCAGGGGTACTTCGAGCCATCATGGGGCCGGTAGTAGTCCACCAATGCAAGGTCCAACTTGAGAGGCGCCTCGATATGGTCGACGGAGAGCTCACACTGCAGTAGACTCCGGAGGCGGACCAATTCTCGTCTGCCGTTGTTGTTGACTTTGGCAAGTGCATACTGACCTCGCTTCGTACGACCGTACAAAGCAGAGCAGAATCTGACGAGTGAAGGCCGATCAGGCTCACGAGGGTTGTAATCGGAAAGAACCGAAGGCGCAACACTCACTTGAATCCGTTGAAGATGGCGTGAGTATAGAGCCGATAGCAGTGGCCACGATCGGGAAGAATCGGATCTTCGGAGAACATGAAAGCCCGGTCGACGAAGCGATACTCTGGATGGCATATGGTCACGTATTCCAGAAGTGCCCGGTACCCACCCTGATGTACTAAGTCGACTGGGTAGCCTTTCTGAAACGGTTCAGGAAGACGAATATAATGCGTCGCTGCATTTCCTCGTGCCTCCTCGAGCATAAGGCTGCCCATGACCCGCTTCTTGACTTCGATTAATCTTCGGATGAGCTCCTTCTCCCACTCTGTGGCGTCGGGCGCCGGATTGTTGATGACCGCAGCGATTCGAAGCTCTCTCATCCAGCTTCGAACGAGAGTAGTGGCGAGGTCACGTTCTTTGCCGTTGTGATTTACGTTCGCTAACAAGCCGTTGTTCCTCTCGAAGGCCCATGTTCCGTAACCACTCAATGGACCGTATAATTCGACGAATGTATGGTAGTGCATAGCGATGTGCCAGTTGATCGTAAGGCGGACCCCCAAATTAAGAAGCCGGCGAGAGGCTTGAGAGAGATCCTCTACAGCGTTGCGGGCGTCTCTTACACTCAAAGAGTGTGCGTGTAGAATACGCAGTCCAGCCGCTAATTGTATCCCGGCGAGATACCATTCGTTGCGGTCTCTGGAGACAACAAGAGCGGGACGTGCGTTCCGTCGTCCCCGCGATCCGGCCCGCGAGCCAGCCTGAGAAAGAGATCGACTCCTTGAACGGCGTCCTCCACGACCGCGGCCTCGGGCTGGGGCTGCGTCCCCTTCCTCGGTGTCTTCGCCTGAGTCCTCTTCGAATGTTTCTAGGGAGCCTGGGTCGACGGCCTCTTGTCCTTGATATGGGTCGAGGGGCCGACTGTCGATTTCGGTCGTCCCTTCTCTTCGAAAAGCCGCAAATAAAGCCCCGGGAAGCATTTGTATGACACGCTTCCACTGATCAGCTTTGAGACCGGACCCCGCGTTCTTGCGTGTAGAGGAGAATTGCTTCGCCACTCTCTCCGGTATACGTCCTAAGTGCCCGGGGTACTCGGCAGATTCGAAAAAATCGGTGAAAAGGACTGCCCTGGCTGTTCCATCTACTCTTCCCTCGAATAGGTTGAACCGGAAGAGGAAGTTTATAAAGGACTTGACCAGGCCCAGGAAGGAATTATGCATAGGGTCGACTGGGTTTGAGCGAGCATGCTCGAACTCCGTTGCGTTCATGATGGACGAATGCCTAATGCCGAATTCACGTTCTATAGCGGCTTGTCGTCCTGGATTCGCGTGGTAAGATTCGAAACAGGCGTCGAGCATACGTCCTGCATCCTTCGGAGGGAGGTCTGTCAAACGCACAGCGCGTCAGTCGTGTAAGGGGTATGTATGTTGGGATGACGGACGGGGCATACCTCTCCAGTTGTAGCCCTCGGCGCTATTTATGTCATCCTTCGAAATACCACAGTAGTGGCAGGGGTGCTTGTTGTGGCTCAATCCGACCGAACCGATGAGCTTCTTCGTCGCAGGAATATCTGAAGCGTTCAGAAGAACACGACACTGGACGAATTGCTCCTCCGCCAAGCCCCGAACGTGCGTCATGAATCCCTCTTCACACAGGCGCAAGTCGTCGACGATAGGGTCAAGGACACGATTGAGCGCCGTGGTAGGCGGTTCCTTAGGCCCGGGAATGACGGCGACCAGGAGCGTATATTGTTTCCGAAAGATCAAGTGACGAGGCAGATTTGCTAAGCTGACGTAGATCGCTCCGACCGAGAACCTCGTCATCTCTTTGATAGCGAACCTACGGAGGAGTATTCGCAGTAAGCAAAACGATTTCAGAAGATCCAGGAGACAGCCTACGTACCGATCGAGGTTGACAATAAGCTTCAATCCGAATGGCAGGGAGCTGTGCCGTTGCACGTCCAGTCCGTCTACATGCTGCGATCCAACAGTTCCATCCTCCCTTACTGTGCGTACGCGGTCACACCGACTGCTACGCCACGCAGAACCGTCTGACAGGCCATGAAGCAGCGTTTCGTCCGTCCAGAAGGGTTGATCACGGGGGTAAGGTTCGGCATTGTCGGGCTCCAGGGTATCCCTCTCATCGTCTTGCCGCCAATCCTGAAGGTGCGAGACCACCTCCTTGTCTTGGAGCAACATGGAAAGGCCGAGTGATATCTTAGTATACGGGAGGACTTTGATAGGGAATCGCTGAGTGTTGATCGAAGTGAAGATGTCCTCTTGACACGCTGATCCGTCGGGTAAGACCCGATTACAGGTAGGACTGTCGAGAGAGTAGAGCTCGCTGAGAAGCGTGAGATTCCAGCACTCGTGTCCGGGGCAGACGATGTACCGTGTGATGTAATCGTCGGGATGTACACCTAGACGGCTTTCTGCAGTACGAATGTTCGATGTAGCATCCGGCAAGTCGTCTCCGGTCAAGAGCCGATGGTGCCCTGACATCTGATCCAACATCAGATCCGCAACCTCGTTGGTCACACCCATAGCTTTAGCGTGAGCTGCTACGGTGAAGATATGGCGAGTAGATGGATCGAGATCGTGGTGACGGAGAAGATTGTTGACATGGACTCGGGGGGTGGCTCCACCGAGACCGGGGGATTCGATTCGATAGCGTTCTTCGACAGGATCTGCCAGATTTCGGAAGTTGTTGTCGGCTTGTTCTGGCTCGTCCACTTGTGGAGCTGGATATCGTACAGGCGAATTAGGTTCGAAGGGAGAATCTATGTCTGAGGAGTTGTCCGGGCCGTCGAAGAGATCGAAATTCGCAGGTCCGTCCGGGCCGTCGGGGGGATCGTGGTTTACAGGTTCGTCTGGGCTACTAGATCGAGTTCTGGGGTGTTGGAGAGAACCACTGCTACCTGATTGCTGCTGACGAGCTGCAGCTGTAGCAAGGGCTCTCGTTCCCGGTTCTGGTGCATTGCGTTGGTGACGGTGCCAGGTAGCGTAAGATACCGATTTGCGACCGCCTGGCCACTGCGAGCAAGTGGCACAGGCACAAAACCTCTGTACCAACGATATGGAATTGAGGATGAGAGGCAAGTCTGCAGTTGAGAGAGGAGAAGATCACTGCTTACGTCTCGAGAAGGCGCCATCTTCAACCGCAACCCCCAATTGTCCTCGTTGGCGGAGTTGTCCGAGGTTCGATTCTACATTGAGGAGTGGCCTAGATCGATGGTACACTAGGTCTGACGAATCTACGAAGCTGGTCATGTACACAAGATCTCAATGACATGACCAAGAAGCAGAAGGATGTGGCGAATATCGCCTTTCGTGGCAGACCTTTGCTGCCCAAGTCGCTAAGTCGGAATAGTTCGAACCTTGACATCGTAAACAGGCTCGAAACTCGATCAGTCACGTGATTTAACCCAAACAGGGTGTAGATTAGGTCGTGATTGGCTGGACATCGTTTGGATACAGTTTCGGACTAATATGGGGAGTCTCGATCAGTCTGGTAACTGTTTGGCGTTCAACATCAGTGGAAACTGTTTTGATATCCTGAAACAGCTACGAAACAGTGAGTTTGGTCGATATCTCGAAGACCTAAATTTGCTCCCCGCGCGGAGTGTCAGTGAAGCAATCGACGAGCATTCCCAATCTTGATCCTACATTTTCGCCTGTGTACACCCGATCAAACATAGCAAAATCGATTTTTTTCGGTTGAGATCGACCGTCCAATTTGCACGCCATTCTCTTTCACCTCCACCATCTTCGGAGCCGCGCCGCGCATTCGAACGTTGGACGTTTTGCCGAACGGGGGCCTTGCAACGCATGCCTTCCATTCTTCCATCATCCGGATCTACCCGTCGTCTCTCGTGCTGCTGTTCGCCATGGGTTGTTGTTTGTTGTGATTCGGCGGTCGCGTGCACCATATGAGACCATGACCGACGTTGCGTGTTCTTGATCCCGCGTATACCGCCATGACCGGGAATATGTCGTTTGGATCAGACCTACCTAACGGCGTGTACGGGCCAAGGAGATAGCTTGGACACTTGCAAGACAGTTGGCAAGTCATGATCGCTTCGTGAAGCTTCGACGCGTCGTGTGATGTGTGGTCGCGGATCGTCCGTCCGCCTGTGAGTTTCTGCTCGAAGAAGATTCACACACCGACACAACCTTTTTTCTGTCATCTGAAACATGACGATCCCTTCTGGAAGAAGACGGCGGACGGGGTGCGGAGGGAACTGCACCGCTTTCGGTGAGTTCGGGCACACACACGGCGTCA